TAGGATAGGATAGGATAGATAGGATAGGGATAGGATAGGATAGGATAGGATAGGATAGGATAGGATAGGATAGGATAGGATAGGATAGGATAGGAGAAATAGGTCCGGGAGGATCCACTTGAGCTGTCGGGAACAATTCCGGGAATTCATTGTTTAACAGAAAAAAGACACAGAGATGATGCGAATCCTTGTCCAATTACGTCAGGGGTCGTCCGTGTTGTGTGCAGCCATTAGACTTGTATTATCCTGACAGCAAAATTCAATACCAACGAATATAGTACACCAAGTACTCAAGTACTCAAGTACTCCAAGTATTACTACCTTGAGCTTCTGGATCTTCTATAACGTCCTCTGCCTCTTCCTCTCCCTCTCCCTCTCCCTCTCCCTCTACATCGCGCTTTCTCCATTTTCCCACGTCAACGTAACGGCTAGTAAAGCTTCCCGCCTTGAATTCCTGCCTACGAGTCCCTTACCTACCTTGGAACTAAAACTTCAATAGACTCTAGTCATCGACAACCTGTTACTTGACTTCCTTTTTCAGGGCCCATCATTCCATCTCCCCACCAATACTACCCTCCGAAACGTCGCACTTGTTTCCCCTCAGACCACCTCACAAGTCCATTCTCGCAGACCACATACCTCTCTCGAGAACCCCACCTACCAAATTCTTGTCAATTCGAATCCCCCCTCAATACTTTATCGCAATGCCAGCTTTAGTCGAAGATGTTAAGCCGCAAGGAAGACTGCTACTCGTCTCCAACAGACTTCCAATCACCATCAAGCGCTCTGATGATGGCACATATGCGTTTTCCATGTCCTCTGGTGGACTGGTCACAGGTCTAAGCGGACTATCTAAAACTACCACCTTTCAATGGTACGGATGGCCGGGATTGGAGGTGCCAGAGACAGAGGTTGCGCCGCTGCAGAAACGATTGAAGGACGAATATGGGGCGATACCAGTTTTCATAGAAGACGAGTTGGCAGATAGACATTACAATGGCTTCTCTAGTACACTTCTCCTCCAAGATTGTTCCTACAACTACTAATAGCACTGCAGATTCTATCCTCTGGCCCCTTTTCCACTACCATCCTGGAGAGATTACATTCGACGAGTCGGCATGGGCAGCCTACAAGGACGTTAACCGTCTGTTTGCGAAGACAATAGCGAAAGACGTACAAGATGGAGATTTGATCTGGGTCCACGACTACCATCTAATGCTCCTCCCAGAGATGCTGCGAGAGGAAATTGGCAACAGCAAGAAGAATGTCAAGATTGGCTTCTTTCTCCATACGCCATTCCCAAGTAGTGAGATCTATAGAATTCTTCCTGTTCGAGAGGAATTGCTTCTTGGTGTACTTCACTGCGATTTGATTGGCTTCCATACATACGACTATGCTAGACATTTCTTGAGCAGTTGCTCTAGAATATTGTACGTCGAAAACCCTCAAGATCGAAGCCGTTCCGAGCTAATAGCAAATAGAGAAACAACTACGACCCCCAATGGTGTTGAGTTCCGTGGAAAATACGTCACTGTCGCGGCTTTCCCAATTGGCATTGACCCCGAGAAATTCGTCGATGGCCTCAAGAAGAAAGAAGTTCAAGACCGAATCGCTGTCCTAGAACGTAAATTCGAGGGAGTAAAGCTGATCGTCGGGGTCGACCGTCTCGATTATATCAAAGGAGTTCCCCAGAAGCTTCACGCACTCGAGGTATTCCTTACAGAACACCCTGAATGGGTAGGAAAAGTTGTGCTCGTCCAGGTAGCAGTACCCAGCCGAGAAGACGTCGAAGAGTACCAAAATCTCCGAGCAGTCGTCAACGAGCTGGTAGGCAGGATCAATGGCCGCTTTGGCACCATTGAGTTCATGCCTATCCATTTCCTACACCAATCTGTAGCATTCGACGAGCTCACGGCTTTATACGCCGTATCCGATGCCTGCTTGGTTTCATCTACGCGTGATGGCATGAATTTGGTCTCGTACGAATACATTGCCACGCAGAGAAAGAGACACGGAGTCATGATCCTGTCCGAGTTCACAGGCGCAGCTCAATCACTGAACGGTGCTCTTATCGTCAACCCCTGGAATACAGAAGAGCTCGCAGGCGCCATCCACGACGCAGTCACGATGTCTCCAGAGCAACGAGAAATCAATTTCAAGAAGCTGGAGAAATATGTATTCAAGTACACGAGCGCGTGGTGGGGCGAATCATTTGTGAGCGAGCTTGTTAGGATCAGCGAGCATGCGGAGAAAAAGCAGAAGCGAAGCGGTCACGGGCAAGATTCATGAGCTAATCGACAGTATGAGCAAAGCTATTGTGGGAGGCAAGAAGAATGGGAAGTTTGCGCCGGGCGAGTGGAAGGATTGGTAGGATGGGTATGTAACGGCGCGGGTAGCGAGCATTGGGCATGATACGATACCAGTTTGCTTGCAGTAGGGCGAGCAGGCGTTATGAGAACATATACGATAAGGAAACATCAAATACAATCAGGTTGACTTGGTGCGGGACTTTTTTGAAATAGTCCTCTGGTTTTAAACCTCTGTATTCTGCAAGTGCAAAAACTGATGAGCTCGGCCTGATGACCCCTAGTTGAAGAGTGCTAGGTTAATTATGTAGAAGATATGAAATGCAACGCGTTCGTATTTTACTATACTTGTCCTGCTGCTGGTGATGAAGGTGAGTACTGTATAGTTGCATAGATACATAACCTGATGAGGAGGCGATTGAGCACTAGAATCTAAGGAAGCTGTCAGGGTCACGTCACCATGATAGAAAATTATTAAAATCCCAAGTGGGGTAGATGATCCAAGTTCTATTTCACAGAACATCTGCTAACTCCAGCATCCTAGTAGGGTATATCACTCTATCTAGAGTCGGATTCTAGACACAACTAATAGCTTTACAAGGATTCAAGATTGTGTATATTTATTCAAGAATCTAGTCAGACTGCGTTGTTTTCAACTACAAGGAGTGAGCATATGTACTCGATCGGAGAAATGAAATCAGATACGGACCATAAATAGTAGGATCGTATGGCCCGTAAAGTCTCCAAACGGGAGATCTTTATGCATATCCGGCCACGACAAACGACGACATTATATGGATCATTTCGTGACGCTAGGAGGGAGGTTGTTGTGAGATCCGGAGAAAATCGCAGGTTCACGACCGCGTTGAGGGGGCCGAACGTTGTACAGGATTGACATTCGTCACAACTCGGCCTCGGCATTAGGTCTTGCAGAAGCATCCTGAGATTCTGACTCTGCCGCATGAATGAACATGAGCGACGAGTCCGTCTAAGAATGGTCTTCACTTGAGAAGATTCTCTCCCAAGAGATAACTGTGCGGATAATCGGTTAGTCTTCAAACTTCCATAAATGACTTCTGTTGATAATAGGAACTTGCTGGACTTCTTACTTCAAGGATAGTCTAAGTGTAGGCAGTTAGACGGACCTAATCTAAAATTTGGTGTATTGAACGGGGCATACTGTTTTTTCAAGGCTCTTTGGCTTCCTGCTCAAGGAATTCAAGCCACTCCGCTTCTTGGAACTCTGGCCCCGACCCCAGCCTATAGTCAACTCGTTTCACAGGAGGACCCTCATCTTCGTAGTCAAATTCTTTACCATTAAAAGATGTCTCGGGCGTCAGCAGTTGTCTTTTGGATAGAGGGACAGGTCTCGCAACTGCGGGGGCAGTCAAAGAGTCGTCTTCTGCCTGCGTCGATCCTCTTGAAAATGAGGTTTCAGGAGAAAGAAGCCGTCGGGCAGAGTGATGGACCGCCATGGTTTTTCTAACACTTCCAGGCGGTTTCTTCTCCCCTGGGTATCCAATGGGCGTGCTGCGCGTGGGTGAGGTACCTCCATTGGCCGGCAAAGCCGCAAGCGCACTCGTTCCTGGAGCTGGTCCTATTGCACTAAAATCTAGTGTAGGAGCTTCTGACCATGGCTCGTTCCTCGCCAGAACTATGTAAGCGATTTGGAACCTACAGTCGGAAAGGGCATCATGTTTCAGCCCTTGCCGGGGAGGAGCCAGTGGCGGTAAAGAATAATCCTTCCCCGTCTGTGCCCACACCTGCTTGACAACGGTTCGTACACACATATCGTTGTAGTACTCCCAAGGCACTTCCATCGAGCATGCCTTATACGCGCTCCGAATCCAAGTATTGTCGGCCATGCTGCCATTGCCCCAAATCATAGGTTGGCTTTTGTAGGGCTTTAGCAAACCGGCTTTGATTCGCCGGCTTTCAGTCTCTCTTATGGACTTTTTCACAAACTTGGATATTCTCATAATGGCTTGAGGGAGAGATATACAGCACTCCTGGCTGGTCTTCAAAGTTTGTGGGATTTCTCTCTTGAGCCAGCCGAGCGTATTGTCATCTGTGATGAGTCCATGCTCCAAACTGGATTGGAGACTCACTGGGGTACAAAGACTGTCGAGTTCCTCCCCGGTGTCGATATCGAAGTATACTGCTGCCAACTCAATTATCGCTGGGTTGTGGGTGTTAATAGCTGCGCATTCGAGATCCAGCATGATGTTTGTGTGGACATCCTTTTGCCGCATTTTGAACAGGGTGGTGGGCTAATTAATGAATACTACTACTGCTGTATGAGGAATATGTGACTGAGCCTGAGCCTTTCTAGTACACGAGTGTGACTTGGCACTAGCTGACTAAGCAAATTGGGGATAACCTCTTTGTATTGCAGCCTCTATATCTTAGCTAGCTGACCAACAACCAATGAAGCCACCAAGACCAGAACCTACGGACCTACACCTGTAGCGAAGTGATCAACTTGTGATACCAACAACTACAATCAGCCTCGTCAAAATCTATTATTTCGTTTTTACTGTCAGTGAGACCCTATATGCCTAAAATAGGGCATGGAGCTTTATTCTTCCTCTCTATAAAGATGCAGGGAGTGAATGAGCCAGGATGGTAAAGACTTTACCAAAAGATCTGTCTATATATTAGTAATGTGAGGAAAAGGTGTAATTGAAAGAGAAAGCCGCTTTCATTATACATTATACATCATCTCTCTCGCACGTTGCCCCTTTTCTGTCCCTAGCCTAGCCCGTCCCCGCCCCATATACTTACCTAAGCGAACTCCTCCTACCACCCCTCAGATCAGTAGATCCTTCTCCACGCTAGGAAAGTACAAAACACGCGACGCGGAACTCGAGCACCGACTCTGCTCAGCCTTGTCTTGTGTACAAACAAGTATCTTTTGGGGAGCCATCCTTAATCGCGCAATAACTTCTACAACATGGCACCTTCGGAGCGCGTTTTAGTTGACAAGCTCAAGGCGACAGCTTTGGCGATCTTCAACAGCTCCGAGCGCGACCAACTGAGTGTGAAAAGGGTTCGGGACAAGCTAGAGGCGCAACTTGGACTCGAGAAAGGATTTTTTGTGCAACCCACCTGGAAAGAAAAGTCAAAGGTCATTGTTAAGGAATATGCAGTAAGCATTGTGCTTCTAGATAAATTATATCATATTTCCAAGCTGACTCTGTACCCTAGACCCAGTTGATCGAAGGAGAGGAACTAAAAGAGGCGTCTATACAAGTCGACTCTCCTGTGAAGGAACCTATCCTGTCGCACAAGAAAAGCGCAACTCCGAATAATAAGAGAGCAAAGAAACCCACATCTGCAGAGCAATCGCGACCTGCCAAGCGCCAAAAGAAACAAGAGACTCCAGAGGAAAGCAGTGAACTTAGCGATGTGGTCTCGGACGAGGACAGCCCAGAGTCAGAGTTTGGTGATTCGGATGTCAGTGATGCACCAAAACCAAAGAAGAAGTCTACGTCGAAACCCCCCGTGAAACGTCAGCCTAAGAAAAAGGCAGTTGATTCCGAGGACGAGGAGGACGAAGAAGAGGATGATCTTAGCGAAGTTCCAATTGATGATGAGGATGACAGTGATGCCAAACCAAAACCGAAGAAGGCTACCAAGCCGGCTGCTAGAAGTAAGGGAAGACGGAAGAAAGTCGAGACTCCTGAGTTAGAAGAGGAATCTGAGCTTAAAGCAGATTCTGAGTCTGAAGACGAACTTGCTTCAGCCAAGAAGGCGAAATCGAGGGCTAAATCGGCAGCGGGCTCCGAAGAAGACGAGCCAGCATCTATGAAGAAGTCCAAACCAGAAATCAAACCAACACCAGAATCTGACGCCGAATCCAACGTACCTACTCCGAAAAAGAAGGCAAAATCCGTGACACCTGCGAAAGCCATTGATTCTGAGTCGGAAATGTCCATCGTCCTTGACGAAGCTCCCAAGCCAAAAGCCAAACGCGGTCCCAAAGCCCCCAAAGAAACTAAAGTCAAGGCCGCCAAAGCCAACAGTAACCTCTCGCCTGCAGAAGAGCAGATCAAAACGCTGCAAACACAGCTAGTGCGTTGCGGAGTGCGAAAAATCTGGCAGTTCGAACTCAAGCAATTCGAAGACGATACGTCAGCCAAAGTTCGGTATTTGCAGCAAATGCTTAGGGATATAGGCATGACGGGCCGGTTTAGTGAGGCGAGAGCGAAGGAGATCAAGGAGATGAGGGAGCTGCAGGCTGATTTGGAGGCCGTGAAGGAGGGGGAGAAAGTCTGGGGGATGGAGAGTGGACGGCCGAGTAGGAGCAAGGCTGCTAAGAAGAGCTTGAAGATCAACAGTGGTGAGGATGAAGACGAAGATGAGAACGGGAAGTCGGAGAGTGGAAGTGAGGATGATAGTGATGAGCAGCCGAGACCGAGGGTTGCCAGGGCGAAGCAGGATCTGGCCTTTTTGGGAGATGAAGAGGATAGTGATGAGTGATGCTCTCTCTATAGCTCACGAATTGTGGATATGAAGTAATTTTCATGAGGGATTCTATCTGGACGTGTTATGGATTAAGGATAAAATACATCGACATTGAAACAACTCCACAAATCATATATTTAGCAGTGAGGAATATCAACGCTAGGAGACATACCGCCTCTATGAAGGAGAACTGGTATCTTGTCAATCAGTCATAAATGAATGCTGTATTCAGGGGGAACTTAGCCGCCTTGTTGCAATACTTTCAAGGCCACTAATCGGGTAATAGGGTGGAATCTTGGAAAGTGATCCGCTATGGGCGGGTAATGCTTAAGTAGGCTTTCTCTAATTGTCATAAAGTAAATTTCAGTCAAAAGGCATACATCCGCCAAATCAAAATTCAAGATGTCATTCAAGAGTCTTTCATGAAAACCCGAGATTAAAGTGAAAGAATAATGGCATTTCTTTTGGTAATGAACCCGCTATCATCCCGCCAGTAAACCTTCGCATCTAGAACATTCCTAGCAAATCCTCATTCGTCTTCTTGCCCCCACTCTCAAGTTGCTGTTGTGGCGGCGGAGGCTGACTCGCACCGCTCATATCTAGACCCGCAAACCCACTCATCAAATCATTCTGTCCCGTTGGCGCCGCACTCGAACTACTACCGTTCATATCAAATAATCCCACCATGTCATCCATACTGCTTGCACCCGCTGCTCCAGCCGTAGGACTTGCCACCCGCTGTGGCGTACCGGCTAACCCTTCCAAGCCCGAAGCACCACTGCTTGGAGGAGCATCCGCTGAAGCTGGAGCTGCGCCATCAAAATCGATGTCGAGGAGATTTTCGTTGTTATTCTTCTGGCCGACGACGGCAGCTGCAATTGGGTTGTCGACGGCGTTTTGACGCTGTTCTTGAATGGCTGCGTGCTGTATGGCATCGGCGCCGTAACGGCCATGACCGACAAATGTCTCAGGTGGTTTGTGGTAGACTGAGGCTAGGGTAGAGAGTTCTGTAAGAAGTTGGTCGAGGAGCTGAGGTGGAAGAGATGACATCGTTGTCGTAATTGGGGGTTTGTCTGAGAGAATGATGTTCTAATTCTGTTAGTATTGAAGTCAAAGAAAGACAGTGATAGAGGTCTACCTTTGCTACTTGTAAATCACCTGATAATAATCGCCAGTAAACATATGCTCTGTCTCTGATGTCCGGGTTGTCGTTGTCGGCTGTGGCTTGTTGAAGAACTTTCTGCACCAAACTTTGATTGTTGTCCGGCTTCTTCAAGAACAGCTTAACCACTGCGGTCAGGATTTGGAGTTGAACTTGTGTAAACTCTTCCATAAATCCTTCAACAAAACCAGAAAGGATCTCGTCCGCATTACTGATCTTCTCGGCGTATTCTCCAACGATCCAAATCAAGGCACCTCGTGCTTCAGGCTCATCCAATTCATCGATGTATTTGCAAAGAGTTGGGATAATACCTTCATAACCAGGGTACTTTCGGAAGATGTCCTTAATGACCACAATTGCCTCTTGGACAACATAGTTGACTTTTGTAGCAATTAGATCAAGAAGCGTGTTGACACACTTCTCGCTGGCGCTCTCGATCTTGATAGCTGCTTGACCAATGGCCTTGACTGCTCTCCGGACAAAATCCATGTCGACTTCTAAGGCATACTCTTTTAATTCGGCCAAAAGTTGGTCGACGTTTTTGTCGTTTGCTATCCGCACCATGATCTCTAACTTCTGAAGCTTGACATATGGGGGATCATTGTATTTGCAGAAGAATACTCGTAACTCTTTACTTAGGATATCTGGCTTGGCTTGGAGTAGTAAATCGATGTTCCGTAATGCAACATATTGAACTTCTGGCGCTGATGCAACAAGGGTCACTTTTGAAAGTTAGCTATCGCAAATGTATGTAAGGACATGTACTAACCCAGTGGTGGTGCCATTTTCTTCAAGTATTGCTTCGTGAGATCTGCGTTGACATACTTCATGTGGAGGAAGACTACTTTCACAGCTGCCAGCACCACGCTTGGATTGACATGTTGGAATTGAGGGGAAACTCTTTCGCAAATATGCTCTGACTCTTTCATATCTGTAGCCCTGTAGTCGGCGAGGGTTGAGAGTATTGTAACTCTACCCCACTCTGTGCATTCGTTCAAAGCCATCAACATCTTCTTTAGCGCTGCGGGCGTCACTCGGAGAGCCTTGGTTTCTGGAGCCGCCTCGTTGATCTCTGCCAGGGCTGTGACAGAGTTTGCGACTACCATGGGATTTGGATCTCCTATCATCTCCTGGAGTGTTTCTAGAAATCCGTTTTCTAAGCACATCGTCGGGTTCAGATCAAAGAGCTTCGCAACACATATCGCAGCCGTTTTCCGTACATAAGGCGACTCGTCTCGTAATGTTTTCCGCAAAGGTTCCTCCATATAATCTACCATCTTATCCACCCTAATACACCCCATTGTCCGTATAGCAAGTGCCCGTACCAAAGGATTGGGATCCTCGGAGTCTTGTACAAAGGTATTGACCGCCAGAATACAGAGGTCCGGATGTGATTTGGCGTAATTCCTAGATAATTCCAGAATCAGCACCGCTCCTATTAAGCGGCCAAAACGGGGAGGTAACTTACATCAAATATAAATAAACAAGCTTCTTCTGGTCCAGATCTGATGTAGCAATGTTTTTCAACACATCAGGAAACAGAGCTGACACATCTTTGCCCAAGGTCATAGACATGATGGTCTTCTGAATCGCCTCCTTGCGCTCGTATGCATATTGCGAGACTAGCCCTGCTCTCAACTCGAATGTTTCGCCCTTTCTGGGTACCGCAAAGGCCCCTTTGATCCTATTTACCGCCATCGCTCACACAGATGGCGAGTTGAGGTCGTGCCCCTCATACGCCCGCGGCTGCTGTTGATGGACGGCCAGGCAGCAGCTATGTGCAATGGGCCGTAGTTAATCGCACTTGTAGTCCAAGGGTAAACGTCTGCAACTGAGGACCTTCTGGTGATAATTTCTGGGTAGTTTGTGGTTTCCTGTGGGGATTGAAATTGATCATAAATGTTGCCAGCTTCTCAGCCTTCTGGTGCGGTCAGAACGGCGCTAGCATTTGGCAGGGGGTCGCAAGGAGAAGGCAAAGGCCACCCACTCACTCCACTTCAAGGGGGGTTTACTGGCAAATTCATGCAACAAATGGATACTCGGAATAAGTTGAAACAACTTTAATCTGTGAATCATTTAAGTACAGCATGGTGAGGACTTCAATACGTTATTTCTTTCTACTGCTTCTTTCGAACATGTCGCTAATACAATATTCCAAGGCAAACCTTCCAAACCTACGCCGGCTGTTTGTTGAAGCTCGAACAGATGCAGAAGAGAGTGCATATTCGAGAAATGCCGTTAGTATATAATCCAGTGTAAAGTAACTGAATTACTAATTGAGTTTAGTTTTACAATATCGTGCTATTCATGTCATCGGTTGCTGTCGTCAGTCTGGTGGCTCAACGAATGAACAAGACTGCTTGACGAGCAATACACGAGCGCTATTGTTTGAGCAGTTCGTGACAAACTGAAGCAAGTCTGGAGAGGCTGTTTTGATTGGGGTCAATAGAATTTGGGAGATCGCAAGGACTTTGAAAGACTGAAAGGGCTAAGCCTCAGGGGAAGTCAGGTGTTGAGTACCTGAGAGACATGGGTATTGTCACAACACAAGAAAGCGCACATTTGGCAAGATCTTTGGAGGGATTTTCAAGTAGAACTTCGGTGTTTCTAGGTTGGAGACAAATGGATAGCCTTGACAAGCTCTGGGCTCAGAAGAGTGTCGCGATTCGCCCACCACTTGCTAATACGTCGGCAAAGTCTCCTCTTCTATCGTTCTTTTTAGGAGCCGCTCTTACCAGTTCCACTTCCAAACTCGGACGTTTCTTCCAGTGCCTCTATCAGGGTTCATCTTTCGTTCCCATTGCACCTAACCAATCATGACCCCCTCGACCTTCTTGGCGTCCAGTTCTTGTGCTTGTATCTCATATCCCCTTGCCTTCCCTTCAAGCCGTAGTCCCAGTAACAACCTCTCCCGTGGTATCCTTCCCAGGTGCAACAGCTACCTTCCCTTCAGCCTTCTGCTTCTCCCACTGCTCTGGCGTAAAGCACTTCGGTGTCCAAGCATGAATAGCAGCAATCTCGGCCTTCAGCGCCGTATTAACCAATCGATGTCTCGCCAAGGTCGTCTTCTTCTCGAATTGAGGCGAGACTATCACAGCAGAAAATGCTTGGCCGCATCCACCTGCAAGTTGGTCAGCTTTGAGCGGGATGGCGGGGTAAAATAAAAATATTGGACGGCGACGGACCTGACATGTCTTCAATTTCGACATGGATTGCTTGAAGTTGATCGATTATTTTGGCCTTGAGGTCTGCCTCTGAGACTCCTGGAGTTTCGCCCATTGTATTTTTGTAGAGAGAGAATTCTGGGTTTCTTGACGTTGGTCCCCCCCTCCGTTCTCGGAAAAGTTGATGTGATGAGCAAGGAGCGGGACAAGCGGCCGAGTCCTGTTTTGGAAACCCTCACCACAGCGACTTCTACAGCTTCAGCTCTCACAACAATGTCATGACTTTTCAAACAACACTTCGGAGATCAATTACAACAATGGCTAATCCCACAGTTTCGACTTTTTCTCAGGCCGTTGTTGGGGCTATGAGGAAGTTGTAAGTGACTTATACCCTGTGACCGAGAATGCATTGTTTACTTTAGCTATAGGTACCCTGAGAAGCTTGCAGACAGTAGTTTCGATAATACTGGACGTAAGTGGCGAAATATTATGCAACTATGCAACGTACTAAACCTCTTCAAGTCCTCCTCGAAGCTCCATATCGACCAGGCCATCTGAAGAACTCAGCTCTCCTCACCGTGGATCTCACCCGAGCAGTTGCAGATGAAGCTATTGCAAGGAAAGATTCCATAATCATAGCATACCGTAAGGAACTTCCATAATAACGTTTCCGGACTTCACTCTCCCCCCTCTTTCTTTCAAACCCCGGAGGACCATTCCTGTCAAACTCAGTCTGTCCGAAAGCACTCACTTCAATATAAAATACAGAATGTAGACTAATCTGAAGTAGACCCCATAATCTTCCGCCCTCTGAAAGCACTTACGCAAAGCAACACCCAACAAAGTACCCTGTTACGGCTTGCCCAAGAGGGTATCAGTGTCTACAGCCCCCATACAGCTCTAGACGCCGCCGAGAACGGTCTCAACGACTTTCTCGTGGCATGTATCACAGCTGAAACGCCCATGGTGAATGGAGAGTGAGTATTACTATTATTCGAAATCTACAAACATTCCAAAACGTCACAAAGCTAACTTAAAATAGCCCAACTGGTTTCGAACAGCATCACTCTTCCGTGTTGACTCCAATCAAGGATCCTCCACAAGGCTTCGAAACGGCTGGATACGGCCGCATAGTGCGCTTCCACAAGCCCCAGACTCTTGGAGACATCATAGCAAGAATTACATCTAACCTCAAGCTTCCAGGCATCTCAGTCGCAGCACCTCAAACTACTCCAGCCGGGGAGAGGGACCAGATCAAAATCTCTTCTGTCGGCATTTGCGCAGGTTCCGGTTCCATGCTCAATGGCCTTGATGTAGACTTGCTGTTTACAGGGGAGTTGAGCCACCACGAGGCTTTGGCCGCTATTGAAAAGGGCAAGTGTGTTATCACCACTTTCCATAGCAATTCGGAAAGACGATTTCTGGAGGCTCGGCTGCTCGGTCAGCTGGATGCTGCGACGAAGAAAGAAGTCGAGGAGCTGGGCAAGAAGGGGCAATGGGAGGAGAGTTTGACAAAGGATTTCACTATAGCAGCTAGTAAGGCTGATAGAGACCCTTTCGTGATCGTGATGCGCGAGTAAAGAGATGGCAATCACAGAAGACAGAAACGCGAATCACATTGGATACTCCCTCTGGTGACCATTATATCGTGGGCAGTAGTCGAGGAGTATTATGACTCTTCTTGAAAGCAATCAGTCGCATTGGGCAAGTAGGGATGGTGGATTATTACCGTTGGCTTGCAAATGATTACAGCAAGCCCTACCGGGTATCATGATTTCGATTCTCTCTTACTCTTCACATTAACCCAACTCTTCTCGTTAGGCGGCTCCCCTCTAATAGCAGCCTCCCCATCCTCAATACAATCCAAAACATCATCACCACCGACCCTGCGTTCCTTCCACCTCTCCAACAGCCTCAGCGTAGGCTCCCACACCCTCCTCGCCTCCTCTACACTCCCCTCATCCATCAAGCCCCTAACCTTCTCCGGCGTATCCAACATCCTCCCCACCACCTCCCTCATCTTATCCCTCCTCTCAGCCTTCTCTCTTTCCCCCTCACTCATCTCGGCCCTTTCCCTCTGCCACCCCGGCATTCCCTCCCTCATCTCCCTCTTAATACTCTCCGCCCTCGCATAAATACTCGCGATCGCCGGATCAAGCGTACTAGCCATCGGATTCAGCGGATCCATATTCACTCTCATCTTCCTAATCGTCTCCGTAGCCGCAATCAACTTGCTATAATTATCATACACCAGTGCCTTTTTCTCTGCGTCCAGTGCCCGGATATCTGTGAGTACGCCATTGTAAGTCCTGAGCAGCTCCGAGAGCGATTGTGTGGACAGCACGTGCGAGATATAGGCATTGGCGTCGAAGTGGGCGTGGTCGAGCTCGGATTCTAGGACCTCGCTGTTGGAGGAGTCGTGGATGGATGATGCTTCTGATGCTGCGTCGTTTATGGGCGTTGAGGGAGTGGTGCTGGTCTCCTCTTGGGCTTTCTTTAGGTTATAGTATTCTCGTAGTGCGGCTCGGTTTGCGCGCTTAGGCTGTGCTAGGGAGGGGCCACGGTTAGGTGAGCTTTCTGAGGAGCGGGGGATTTCGAGGGATGGCCGTGAGGATGAGGAAGGTGTGGTTGTGGAGATTATGGGGACGCGGCGGCCGTTGACGGATGGTTCGCGGGGGCTGGCTATGGTTGACATGTTTTCGAATGTCTCATAGGGAACTCATGGGGGCAGGTGTCATTGACGGGGGTCAATGATAAGTTTTGAGAACAAGAGATGTTGAATTGTGGTGTAGAGTGAATGAAATACGTGATGCGGTCAAGTAGTTGCAGAAGGCTGCGAGGCTGGAAGCGAGGCTCCAAGACTTCTTGAACTTCCACTCTTCTCTGTCCGCGTTCCAAGAAAGAACAACAACAGACCCTTAAATTGATGATGCACATTTCTATTGCTGAGATCCTTGCAATACGATCTACGCAATGGCATCCCCAATAACCCCAACTCAACTCTCCACCGCGCTCATACAATCCGGCCTCCCAACGCCTCACCCCTCCTTCCTAACCCCCCATACTAAACACCGCATCAAACTCCCAACGCCAACCCCCGCTCTCCTCCCTCTCAGCAACAGCACGTCTCCGCCTCCTCTCAGCCGACATATCAACACCCTCCATCCTCGCCCCAACCAACGGCTCCTTCCCCCAAAACATATCCGATATACGAGTCAAAGAAAAAGTGCTGGGACAAGATATCCCAGTACAAGTAATTGACATTGAAGACATCGGACGCAGCAAGTGGGACCAGATTCTGGATCTGGAAGCAGAGCGTAAAGGGGAGCGGGTGAAGGGGCGGGAGGTCATACGCGTGCTACCTACACAAGAAAATGAGCTTGGCTCTACAGCTTCTACGCAAGCGATTGCTAACCCTACGGCTGCGAATGCGGCAGTATCGAACAAGGGGCCGTTCAAAGTTCTATTGCAAGATATGAAGGGACAGCAGGTTTATGGGTTTGAGGTGAAGGGAGTGGATAAATTGGGGTATCCGCCGGGCATGAATATTGGGTGTAAGGTCATGTTGAAGAAGGGGTGTAAGGTTGCGAGAGGAATGGTATTGCTTGAACCGGCGTGTGTGGTTGTCCTTGGCGGAAAGATTGAGGCGCTGGATAAGGGGTGGAGAGAGGGTAGGGAGGAGAGGTTGAGGATGGATGTGAAGAAGAATGAAGAGGCTCCTGGTAGGGCAAATGTTTGATGAATGCTAATATCATTAATGAATGTGGGATGATGTGATGTATGAATATCACAAGGCATATTTGAAAAGATCCATTGATTCTGGACTTTGGGAGCTGGGTTAGAGTTATTTTTTGATGCCCCCAAATGGCGAAAGGAGATTTGGTTACAAATTGTACCACCAGGTAGTAAACATTGCTATCTATTGTCTTACGATACCAGACCAGTCATTGAACAGACTTTGTTAGACAGACGACTCAAGAAGCTCACAACAAACCGCAGCAAATGAACTATCATCTCATGGGTCGTACCAGTTCTCTCGCCTGCCGCCAGCTAGCAAGATATATATCATCGCCTTAAATTTCGAGGGGTCTTCGCAACATGTGCTCGCGTAGGGAATATCCAACATCCCACTATAATATGCAATTATGAAAACTCCTTCGTTATGACATTGACATTGACATTGACATTTCCGACACTCAACACGCGTTTCCCTTTTCAGATCGTTCCTGCGAGCAATGGTGGGATGATTGCATAGCTAGAACATTTCAAGCCATTTTGACATTGGCGTATCGTAAGTGATTCATAACATGTATTCGACTCGTTACCAGTGATAGACAAAACAAATGTCTGCAAAGCAAAGCGCTTAGCGCATGATTTCTTCATAGATTAGCTGCTTGAGTTGCTCTTTGCTTAGATTGTCCTTATTTTTGTCAAAGTCGAAGAACTCCTCTGGAATTGGGTTTGCGGTTGGCTCATCCTCGGGGTCGTGGTACGGCTCTAAGTAAGGGTGCTGAAGAGCCTCATCAACGGTGATACGTTTCACGGGGTTGAATGCCAAAAGCTTCTCAAGGAGATCCAGTGCCAGGTCGGAAGTTTTGGGGAACAAGGAGCGGAGAGGAACCTTCTTCTTGAAGGGTAAAGAGCGGATGTACTCGCGAGCACGGCGCGACTTGATGCCGTAGTAATCCTCCATGGTTGGGGTGCCAAGTACATCCAAGATAAGGGTGAGCTGGTGGTGGTCTAAATGAACATTAGCAACTGAAAGCGAATGTGACTTGGCTAAACTTACAGTCCTTTCCCGGGAACAAAGGCTTTCCGCTCAACATCTCAGCCAAAATGCAACCAACAGACCAGACATCAATAGCCTTTGTGTATTCTTTGAAGGTCAACATGATTTCAGGCGCGCGGTACCAGCGGGTAGCAACATATTCTGTCATGAAACCGGAGTTATCCTCTTGAGAGGCAGCCGAACGAGCTAGCCCAAAATCACAGACTTTCAGATCGCAGTTGGCATTAAGAAGCAAGTTGGAGGGCTTGAGATCTCGGTGAAGAACGTTTGCAGAGTGCATAGCTTTAAGCGCACGGAGAGTCTGGTAGATGAAGTATTGGCAATGGTCATCGGATAAGTCTTGGGTACGAATCACACGGTGCATATCAGTTTCCATAAGCTCCTATAATCGTTGATTAGCCATCTAGTGTTATACAATTTAATTTAATTTTTAAGTCTTACCTGGATGAGATACACTTCCGTGAATGTTTCATAGCTCCGAGGCTTCTGAATATCGAGAATGGAGATGATGTTTTCATGATTGAAATATCGGAGGAGTTTCATCTCACGCAGTGTACGCAGGCAGAACATAGAGTGGTCGAAGGGAGTGATTTTCTTGATAGCAACCTTTTGACCGGAGGGTTTATGAAGTGCAGAGCTATTAAGTGAGTTAGCTGTGTTGCAACATAGATATGGGGAGTATGTAGGGCCGTCGCTGCACCGTGATAGGATGAACATACCACACGACACCATACGCTCCCTCTCCAACTACATCTTGAATATCATATTGTTCTGAAACATTGAAAGAAATCTTGCGCGATCCCGTCGATGGATTCGGCGCCCGAGATGTCATCCTGACTGAGCGTCGAGGATGTATGTATTTCGGGGAGACGTTCGAGAAGCGAAAATAACTGCTTCAAGAAGTGCAGCATGTCTGCAGCAATGATCGAGTGCAGGTAAACTCGTTGTCGTTTAATATGCTGGAGGATTGACGAGGTATATAAATGTAAAGATGCAGGAGGTGATGAAAGTATTTCCTTTGTCGTCTTTCGTCTCTAAACTTCTAGCGTTATGGCCGAGCGGGCGGGCAATTGTATTGGAGCTTCCGGAAATTGCTGTGAACTATCGATGCTCTTACGCTTGAGTCGTACCGTCTGTTATGGGTCCGATTCGAAGTTGCAGATCCTATTCTTGACTGTCAATTCGATGTTTCTCTAAACCGGTGGGTGTTGTCGTACTCTTTCTTCAGCAAGGCAAGGTTGCGCTCGGTCCCGCCAGGAATCTCCAAGATGTCGCAACTCTGAAATCTAGGCCTAGGAAGTGAGAACAAAGTCAAGTCTTTGACCGCTTTGATTCGGGGACTTCGTATTTGGTGGTTCTCTAGAATCGAAGGCAGGAATCAGCATCTCTTTATTCATTCCAGCCTTTGAGCCCGAAACCCGCAAATGGCTTTGTAGAGCTTTCAAAGGACGCACTAGGTATGGAGTTCCAAATACATCATCCAGCCACAGGTATTGCGGAAGATGCAAAATGTTGCCGTACCTATGAGATCTAATTCTGTGTTCCAGACTGGCGTTGGACTGGCGTTGGAGTTGCCCCGCTACAAGGTCCCTGCTTCTAATACCACTGTGCGCGCAAAGCTGGTGAGTTGTTGATACTTGAGAGACAGCGAAGATATATGACAACGGCGCGGATGATGTTGGAAGGAGGTTGTAAGCAGTTCGGAAGGTCACGGTCACGATGTATTGTATGCTGCTGGAGTGGAATGTCTGTCTGTAGGTCGAATCCTGTTGATTGATCGGGTCGGGATAGGATGGGCCTTGTGCTCAAGTCGGTCTAGTCATGGCTGGTGTGCTTCTGGTGCTGATGGGCCGAAGGGACGACCCCTCGATAGTGTGGATGAGTTCCTGGCGTATCAGATGCCCTAGACGGCTGGTGAGATCCCCCCACTGGCCCCCTAATAAGCGCCGGAATTCTATCACACCCACCACTTTTCGACCCCCAATAACGGATCCAGCCGAAAACAACTCCCCAAGAGCACTTGGACGCTTTGATACGAGATTCATGGCAGCGGCGCCTGTTTCACGGGTCTAGAAATGTTTCATGGCCGGCCTGACAGGTTGACAAGTGTGACCAAGTGTTGCTCGTATATTAAGACTGCAGTCTGCTCGGCCTTGGACCAATCAGAGCCGGTTTTTCACACCGTGTATGAGCCCTCCAATGTACCGCTACACATCTACTGTACGGAAGGTATAGCATGATATCTACAGCTCTGCGTCTGGCCTGTGCGGTCTTTGTGATGAATGCACAACTACCGACCTTGGACAGAAACGGTCTGCATTTAATCTGTTTGGTTTCTTGTGCCTGACATCGAGGCAGGATGCTTCCCCATTGGGTAATGCAACACCAGAACCGGGTCTCAATCCAGCGGGCGACCTCTCAACTAAACATCATCCTTCAAATGTTGCACAAGCCCACTTCAAGCAGTGCAAACTCTCCATCTAAATATTTCTAAAGTAGAGCATTTTACTTGTAGAACACGGGACGATTGTCTAACTGCCGTGCGAATGGAAAAGGCCATGTTTGACTAGAGTTTGAGTTCGTCGCAACTACAACCCCTACCCTGAAGACCCCCCCATATTACCTCGAGTATACCCTCAGAAAGAACATGGGTTTGACTCAGGGGCAGCAAATCCTTCAAGCTTATCTGCAATACAGTACACTGCTTACTCTTCTTGCCCGGAGAGGATCTTGGTGGATCTTTCAGCTGAACATTCTAGCTCGGTAAAGAAACAGGGTGCTGTTTCGAAAACTACAGAATTGAGGCTCTCGTTCTTCAACGTGAATATTTCCCGACTAAATGAAGATGATGTTCACAATGTGCCAGGAAGGCTTATATTTTGTAACGATCAAGGCAGCTGCTTCACTAAGTATTCTATATAATGCTACAGAGGTAAATCTCTTTGAGATTGCTGTTTTATTGAACAACCTGCACAAGCAACGCATCAGCACAAACCCGTAGTATTCAAATACCCATCCAAAGTTTAGCTCACCTTTTCTCTCAGTGTTCCCATCCACTGCTGGAAACTCATGCCTTGGTCCGCGCGATCCTCTACCAACAATGTTTGCGCCCACAACTTCAAGCTTGGATCTCCATCTTCCCGAATGACATAAAGATGAGGAACAATGATGCTCCCGACACCGCGAGATCGGTAGTCCCGAATTTTCTGTACCACTGCCCGAACGCGTTCGCTAAAATCGTTGTCAAGCTCTGGTAACGAGCTCTTGCCGACCTTCAGCTTAGTTCTGTCCTCAACACCGAAAACGTCCGCGAGTAGCTGCGGCACTGAATCACGCCAACCCACAAGAACTGAGTCTGGCCATCATCAATAAGGTAGAGACCGTAAGGAACAATACGCTCCGACGAGAGGTTATGTGGAGGTGGGAGAACGATTTGGCTCGTCTCTGGATCAGGAACACCTGCGTTGTCTGGCATGTCGTGTAATGAGTAGAGTCGTGGGTAAATGTATTGCATCAAAAGAGGGAGGGGGAGAGTTGACAGCTGGCAAAGGGCCGCCGATCGAAGATCTGATGGGATCTGAGCAGATTTTCGAAGACCAACGTTCTTAATGAGTCCAAGGAACAAAACAGGCAGGCCACGCAGATTTGCCGGGAATTGCAGGCCACCACCTCCCATATTTCCACCAGCAAGCTCCTTCTTGAATGTCTGGAGAAGTTCAATGAGCTTGGATTGAATTGCGTCTCGGGCGGGCTCAAGTCCGCTACTTAACGCTCTTTCAACTGCCTTGTGGCTAAAGAAGGTTGTAATCGCGCACTGATCAGCTGAAGCATAGACATCCGCAAGCTGGGTGGTTGTGGGTAGAGACAGGGTCATTACTCGAATGCGTCTCTCTCCGTTGCTAGTCGTATGAAGAACGGCAGTTTGCATGCAAACAAAGTTCTTTGTCAAACTCTCGTCAATAGCTACTTCGACCACGTAACTTTGGTCTCTGGGGAAAGCTGGGAAAGCACAAAGATCGGAGCTTCGGTTGAAAAAATTGCCGTAGAACGTGCTCATGCGGAGGCCGGTTGTAGCACGAACACGCAAGACAGCCTCAAGTCCAATTTCAGAGGAAAGGTAATCACTGAACTCTGTGGCAAACTTGATAGCATCTTCGCTTCTGCCTGCATTCCATCCGGGGTAGAAATAGGTTTGACCTCCAGTGTATCGTGGAAGGTTGCTGAGAGATGCCACGTCTTGGTATTGGGATGAAAAGAGGAACATGTCGATAGAAACTTGGTTCTTCGAGCACTCAACCGCAAAGCTCTTATAGAAGCTATTTCCAGTCTGGAGCAAACTGCTTTCTTTCGAAGTTCCCAATAACTTCTTGTCTTCACGCATTTCCAGTTTTCCATATCCAACGTTGGGCAAGGAAGCAGTTATGACAACAATCTTGCCACCAAGAGGTGAAATGAGCTTGTGGCCAGCCCGTAAAGCAGAGCCCATACAAGACCCATTATTCTGGTTACTCTGGAACATCGATGGGAGGGCGGTCAAGAATTTTTCGACGCTGACTCGACTTTCTGACAACGGAACAAGAAGTTCCTGGGGAATTGGCAAGAACGGCTCATCCAAATCGCTAACAACGAGCATACTAGTTTCATCATTCTCATCAGTATCCTTAGGAACAGCAAAATAGTGCAGGCTCGAGTCCACAGCCATGAATCCGACCCGAGTCCGTCTATCAGCATTTGGTATCCGGTTTAGACTGTCTAGAATAGTTCGAGCACTAGTAGCAAGAAGGCCACATGATACGGACGCATAGCTGACATCGAAGAGAAAGAGATATACCAGAGGTTGAGGAGGTCGAACCATGTACTCCTGAGGCGCGACAAACTCAACTACTGCATGGTTTAGCTCAGGTCGTTGCCAGCGGTCAACACTCTTTTGTGCCGCAGTATCCCAGTCAAACGCCTGAGGAACATCATTCGTTAAATTGCACATATTACACCTCCATCTATGTCCATGATCAAGAAATGTAACATAAGGATTAATGTATGACCGACATCTTCTGCAACGAGAGATGACCTGGTCTTGGACAATAGGTACTGGATCATCGACATCATGAAGAGAAGTGTACGGTTGGATGACGAGTGCAAAAGGAAGTTTCGACTTCTTGAGGAGTGAATGCGTAGTAGGAACAGCGTTCAGGGTTGATCGGACATATTTAGGGGGACAGTTTGCGTCCGGCGAAGGGGTGACACTCGACTGTTCATATAGATCAGTAAAGTTTTCGCTTTTCTTTTAATTAAAACTGAAAACACTTACATCAGGTGGTAGTATGATCGGAGGGGGCGGTAGGTCCAATTCTGCAACGTTGAAAGGCTGGTTGAGTAAATCGGTGGGGTATAATTGGTTCAATGGCCCTGGACGAGCAGCTGCTTGCTGAGGTTGGGCTTGTGGTTGCGCTCCAACACCCATTTGACCCATGCCTTGCGTAATGCCAGCTACTCCACCAGGAGATGGTGCTCCAGGACCTGGATATCCAGCATCAGGAGGTTGATAGCCTACACCGCCGCCATATGGGGCGCCAGCAAAACCTGGGGCAGGTGCTCCAGGGACAGGCGCTGCTCCAACTTGAGCTCCATATTGTGGTGCACCACCATATGCTGGCTGCTGTGGTTCTGGCTGCGCTGCATATCCGCCATAGGCAGGAGCTTGAGGTGGTTGAAATTGCCCACCTCCCTGCATCTGCCCTCCCAGCGCTGAGTTCGCACCAGCCCCAAAGTCGTAAGCTTGTGCAGCATACCCTCGTTTCTTCTTCTTTCCCCCTTCATGTTCAGGTTGTCCGGCTTGAGGGGGAGGAGACGTCGTGCCGAAACCTGGCTGCGCTGGACTCTGCTGCCCATAAGGATCTGGGGCCTGGTAGGCATCCTGCCCATTGTATCCAGGTGGTGGTGCCGCCATTTTGCGTCAATTCGTAGATTGCTAGCGATTGGTGTTGCGCAGCTTTCTGAAAGTACAGAAGGCTAGAGAGTGGCCGTCTAAAGCTTTTCAGATATGCTTTTGGTGAAGTTCGAGTATCTAGTGGATCTAAGCCTCTAAGACGGTCTAGTAGGGGGAACACGTTGCGAAGTTGTGTTCAAGTCAGATGTCCTTGATGGTGGTGACTTAGCCCTCAGATCAGCTATCACAAAGTCGTAGGATGTGAGTGGTGAGGATAGTCATGACACTGAAGAAAGCCGACTTGTGGGGGATGGGGAATTTCCTGGCCTTGCCTTGCATGGAGGACTGCCCGGTTGGAGTCGGTCGCTCCTGCCACCTTGCTTGCTTGACGGTCACGTGGGTATATCAAAGGTCTGTGCATTGTCAGCCTTTAGCCAGGAGGATTGGCATGCGACAGTACGAAGATAGCTTACACGAGGACAAACAATCTCTTCGCCAAACACGTAAAACAACAGTTCCCCCTCCCCATCTTCTATTCTTTCTTTTCTTCATCACGATAGACCATTTGCAAACTTCACTTGCAATCATGGCTTGGGGTAGATCTACGCCGAAGCCGCCACCCACCACTTCAGCTTTGAGGTACTTCCCCACACTCCTTCTCCTCTGTGGGCCTAACTAACAGCAACAACAGCAAAATCCTCCCACTCCTTGTCCTTCTGGTTGTACTTGGGGGATGCGCTTTCGTCGGTTACCACATCTACCTTTCTATGCAGAAGATCTCTTCCGCTGCATCAGATAAAATGCAATCCAAGAATATGGTATTTACCAAAGACGGGCTTAAAGTTGGGGTCAAGGAGCGCAAGACCGAGAGCTATGTTGATTCGACACAAAGCCTATTCGTGAAGGCATGGAACCTGAGTACTTGGCCTGGATATAAGAGCAGGCTCTGGAACCAACAACAACCTGAAAGCGGGAAGCCGGAACCTAGAAAACCGTGAGCATCTTTCCCATTGATTGCTTCTATTCTACGCGATTAGTTTGCTAGAGATTCTCTCTACGTATCACTTGGAAGCAGCCTTGTTCAGTTTAGCTCGACTCTCTTTCCTCTACCATGTTATACTCATTTCTTCTTATTCTCTTCTATTTGCTAACATTACTCGATAGATTCTCCAGACACGCCTCTTCTGCGAAGTAACTTTTTGCATGTATCTTTCCGATACTCACGAATTATATTTACGCTACGGTCTTGATGTCCTTCTCCCTCCTACACTTCGCCATCAAATATGGGTGGCTATTTAGTCAAAGTCAGAACCCTGCATCAGAAAGTGGCGGTGTCATATGGAGCGGGCAACTCTTTCGGGTTCTTTGCTCTGCAGGATAGAGCTTGTTGTTTATATACCACGGGCTGGGCTTGTTTTGATTTGCACTAGATGAATGAATGAAAATAACGGGACATGTCTTCTGCCACATCACGGTTACGGTTCCCTCCAGCAGCTCTCATTACAGAGTAGCTTCTCATAAATAATTATAACACAACTGCTGCCTTCATAGCCTTTTTCCGGATTATGCCTTGAAATGTTGTCAGTCGACTTTACTTTGACTAAAGAAATAGGCCGTGAAACAATAGAAACCCTGGCTTCACGGCCCAAAACTCTCGGATTTATAACCGTAATGAAAGTCAGTAAAAAACCAGCTTATCCGAATCCAGCATAGTGATACCGGAAGGCAACGACTTGCTGCGGAGGTCGGAGTATAGGTATCATTAAGCTCGACTGCAGGGTACAGCTAGATATATTAAAGAGCAAATCCAAAGACCTTGGATCTACTTTTCTAAAAGCTAGCTCAAGCGTCGAACTGCGATATGCAACAGTGATATAATAGGAAGCAAGAATTTGAACGCCACTGATAGCACAGATCCAAGAGTAAAGAAAATTAGTTGTATTCGAAGAGTGGAAAGGAAAAGACCAAGGCCAGGGATCTTCACGTGCTCTAAATTTTGGTCGGAGAATCGCTGATGGGCGGTACAACGCCACTCAGCATGCAAAATTGCAAAATTGGCCACATCAAATCACCCAGATCACATATCGCAAAGAGCATCTCAAGAATTCCTTAGCAACTGTATGGTATTTGACATCTCTAAGATACACCAGAGCTTTCAGAAGCTAATTGTCAATCCAGCGATCCATATGTCCAGTTTACTTTCCGGCCTCATCGAAGATGTAGGTCAAGTGGCAACGTCCACAGTATTGGCGATCGTGCATGGCAGCCATGAAAACACCAGCACCGCACTGTATCTTATTAGCATTTGCCCACTGCTGTCATGAAATTCATAAGACTTACGTCGGGAGTGGGGCACTCTCTGCGAAGACGCTCGATCTTTCCATCACCGTCGACCTTGTAGTATTTGAGAACCGCCAACTTGGTCTTCTTGCGCTTGTGCTTGATCTTCTTGGGGGTAGTGTAGACCTTCTTCTTGCGCTTCTTGGCACCTCCACGTAGACGGAGTACGAGATGGAGGGTTGACTCCTTCTGGATGTTGTAGTCCGAGAGGGTGCGGCCGTCTTCGAGTTGCTTGCCGGCGAAGATTAGGCGTTGCTGGTCAGGAGGGATGCCTTCCTTGTCCTGAATCTTGGACCTGGAACGGGATTAGTTTTCATGTTTGCTGCATAATGCAGCGGACTGCGTACTTGACATTGTCGATGGTGTCCGATGACTCTACCTCGAGGGTGATGGTCTTGCCCGTGAGGGTCTTCACAAAGCTGTTGCACAAATATTAGTCTTCGTCTTTCAGATTATCGCCATCCTATACTCACATCTGCATGATTGCCTAGACAGCGATGTCTCGATGTCTTCCTCAACAATCAGGGTTGCTTTGTAAAAGAGGCAAATAAAAGTTCGCGGTTGTGCGAAAGCCAAACTTGATATAGCTAGCGTAAACGTGACCTAGCTTAGTCATTCGCTTAGTCAGCAAAAGACGCGTACCGTCTTTTGCTCACAACACCATGAATACGAAGCATCATCCACCAGAATACCAGAATCATACTTACTACGCGTAGTAGCAACGTGATCACGTATTAGCCTGTGATACCAACAGCAACTAATTAGGAATTAAAATATTCAAGGCTACTTTAAGATTACAAAAGTTCTTAATCCAGGCGATAGAATAAAGGGCGGCATGGATAGAGGCGTCTTCGTGGTTCGAGTCAAAGGTGTACCTAACAAGCTAGTTTCTAGAGTTGAACGCAGATATGTTGGCGTTGATAAGGAAGAAAGAATTGAAATCGTGTTTGTGGGAATAAGAGGTTGGCGAACAAGGAATCGAGTCACGTGATTGGCGCAGAATCAGACGTGACTATGTCGCCTCAGAAACACGCTAGCTCTATTGCAGTTAGCTTCTCGCACAACTTCTGGGCCTTTGTAAATTTCCAGAGTTCGCGAGATTTCGACATCCAGCAATTTCGCAGATTCGATTTGATCAACATCACAAATCAGTGAGTTTTATACCGGAAGGGAATGCGCCGAAGCCTTTTACTAATCTCTCCTTCTCAGAATCCGCCAAGATGGTCAAGAAGCGCGCGTCCAAGTAAGAATACCCCTCATCGCCAACGCTCGATCTCCCCTGCAACGATTAAGAAAGACTCTTGTTCAACTCGTCGAAGATTGTGGAGGGCTCCTCGTGGCGGATTCATGTGAAAACAATGATCGAAGGCTGACACTCTGGTTACAGCGGACGTAACAAGAATGGCCGCGGCCACGTCAAGCCCATCAGATGCAGCAACTGCTCGCGATGCACCCCAAAGGACAAGGCGATAAAGAGATTTACCATTAGAAACATGGGTATGATGAGAATTCGAATCCTTGAATACTTTGGGAAGACTGAGTACTAACCACCAACCCACAGTCGAGTCCGCCGCTATCAGTATGTTATTTCCCTACCACAACCCAATCCTAGGCCGGAGAAATCATGGGCGCAATAATAAGTTACACTCGGAGGAACAATTATGCTGATTCTCTATTCATAGGGGATATCTCGGACGCATCTGTATTCCCAGAATACACCGTTCCCAAGATGTACCTGAAGCTGCAGTACTGTGTCTCTTGCGCCATCCACGGCAAGATTGTTCGGTACGTTAAGCACTTCAGATGAACCTTGGTCGAGCATCCTTCCGGCAACAGAAACAGAAGGGCTAACAATTCTCTCTATAGTGTCCGCTCCCGCGAAGGTCGCCGCAACCGTGCTCCTCCTCCAAGAGTTCGCTACAACAAGGACGGCAAGAAGGTCAACCCCAACCAGGCTGCTGCCAAGACCACTCAGGCATAAGGGATTGCATGGATGATTTCGGGTTACGGGGAGTCAGTTACGATTGCATGGAGCATGGAATCTGGTGTTCTTCTGAGGAAAAACAGCTAGCGTCGGATTTGAGTCTGCTTCTTAGCAGAAATTGATCTTCTTGAGCCTGAATATGTGTCTAAAGTGTTTGTGAATGTCTTATATGATTATTTGGGGTTTCTTCGCGCTGTGAAAGTGAGTTATAACTCAGCTCTCCTGGTTGAGGTGCGTACACGGCCTAATAGCCAAGGGCTAGCTTGAGCCAGGTTACAGTATAATACAACAAAGAATCAAATACATGCTCTCGCTTTCATCATCATGTGCCAGAATATACAGCGGTTGCTCCCCTCCCGCACTCAATCCTCTGCTCCACGCTAACATTTCTTCCTTCAAATCGGATATTCTTCCTTGGTGTGATCTGGAACCTATGTTCTTCTCTCCTTCCTTTCTCCCTATCTGCTTCTATGTCAAGAGGCTGGATGTATGTAGGATTGCTAACATTATTCCTCTTGCCGGTCCCCAGCTGATAAAACTCATTGTTTCCCCACCAAAGTACATCTGCTCCCCAATTCGTATCATTCTCCGAACTGTAATCAGAAGCCCCGAGATGAACCACATTATTCATAGTAGCAGCAGTATGCGTAGCTCCCACCGACAGACGTGCAAGCCGAATGGGGATGACCTTGTGAGCAACCTCATCGTATTCAAAAAGGCCGGATAGTGCTTTGATTTTGGTTGGTGTGCCTTGAACATGTGTCCAGCGTCCATTTCCGAGGCCTCCCCAGATTCCTTGTCCGCTAGCCCAGGTGTCTGCCGTAACGCGACCAAGCCCACGAGGGTCATCTTCTCCTTGTCCTGCTATTCTCGTAGCGTCGATGGTAAAGAAGCTGTTGACGCCTCCAGCTGCGACATCTGTGACTTTCGGGTGTAGATTGGTGCCCTTATAGAGCTTGTCGATCGGGAGAAGAGACGGGGCGTCGATATTTGGAGACTCAGAGTCGGCATCAAAGCCCAGTTGACCAAGAGAGTTGTCGCCGAACGCAAACACTCTGCCTTCTCTGTCGGCAGCTAGAGAGTGAAAATCCCCAGTAGCAATCTTGGATATTTCAAACCCCCTCAACGTGCTGATCTCGTGTGGTTGATCGTATGGTCCTGATGGCCGGGTATTCCAGGTCAGGCCTGGTATGCCAAGTTGCCCTTTCTTTGGGAAATCCTCGGTCCCGGAAGCAGCTGAGAAGAGTCGGCCATTTGAGGTAAGAATGAGGCAGTGCTCCAGACCACTGCTGACATCTGATACCTTTTCACCCCAGGCCAGATTGTCCGGTTTGAGATCTCGATAACTAACGGCGGATCTGCTTTTCCAGAAAGGGAACCAAGTACTCTCTAGGGTCTTTGGTCCCGCATCTTGGTCGGCTTTGGAGGCAGAAATCGAATAGACATTTCCGTTGGAGGATAGAGCTATAATCCGGTCTCGAGAGATTGATAGCTTGGTTAGATCTTTGCCTGTGAGGGTAGGTTCTGGGCCTGAAGAAGTTGTAGAATATCCAGTCCCCCATTGAAGTAGATCTCCATTCTCGGCAATTGCGGCACCAAAGTTTCTATCCAGCTTAATATCTCGAATAAGTTTTCCATCGAAAAATGGTATTCTTCGTGGAGTTTTAATGAATGCTTCATCAGAATCGGGTGCAACCACTTTGCCGCTGTTGGATCCCCATGCATAGACCCCCGGACTTTCCCAGCTCTTCTTGACTTGTAAATGCTGTGAGCTTATCAAATCTCTGTTCTCCTCCCTGGATGTTCCCTTCTTTCGAGCCTTCTCGAAGGTTACTTCTGCTGGAGCAGGAACAGTTTCAGCATGCAAAGTTCCTGGATATCCTAGAGAGTAGAGGAAACCGGCACCAATCATAGCAGACACGAGAAAGCCTGCAGCTTTGGCCTTTGGCGAGGATCTACTGACAGCAGCAACTCGAGCTTGTCGTCCATTCCCGAAACATCTTTGCTGACAATTGCGAGACTCCTTACTTGCTCGTTGAGCAATCTGGAAAGCTCTCGAGGTGGTTCTTCTTGATTGAATCATTGTCGAATCTGTGAAGGTATAAGTCTAAGATCAGAGTCGATTAAACAAAGAAAACCATTACGATTATGCCTGTTAGCATCAAGGAGAGATTATATATTTGTAGTTTTTTCATACTTCAGCCTTGTCACTCTTCAATGACGCCGTGAATTACGGTTGACAGAAGTAGCCACTCACGCACGCAGCCGCCTCGTGTGGGTCAACTTATGCTTAGCACTTCAAGGTGAACGAACGTGTTAAATTTCTCAGCCTCATCCATTAAAATCAACCGCTACTAGCCAGAAAGATGTATGAAGATTCCTGGTACAGTTTTGTACCAGAAACCACTTCTAGAAAAGACGAAACAATACCCCAGAATACAAAACATCGTCGTCGCGAGTCCTTATTGAAACAAACAAATGTCAGCCATTCCTTCATTCTTAGAACGACATAGCTGATAAGTATCGTAGGGTGCGGATCACATTTCTGAACCTTCCGACCCGATTTTAGAACTTTTTGAAGAGAGTCATGTTCTTAAAGGTCCGCCTGAAGCTACACTGGCTAGAAGAGCCAAATCATATAGCGATTTTTATGATATTGCTGTCAGCTACCTTGGCAAGGAGCCCAAGTTAGAAACCCCCGGGGATGTGTTCGGAACTTTAGAAAGTGAGGCGGCAAATTCCTCCGTGGAAAATCAGTATGAAAAGTGTGAGGATGATCTTCTAGATGCGAGTCAAGAGGAGTACCAGTATGTTGAACCATGTGAAGTTCATCAGGGACATATGCTGACCCTTGAGGAAGGCTGTACAGAGACCAGCTAGCCCTCTCGGAACGGCACCTGGACAACATCCTTGGTGATACATCATCCGCCTTGGATTTGCTGGCCACCCTGTCTGAGTCCTTTAAATCCGTCGAGTCCCAGACCACAGCATTTCAAGCTCAGTGCGAGGATCTATTGACTGAGCAGAAACGTCTCCGCAGTCTGGCTGATGAGATTGGACTAGAGTTGCAGTATTATGCATATCTAGAACCCCTCACTCGGCGTCTGAATGCCCCTGGAGCTGGAAGATTGGTCAGAAGTGACGACTTCCTAGATATGCTAATGAACTTGAACACATGCATTGATTTCATGGACCAACATGTAAGCCATTCCTTTCCCTGGTATCATATACGGTTGTAATGTTATCATTTTCAAACCTCTCTACCATTCTCTACTTTCGAAGAGCATAATGCTGACCATCAAAGCCAAACTACCGCGACTCAAACGTCTACAAGACTCGTTACACATCTTTACTTGAGAGATCCCTAAATCTCATACAGATGTCGTTTTCATCCGCTCTTCGGGAGGTTACGGACAATGTCAATAAGCAGCTCAAAGTCAAAGACCAGACAGAGACGGCAGAATACATCCTGCTCTACGGCCGATATGAAACTGTAATATCGGATCTTGGGCCCCAGCTCGAGAGGATATTGAGAACGGCAGAGTTCGCATTTAATGATGTTTCAAACTCAAACAACTCAAGTCCATACATCCAGCAGTGGCACGAGCTCTACAGACAACTCGTTGAAATCTATATCAAGAGTCGTGAGCCAGTTGGCCCCTTGGTCTTGAAGAATCTTCGGAATTTTGCCGCCAACGTTCCAAAACCAGACACAGACTTCAAGTCTTTTGCAAGGCGTTGTGTTCAGTATGTCTTCGATATTTGTCACAATGAATTGAATCTTGTGGAGAAGGTATTTCAGGATGGACCTCATTGGAACAAGAGCAGCCAGTTATTGGAGAGGCTGGAGCAAAATCGATTGTCACATGTCACTACGCTTTCAACCTTCTTGACGCCGTATTTAAGCAATGGTGACTTGACGCACATTTGCACTCTGACAAGTTGGTTGGAAACAGTATACCTGACCCCTGCCGATGGTGACTTGGACGGTGATCAATTCAAGGAGGTTAGAAAGCTAACAGCGCATGTCCTACTTGACAAGCATCTATGGCCACTGTCTGATACACTCTTCCTCAAGGCTGCAGCAGAGATTGAGCACTACAAGCCAACTTCCGATGATCTCAAGATTACTTCAGAACCCTCCAGCTCTGTTGAGGATAAGAGATCTACACTTGATAGCAAAGCACATGATGACCAAGATACTCCCTCTTTGGCGAGTCCAGGAATGTCAAGTGCTTTCCCAACTGTCAGAACTGCTGTCAAACTGTTAATCATGTACAACGATGCAGTATACGACAGACCCGTAAGTCATTATACCTTCTCTACCAGGCCCCATCCTAACAAGTCTTCAGAAAACTGGTGATGTGCTCTATGAGATCGTCCATCAAGCCACAGAATCTCTTCAAAAGGCCGCAACAACAATTAAACGCAATGCAACCATTATGGACGCACAGCTGTTCCTGATCAAGAATCTCATGCTTATAGAAAATCTCTTCATGACCCATGAGATCCCAGACTCCGTCCGCCAATCCGCCGAGTTCGACTTCACGCCCATCTGGGACACCATCAAAGAACTCCAGGATCGCAGGCAGCTTTTCAATCCACTCGCCTACTTCACCCCTCTGCTCAAGGGCAAGCTCCTTCCAGCTGTCGTAGACCACCTCCTCGATGCAAGAAAGGAGCTAGAAAAGGTCCTTGTGCAGCAAATCACGGCTTTCACGAAACACTGGCAAGCAAGGCTGAGCAACAAGGATCCTAAGAAGCAGACTTCGACTAGTAAGGCGTCTGCGGAACTAGATATTTTACTGAGAAAGGTCTTCGATGACGAGACAACAAGGGCTGCGTTATGGAAGATGATTAGAGCGGAAGACAACTAGACGGGTGACCGCGATAGAGCGTACACCGGAAGATGCCAAATGGCGAGGAATTGAGCAGTATTGCCCAACTAGCGCTTGGCTACAATTGCCATATCAAATCCTGAGAGCTCACTATATACATACGAGTTCCACACAGAACGATGACTCGGTGACGAAATATTTGCTAGTGACAATAGGAACGCTAGATGACCCTTCGTGGTAGGATCTCACAATTGTGTTAGTAAATGTCTGACGTATGCGGAGACGAGACTCCTCCTGGCTAGTATAGTGTAGCAATATGACTTATCCTGCTGAGGAACGTAACAAATGGTTAAAATAAAATTAGTGTATACTCTTATACGGACTCGAAATCCAACGGGCTTCAGGTAAGCCAAAGGCTGTGACACTCATCAATAGTCATAAAATCATCAAACCACCTCCCAAGATTCCCTTCCACTACCAACTACACTTCTTACCACCTCACCTCACCATCTACAACCTCGACCCGTCTTTCTGCCTCTCCCTCGCTACTAAGCCCCTCAACTCTCTCCTCAGAATCTTCCCAGACGGACTCTTCGGAATCGCATCCAAGAACTTCACTCCACCCCTCAATCTCTTATAATCCGCCACCTTCCCCTTGACAAAATCCTTAATCTGTTCTTCACTGATACTAACATCACCCGGGGTAACAACGTACGCACGCGGGACTTCGGTTGCTTCGGTGGGGACGCCGATGACTGCTGCGTCGAGGATCGAGGGGTGTGTGAGGAGTAATGCCTCGAGCTCGGCAGGCGCTACTTGGATGCCTTTATATTTTATAAGTTCCTTTTATCCGTATTAGTTACTCGTAGCGAGCAGGCATAGATGTGGGTGTAAAGGAAGGTGTGGATTAGATTAGAAGCCAACAAACCTTTTTGCGGTCAACTATATAAGGGAGTCCATTCTTCCAAATCCCAATATCACCAGTGCAAAACCAGCCATCGATAAAAGCATCCTTGGTCGCTTGAGGATTTCCATAATAGCCTCTGGTGACGACAGGGCCTTTTACTAAGATCTCCCCCGGTTGCCCTTCTTGCACGTCTTTCCCGTCATCGTCCACAAATCTGCTTGGTTAGAATTATCTAAGTATTCAAAAAGAGAGATTGGATTGGAACATGTGAGCTTGAGCTTACCGGAAACTCATATTTGGCATAATGGGACTCACGCTCCCAGTATCATCCGTCTGGTCCCACGGCATGACCGTCGCACTTCCTGTAGTCTCGCTGAGTCCCCACGTTTGGGAGATGAGACACTTTCCTTTTCCCAGCTTCTTGCTCGCCGCTTTCTGCAATTCCTTACCCAATGGCGCCGCGCCACTGACTGCTACTTCCAGGGCATCGAATTGGTCCGTTACGATAGACATCTTTGCTATCAGGAGATAAATCGGTGGTACTGTAAAGAAGAAAGTTATGCGAAACTTCTTGTTGTACTCTAGAAACTTGGCGAAGTCGAATTTTGGCATCCAATAAACAGGGCCTACAAGTATCTGACGTTAGTTTTCAGTGGGTATGAAGTGATGATCAGCTTACCTCCCATGTAGAATGGATTTATGAGATAGCCTTGAACGCCAGCTATGTGAGCTGCAGGGAGATGTGCGAGCGTTCGATATTCGAATGGCGGCTCACCCTTTGCGGCGCGAGATGCGATGCGCTCACGAGACAAGGAGCATGGAATGAAGCATTCAGCCACTATATTCGAATGTGACAATACTACTCCTTGGATCTTAAAATCAGCATAATTCTACGCTATATTTGGATGTTGCCAAACCTTTTGGAGCTCCAGTGGTTCCGGACGAGTATAATAAACAGATCAACCTTTCCTCCAGCTCTTTCTGGACCGTAATCTTCTGCCAGTCTAATTTGCCGCTTGAAGGTAGACAGGATGTATTTCCTTCAACGGCTCTCATAGTCCATTCGGGGCTAGAACTTACAACCACAACTCTACTAAGCGGGACTCCACACTCCTTTGCTGACTGGATCGCAACATATTTCGCATCTTCACTGCAGAAAATCAAGTCGCTCGATCCTTGCTGAACTTGTCTGGACAGTTCTGGGGCCGTGAAAGAAGGACTTGCAGCCGAGTACACTCCCCCAGCAGCAATTACTCCATAGAAGACCATCGGGAGAAGCGGTTGACCTGAAGAAATACAAACAACGACATCCTTTCCAGGACCACTGGCTCCAATGCCGTAGTTGTGTCTTAGGCTGTAAGCAACTTGCTTTGTGATATCTCTAGCTTGTGCTTTAGTTATAGCATTAGACGGATTGGCCGCCTCAATATGTATCACTGTATCTTCACTAGCACCACAGGGTGCATAATCTGTTCGGTAAGATTGAATTCTAGTTCTTAGGGAGTTCAATACTGACCGAACAAAAGAGATAGAATATCTAATTTAGGGACATCGAAGGACTTTGGAGACGAATAAATCATGACTGGCTAATACCTTAAAGGGCAATATAGAGTGACACACAACAGGAAGACGAAGTTGAGTTTGAATTGAAATCAAAATGCGACCCCGCGAAAAAGAGATTTTACCGCGGCCATGAAATGCATATGCGGGAGATGTCTTATAATAGAACGAGATGCAAATGCGGGGTATTAGCGCCAATCAGTCACTGTGAATGGGACGCCTTGCCTGGTAATTGTATTACTAATTTGAGGGATGATTGGATTGACCATGAATATCAGAGGCTTATTCGTATGGCTGAAAATACGCAAGCCTAAACAAGAATTGTAAACCAGCCCGAGGTTCAAATACTTGGGAATTCTCTGAAGCCGAACGCGGGGTTCAAGAATGAATCAATCTCTGGATGCAACAGTACAGTACCCCGCAATCGCCTAGACTCAGAATCCTTGTCAAATTTCTCATAAGTCTTCGGTATAATCAGGCTTGCAAAACTTCCAAGAAACCAATCCACACAACCCAGGCTTCGCTTCCTTCTTGGCTACTGGTGGATGATGGAACATGTAATTTTCCGTTTCGTCCCTTGTAGTAGTAGATAGATTCATCACCAGCCCAGCTTTTGGAGCATCCTGATAACCTCCTGAGCGACAAATCCAGGACCGTCCATCTGAATAAAATGCCCACATCCAGGAGCGATAACAACACCATCCGTATGCCTATCCGTGATTCCAGTAAGGCCTTGGTTATACTCAGTCCAGTACCTATTTTAAATTTGTCAGAAGTCCGAACATCCGTGATTGCAGAGAATGAGAACTTACTTATTCGTAAACTTCATACTTAAACTTTTCGGCGTCCCCATCTTCTCCAAACTGACCTCTGCAAAAGTCTCTGGATCATGTCCAACAACGCTCAACCATGGCCCCTTGCCATACGGCCCAACAGGCTTTGGCCCATCAGCATACGGCAACAGCGCTGGACCTGTCGAACGGTCAAGACCTTCGGCATTCTTGACCTTCAAATCAAACATAGCAGCCAGTCTCTCCCGAGCACCTCTGTATTGAGCAAGCGTGCAATCATCAGCAACCACAGTCTTAGGGTCGAAGCCAGGAGCGTCAGGATCAGGCCAGAAGTCGGAATAATTGACGTTGGCTATATTAGAGTCGAGGAAGATTGCCCCTGCCGTAATGCCGGGATGGTGCTGTGCGTAGAGACGTAGAATCGGTACCCCAATAGAAGCGCCAATCAGTAACAAGTGAAGGGTTCCATCTTCGACGTCGCTGGCCTTGAGACCTAGCTCTGCAGTTGCGATAGTGACGATGATCTCGTGAAGGTCATTCGCAACGTCCAAAAAGTCATGGCCGTTTTCCTTGCCGGGCGTGCCGTCTAGAGGATCTCTAGATGTAGTGAGGCCTTGACCGAATCGATCATATGTCAATATCGCTGGGCATGACTTGATATCCTCCCTAAATATCGAGATGGAGGGGAGCCAGGATAAGGCTGGAAGTCCAAGGCCGTTGATGAAGACGATCAGTCTCTTTGGTGCAGCATTAGGTTGATTAGTTGGTTGAAAAAAAGAATAAGAGATTGGTGCATCGGGCTTGCTTGGTATGGTGAGTTTCTGGGGAGGAGAGACGGAAGCGTAGTCTGTTGGTCCTGGGAATAGCTTGGTAGGAGACGACATGATGAAGGGAATGTCCGCGCTCGCTGTAATTGAGAGTGCCACCGACAATGAGACAACGAAAGTCACGACTACACAAGTGCTGTTCCTAAGAGGATTTGTCTGGTCTTTACTCTGTAGCACCTGCCTGCAGCATGTGCTTACGTGAGGCTGGAATCCTTTGGAGAAGCATTATTACGCACTAGCGCAAAGCAAAACGTCATGTTCCAGCAAAACTAAATTAAACAGAGCGAAAATGACAACAAGTTGCACAAACTTAATTATTAGGTAGCTGTCAGGGCAAGCCATGTCTCATCGTAACGTTCGAGCGAGCCCCATAAGTATATGTAGACATGTAAATTGCGTCTGAAGGCAGATGGTTCTGCTCTGATATTTTCATAATTTGTACAAACATAAAAGTCATCCCCAGAACGCCATCGCAATGCATCTCAGTTCACGCCACCCAAACCCAAAAAGCCCTTAAAAGTCCCAAGAGCACCATTCCCGCATGGGGGGAAGCATTGGCATAACGCCGTCCGGAAAGGACCCCGTCTGCCTCATCTGCGTGTACGCCGCCTTTGTTCCGTCATCATAGACGCTCTCGTCCATCTCTGTATCCTTGTAGGGGAGTGGTGGTCCTTCAGGAAACCAGATCTTTGACCAGGTTCCATCTTGGTTTCGTACACCTGGTTCATCTTCATGATACACAACACGTCTTCCCTTGAACATAGTCAATCGTCCACTCTGATCTTTGGAGCTATAGCTGCTGATAGGTGGATGCCCGGTTCCAGTATTTCCATTTATTCCAGGAGGGGGTGTACCAAATGGCATCGAACTCGTGGTGTTAGCGGAGGGATTTCCCAGGGGGTTAGAGGTTGGAGTATTAGGTTGAGTACGGCTAAATGGGTTTGGCGCGGAGGGTGTTGTCCCAAAATTATTCTTTGATTGTACTGGAGGTACAGTTGCAAAGGGGTTCTTCGCGGCGGGCGAAGGAGCACCAAACGGTGCAGAAGACGCACCTCCGAAAGGGTTTGGTGCTTGAAGAGACGGCTGTCCAAATGGGTTAGATGATGCGGGTTGGGGTGTGGTTCCGAAGGGGGCAGACGTTGTAGGCTGTGAAGGGGCGCCGAATGTACCTGTAGTCGCGGGAGCGGTTCCGAAGGGGGCGGACGTTGTAGGCTGTGAAGGTGCGCCAAACGCACTTGTAGTTGCGGGGGCGGCTCCCTGGGACAAAGAGTTCGGGGCATTGGCAAAAGCCGAAAAGGGTGCCGCTGTAGCATTGGACGTACCGCCAAATGCTGAACCACCGGAAGGAGCTCCAAACGGATTTGGCTTTTGACCTAATGAAGAAGGTTGTCCAAAGGCACCTCCTCCACCAGGCTGAGATGGCTGTCCAAAGGCACCTCCTCCTCCAAGCTGAGATGGTTGTCCAAAGGCGCCTCCTGCACCGACTTGTGAAGGCTGTCCAAATGCCCCTCCAGTGCCAGGCTGTGACGGGGCACCGAAAGCTGACGGTGTTGCAAATGGATTAGGCTTTGCGCCAAGAGCCGGTGGTTGACCAAATGCTGGTCCTCCAGAAGGTGCCCCAAACGCTGGGGCTTGGCTTGGCGCCCCAAAGGCGGGTGCCGTAGGCTGTCTGGGAGCGCCGAAAATATTCGATGTTGTTGGCTGAGCACCATTAGGTTGACCGAAAGGATTTGGTTGTGATCCTGATGTAGGAACTTGGGTTCCTTGGACAATATCGATCCGATTTGGGTGCTCATTTTGGGCGTTGATTATGAAGTTTATAGCACCGTCAACGTCGTTGAGGGCCGTATGTATCTGCTGTTCTGAGGCCTGGAATAGCTTTTCTGCTTCTTGAACCTAGAATAGAGTTAGTAAAAAGCAGCTGCTTATGGGCGAGATGCAATGTACAGCTTGCTGAGGATTGCCAGAAGCTACGGCCATATAATGAAGCAAACGCATCTCCTCGAAGCTCTGCTCTCGCATCGGTCCACCAAACAGTTGTGCCGGCGCCTGTCGCCCAGGACCATAGGCAGAGAGTATCCATTGTGGCTTTTCCGACGAGAGATCTGTTACGATCTGAGATTTGTCGAGAGAGAAGGGAACCGACGATCCTGGCCCTGAGGCTACCATCGTGTCAGCTTTGATGGTGTATATGACCATGAAGAGCAAATTGTACCTCCGCCCTGCTGATATCCATTGCTACGAGTATTCGTATGATCCGGGCTTTGCAATGATGCAAAGCGGTTGCCATTGGGAACTCCCCCTCCTCGAGAGGGGTGCTCGAATTTGCATTTCTCTGCAAAAGCGGTCAGCTTGGAGCCATTTTTATCTCTTTGCGCAAACTTGATCATTACCTCCGAATCTACAATTTCCTTGCATCCAAAACTTGCATGTTACTGGAGGCATTATCGCAGTCGCAGTCGCAGTCGCAGTCGTGGCGCGGGACGACTAGATTTTCCAAAAAGGCGCATTGCTGAACTTTACGACATGTTTGAGTCGCATTGATTGATTATTGGCAAAGGAAGCTGGGCCGGAAAAAGAAAAGTATTGTTCGAGCTGTTGTTGGATGCTGTACAAAGAGAGTGTGAGTACTGTAGAGTAGGTGCCTTTATTACACAGCTTCACCTGGTCGAAGTCAAGAACCAAGGGCGACGCGATCCGTTTCCGGCAGCGCGTCTGTAGCTTGAAAATTTAGTGTAACTTCAACCCGTGACCTCCTACACAATAAATACCATATGCATTGGAATACAAAAAAGTTAGTGTCGATGCAAAGCGGTTCTTCATGTTTGAAGGGTATTTAAAGGTTAGAAGTGGAATCCTCCGGTATCCGTAACTATTCACTTGTGGTCAAAAGGCAGTCATAATAGGGCAGGCGCTTCCACCCAGGAACGGCTTGAGAATTTCTAATCACTTATTTGATCACTACTGATGCTGATTTCGACTGTTGCTCATTGCTATCCCAAGACACCCCGATACCGTTATGTCATGCTATAAAAGTACACCAGGCACGATCTTGGAAATCGGCCCCAACCAGAAGCGCCGAGAAATAAACCCCTTCGCCAGAGCTTTATCTCTTCCCAAGTCAAAACCTAAAGCCAGTAATTGCAACTTCGTTCCGCTTCTCCACTCCCTTGCGCCACTCCTCAAGCTCCTTCTTCTGCTTATACGATGCTTCTTGTGCCACCACAAGCTTAGCCGTGTCACGTTCCCGGATCTCTTCCCAATCATCTCCATACATCTTCTTGTACAGCTCTATGGTACCCTTCTCCGTGTTCTCGTTCCATACTTCCAAAGCTTTCAGCTTTTGATTGAAAAGCCAACTGTGCTTGTTCCCAACGTCCTCCTTTATCCTCTTGACCTTTGAATTTGCTTCAGCTTCCAATTCAGCATCACGGGCCTTTCGCTTCTTCTCGTCTGCCTCTTTGCTACGTGCCTTATCTGCGAGATAGCGCAAGCTGTGACTGAGAGTCCGAACCTCCTCTGGAACGGGATTGGCATCGAGAGGTGGGGCTGTGAAGAAGATGACCTTGCCATATTCATCGGTTTGAAATTGACTTCGAACCTCAGCAGGAATAGCCGCGTTGGCTTGGTCGGGGAGAGTGTAGACCTCAACAGTACGAGGAGGGTTATATTGGTTCGTGCTGCTGGTATGAGCGGGTTGGCCCGGCGTTACCGTGCGAACAGGAGCGGCGGCACCGCTACTCTGATAGAGATTGTAGGCGTTGAGAGAGTTTGAATGTTGGAGGCCAGGTGCCGTGGCAGTGTTGTATTGATTATAATTATGCTGAGGTGGATAACCAGGGGTCTGAGCTAAAGCTGGATGAGAAGCAGAACCTTGAGAGCCATACGATGTTTGCTGTACTAAGGGCGCGGGCGATGGGGATGGGCGTGCGGCTGCAAATTGATGACCATACGCAGTTTGAGCCGGAGTTTGATTTGCCATCGGAGAAGCTAGGGGTACGCTTGTGTGTGTGCCAGACATTGCTACGTCTCCTTGGGAATCGTATTGAGGTCGATCACTGGTGAGGGAGCGATGAACAGGTTCCGGAGTTGGTTCAGGAGATGGAGTCGGTTCTGGCGGCGGAGAGTCCTTGATTGACTGTCAATAATTCAATTCGCCTAGATTGTGCGATATGGATTCAACTTACATTGGTTTCTCGAGGCCGCCTATGAACAGCTCCCACAATTGGGGGTGCATTTGGAACTCCCCAAGTCGGCTTTGGGACCGGATCATCCTCTTTGGCATCCTCGCGCAATAAGTGCTTGATCGGACTTGGAACCTTCTTCATCTTTCTCGGAACATCAAACAGGTCCATCTCATAATCTTTATCTCTCACTTCGTCTGGTAAGCAGCTAGCCCAAGTCTTAATCTTATTTAGTTTGTGCTTTTCCTCGTTGTATCGAGCTTCGCATACGTAGACTTCCTTGTCGGCAGGGAACCCACGCGGACGACCTTTGTTGTATCGAGTAAAGAACATTACAAAACAACGATCAACTACCTCCTCAATCTTGTGGTCCCGGTATTGGCCAGTCTTGACGACTTCATTTTCAAAGAAGAACTTCTCATGGCGATGGACAGTCTGCTCCGGCCTGTAATACCAAACAGCATTAATCCATTTTTGACCAGTAGGATCCTGCCATGTCCTGTATATCTGGGCGACGATGGGCTTGGTAACATCATTAGGATTGGAGAGGTGGACCCAATCGCCTACCTTCCAAACCTCACCGTTGTACAGGATTTCTGGCAAAGGTAGTCTGCCATCCTCATCGGCGAAATCACTATCCGGCTTCTTCTTTTCCTGGTCGGCGATTATCTGGGCTTCTTTCTGTAAATCGGCAGCGTCTCGGTATACCTGACTGTCTTCAAGGTTGTAAGACTTGGCGTTATCAAACATGAGGTCCAGATCCTTGAGTACCTGGTCTATGGACTGATACTTCTTCCTCTTAGCCTTCCTCTTTATCAAATCCATTGCAATTGGATTTTTGATTTCTTGGTAGTACTCTGGCATCACGGACTTGTCGGGCATCTTCTCAAAATGCAGAATCTTGAGGTCACCGCCTGGATTTTTGAACTTCCTCAAGCCCTTCAACAATGTATTGATTCGAGCCTCCATAGGGGTGTGGACCTTAGGGGGTCTTCCTCGCTTCTTTTGTGCTTCGGGATCATCTTTGCCGCCATCATCGGCTTTCCCATCACGTTTGGTAGTAGCGGAAGACCGCCGACCTCTCTTCCGCCCTCGGCGGGGGCGATCGTCATCCGTGTCTTCGTCCTCTTCGTCCTCATCCTCTTCCTCTTCATCGTCCTCTGCTTCCGCTTCTGCTTCCTCATCCTCGGGCTCAGGTGGTGGTGAAGGGTCAGCTGGGGGTATCTCCCCTAGATCTGGTAGTTGGACCTCCTCTTCGGTCAGGACCTTTTGTTCAACCAGCTTCTTCAGCTCACCCTTGAAAAGAGCCTCGAGAGCAACGGCATCTTGGTATACTTCGGATGAAGGGCGGTTATAGACCATAGCATTGTGGCATATCATGGCGAAGTCTCGAATGAAATCTGTATACTTTCGGTATTGTTTCTTCAATATTTTTTGCTATGATAAAATTTAGTATCGTATAGCATCCATGTTATTGCATAGTCCACATACCCTAATTGTACTGAATGCGATCGGCTCCTTGATAATCTCGAAATATGCGGGGAAGTTTCTCTTATTGAGCATGCGTTGAAATGCGAGAGCGATATCGTGGCCACTGCAAGCAATTAGTCCTCAATCGATCTACGAACAAACGTCCCTGTTGAATAGTGCTAGACATACTCTTCGTCGCGGTATTCAGTTAAGCGCTTCAGGATAGCATCCAGCACCTCTAGTTGTTGCTTCGAGAGGTTTCTTGGACCTGGTTCTGGTTCTGGTTCCGTCGCTACTGTGACTGTCGCATTGCCTTCACCACCCGCATTTTCCTCTGCTTTCACTTCCACCGTGGTCTCGTCTGGTGCTGGTTCTGCGGACGACATCTTGAGAGAGTTGTGTATGTTTTACATTAGTTGTATTCGTTGGCCTTGCACTTTACTTGCTCAAAGAAGTTGTCGCGACTGGAGGTTCAACGCGATTTAAAGTTTGGCGCTAGCCGTATTGGCAAAGTTTCATCTGATCTCCGTTTTGGGAAATCTCAGCCCAGCTACTTGATTTATTCTTTGGAGTCTTTTACACAAGTGTATAAGCATAAGTTTACCAATCTTGATCATGAGTTGAATTGCCGAGTTTGTGCATGACATTCACGGTCATCACATCCTTCCAATCCATTTACCATGTGGTGAACTACTACCATTTACATCGCCCCGCCAAGAACTTCAAACCCCTCCAAGTTCCAACAACCCGCCTCCGAGTCCCTCTTCACCATGCGTACTCGACTTAGAGGCCCTGGAGGCACATCTACTCTCACTCTTCCAGACGATGCCACAGTTGGTGACTTACTCATCCTAATTACCGAAAAGACGTCTGTTGCCAAGTTCGAGATCAAATATGGCTATCCACCTCAACCACTGCTGCTGGAGCAGTACGAGAAATCGCAAGCTCTGAGCCAGCTAGGCGTGAAGCTGGATGGAGAACAGCTCATAATTAGCCCGAAAGATGACCCATCCACGAAGCAAGCAAGCCAGCCTGTCGCTGGTGAAACAGCGAACAAAGGGCAGGAGAAGAGCAGCAAGCTGCCCGCAGAAAGCAGCAGCTTCTCTTTCACCAACGTGCCTGGGTTCGAGCAACCTAAAGAAAGCAAGCAAGAGAGACCCGTTGCGCTTCAGAGAGCCAGAACCATGGAAGGAGACGTCCCAGAACTACCACTGCCAGAAAGAGGGGCCACACTCGGTGAGTTGACCAGGGCAACTAACTGACTTCAACGAGCTTCTACTGACTTCAAACCGCAGTCCTACGAGTAATGCCCGACGATAACTCCTGCCTCTTCCGCGCATTCGGAACCGCCGTTCTCCCCGGCGACGACAAATCCATGCCCGAACTACGCTCCCTCGTCGCAAGCTCCATCCAAGCCTCGCCCGACATCTACACAAAAGTCGTCCTCGAGCAATCGCCCGACGAATACTGCCGGTGGATCCAAACGCCCGATGCCTGGGGCGGCGCCATCGAGATGGGCATCCTGTCCAAGCACTTCGAGGTCGAGATCTGCAGCATCGACGTACAGTCTCTGCGTATTGATAAATTCAACGAAGGAGCTAGCACGCGCTGCATATTGGTCTATTCCGGCATACATTACGATACCATTGTGCAAAGTCCCTCTGAGCCACCTCATACGAAAGCCAACAACCCTCCGGATTTCGATAAGCGGATTTGGGATGACGACGATGATGAGATATTAATATTGGCGCAGGAGTTGTGTAAGAAGCTGCAAGATAGGCATTATTTCACCGATACGGGGGGCATGGCTATTAAATGTAATGTGTGTGGGGTCGTGGTGTATGGGGAAGGACAAGCTGGTGGTCATGCTACGCAGACGGGGCATTATGATATGGCTGAAGTTGTTACGTGAATACCGAGATTATGATTTATGAGCAAAGTTCTTGTTATGTTTGCATTGTCTTGCGTTTCTATTGACGAACTATTTCTTGCAGTGACACTAGTCTTACTAGGATTATTTCCCCTATTTATACGAAGGATTCTCAAGCGAGGATGTCATATTTGGGAGGAGCAAGACCAAGGATTTTGAGTTTTATCAATCTCCTCGTTTCTGCCAGACACCAGGAATATACCATGCTAGGGCAATTGCTATTCATATCCTCAAACTCCAACTCCTGTTACTTCCACTTCAGGTCTCACACATCTTCAGAAGACCACTGCAATATGCTGGATCTGGTTTTTGAAATTGTCAACACGGCTACAGACCGCACGTAAAATATGTACAAGAAGAAAGGCACCAAAATTGATCTGATCCACTTGTGCGATAAGTCCAAAAAGATTAACAATGAATGTGTAGGTAGTTGGCATAGGTCTTTGGTTCCATACTATTTACCCGAGCTATTCGTTTTGTTTTCCCATGAGCCTACGTACGTACAATGTCAAGCGGGTTGTAATTCTCCTCCTTCGTTAATCTAACCAGAGGGACAGTTACCAAGAAAACCCCAGTACTGCTCGGCGGAGAACTGCGCGGCCGTGTTCGTCTTCCACAAGTCGTTGAATATAGTGAAGAGAATGACACCGCTCGGCTTAGATGCGAACGCGGTCTTGATGGAAGTTAGAGCGGCGGCTTGGTTTGCGGCTGAAGGGACGGCCTTGTCGTTTGTCTCGCCTTGCCATGGCCAGCCTGTCTCTGTGATGACAATTTCTTGGTTCTTGTTTGCGAGCACGGACTGAAGGTCTGAGATGGAGTTTGTGAGGAAAGAACCAGAGTCTGAGGCCACAGTGTTGCCATCAAAGAAGGGGTGGGAGTTGACAGCGCAGTAGTCCGAGTTGTCGCAGAGGGAGGGGTTTGCCTTGGCGGCGACGAGCGTGTCGACAGTGACAACCTTGCCGGTGTAACCTGCAGCCTTCAAGAGAGTTCGGGCTGTGCTGATGGCTGCAACGACAGTGGCTGCGGAAGCGGTACCTGCATTGACAAGTTCGTTCCCAATAGAGATTGTATCAAACGAACTCCAATCGCCATTGGCAGCTGAAACGATAAGTGCAATTTCTGCACTGAGGGTGCCAAGATCATAGATACCGGCGAACAGCTTCAAACCCTTGGACTTGGCGGCCGAGAGAACGGTGGCAACCTGGTTGCAATCGGTTCCGTAAGTTCGGACCAGCGAGTATCCATCTCCAATCGTTGCAAAATCGGTGTTGACTTGGGCTTGAGTCTTGCAAGAGTTATCGGCGTTATATGGCGAATACGAGAATCCGAAACCACTGCCCTCTGAAGATGAAGACGAGGAAGCAGCTGGAGCAGACGAGCTTGTCGTAGCAAGGGCAGCTGAGCTGCTGGTGACTGGGGTGGAAGCAACTGGCGAACTGTCTGCGACAGAGCTACTTGCTACGTTGTTGACTTGCACGGCCACAGAGATTGGAGTCACTGAAATAGCCAGCGCAGCTACTGGTGTGGACGTAGGAGTAGCTGAAGTTACAGGAGCGCCTGCAGGGTATGAAGTTGCAGTTGATGTAGGTGTGCCGTCCTGGTTCACATACACGATAATTTCAGGCTCTTCAGTATAGTCAGTTTCGACGACAGTGACTACATCCTTCTTCTCATGGTGGTGAAGATGGCGGCGAAGTCCTCCTATAAAATCATTAGGATTATGGGTCAAGGGGGAGACGATCTAAACTTACTGAACGGTTGGGCCGAGGCCAATTGAAGGAGGGAGACTGCCGCGACGGCAATGGTAGTGGTCTTCATTTCGATAGAAGTTTGGTGATCTTAGGTGAGTAAAAGGCGTGTTTGTCTTCTAATCCGGCCAGCGGTTGTCAGTTAATGAATGTGTTGTTGATGTTTGGTAAAAGGATATAGTATACAAGAATGAAAACAAGTGTGGAATGGATCTGCAGCTTGGAAAAGCAACGAGGAGGGCCAGATAGGGATATATGTCATGATGTCTTATGAAAGGAATGTGGTATGAACAAACGAAGCTTTGTAGAACAAGAGAGTATTTGAAGTACCTTTATGCGATCTTTGTGCGATCTTTGTGTTTCGGAGCCAGCGAATAGAACAAAGATGGATTGGAAGGAGCGATTGTACAGGAAAGCACCTGAAAGGAATGGACGCAAGCTGCAGTAGCAGTCGCAGAGCTTTGGAGTTAAGATAGGTTGGAGAACGAGTGATCCAATCTACGAGTACAGATGTGAGGAGCAAGGGCAAAAGCAAGGAGTGTTGAAATAGGGTGGGCAAATGAATGTTGGATGTGATGGTTAGATGATTAGGTCCGCCGGGGAAAGATCGATCTAGGTAGTTGGAGTCGTCAAGACTGTGGCTGGAGAGGGGAGGGGGGGGGAGGAAGGATCTTGGTGGAGAGTGGAAGAAAAGTTCTTGGTGGAGAGTGGAAGAAGAAGATTTCGAGGCGGCGACGGGGCTCATATGATCACATTCAGCTACGGCCACGGTCCAGACAGACGTAGCTCCGTATATGCATGCCATACTGCCACGCGGTGAATTGATTGCAGTCTTGTACTCCGGGTACGCACTGTTCAGTACTGTACCACAATGGAATGAAGCAAGGGATAAGATCTGTATAGTTTCTACTATCCCTGGCCTGATACCCACGTATGTAGGGACGTAGGTAGACTTGAAGTGAAGTCATAACTGTTGGCTGCTTGCTTGCCTCGGTCCTCAAGGGAGAATAGTCACGATGGTGTTGTTCTACTACCATCCTTGGTCAAATTGAGTATATTTCAATAGTGTCCTTGATCCTCTACCATTGGTCCAGCCAAGCATCATTTCATCGGAAGTGATGGCTAGACTAGACGCGTGGCTGACCTTAATTAAAGTCTCCGTCTTATGGATTCGTCTCGACTTCGTACATATGAGGTGAGGTCTACAATATAGTACCTGAGCTAACCTGTTCCTGAAATTATTATACAAGTAGTAGAGGGTTCCTGACTACATTATCACGTCTCCTACAACGCATTCACCAATAAGCCAAGTGGACTCAAATAATAGTATTGTAAATTCATTATCGGAAAACCGTTGTCACCGACGCCATTTCTCTAGGAGTCTAGGGGTACCACTAGGAGACGCGTGGACGCTACCTATGTGATGTAATCATATGAGCCCATCTAGTGTTTTTATAGCCGTATCTTGATGTAATTAGTCTCCTACTCCGTACAACCCAATCCCTCACTCATTACAATCTACAGCTCTTCACTTCCGAGATGAAATCATCACGATAATTCACCGTCAGTAATGCTGAACATACCTCGAGAATAAGTAGCCTCCCCCTAGGATCCGAGATGCCATTACAGCTTGGATTGTATCTTATAACTTCCTAGCCCTGGCCTGGCCTGGCCTGGCCCCGGGGATTACATGGCACGGGACGAACGGGAAGAGCGCGTTCCACTCGTATCTCATAAAAGCACCCCGCTACCAGATGAAGCTGAACTACCTTAGCTCTCTCATTGCGCTCCAAATACCTCACTCACTTCATCTTCCGAGCATCCCACCGACGACTTGCAATCTCTGTTCTACAAGTATCAGTACTCTACTCAAATCTCTCTTGGGTCTTGAGCCCCAAAGGAGGGTCCTGATCTACACTTCCGAAAAGTCCAGACATCGTTATCGTTCCACCTGGTCGCAGGATGTGAGAAACTTCCATTGCCAAATCCTGAAGAACTACCTATTGGAGGACTGAATTCGCAGAACGTGAGCATGGCGCAGATTAGGGAATTCAAAAACCCAAGCTCAGCAGCTGTGCCTAAATGCAAGATGCTGGACCATGAAAAGTCGAAGAATCCGAATACTAAGCACTCCCTGTCTTCGAGTTTTTGCAGTACTTCATTACAGCCGTAAGTAATACTTTGAGGACTTTAACTGTCAATCAACTACGTCTCCATTCGGGAACTTGTGGCTGGTGCTTCATCTAACGTACCCCTTAATCATCTATTCATTATTTGAATGTTCGGCCTTTGCTAGAATGCATGGCTCAATTCTTTGCGCTTGTTCCGTATCCAACTTGGCTCTTTTCCCCAAAAGACCTCTTTCCTCCTCATCAGTAATGGGCTTACGGCACGCAAAAACCAGAAACGTATATCTGGAGAGAGAAATGGATCAAGTCATTGCTTGCAAAGCTATCATATCATTTATACAGAATTACACATTAATCGCTTGCCACCTACCCAGTTTTCAAACGCCTCATCTAAATAAAATAGTACAATCAAGAACCAGCCGGCAGTGCCAACTTACTACTCGTCTTTCTCGTCAAAACTTTCGTGATAGCATGTCTAATAGTAATGCCTGCCTTCTCAATCTCCTTCTTCGAGAGACCGGTCGTGATGCATATTTTGAGCGCTGGCTGCAGCTTCCACTGCTCGTCTTTGCCGTTCGCCCCCGGGGCAACAGGCATACTCTTCAAGCGGGTGATGAGGACACCGTTTGCAAGTGTCTTTTGACATATTAGCAATAGTCGAAAAGAGTGCATGAAAGGGTAACTTACTTCGTCAACGCATTCCTGCAATACTCGCTCTTGCTCTCCGATACTCAATCGTCTGGAATTAATGACGTCTGCTTTCAGAACAAGTAGCATGACAGGATTCTCAAGTGCGCTTGTGCAATGAACCCAGTCACTACGAGGATCAAGCTGTGCTCGCATAGTCTTGATGTTCTCTCGGCATTGTACCAGAACTTCAGGGTTTGACTGTAGCATGTTCAGGGTCTCGCTTGCTGTAGTAGCAAGCATAGCAGGTAGAGCGGCCGAGTAGGTGTAGGAAGCAGCTGTGATACGCTGGTGCTCGACAATATCGTTGGTACCAGCGCAGAAACCGCCACCAGCGCAGAGAGGTCCAGCAAGTGAACCGATCAGCATATCGACTTGGGAAGCATCCACGTTTTGGGCCTCGGTGAGGCCACGACCTGTTCTACCCAGGACACCGAAGGACCATGTCTCGTCGAGCATGAGACGGAACTTATATCGAAGCTTCAACTCAACCTGTAACCTGTTAGAGAAACCCCTCTAGCAGAATCCGCAAGTATCTTACCAGCTTAGGCAGATTGACACCATCCCCTACCGTCTCCGACAGCCCCTCAGTGACAATAAACCGTCTCGTCAACGGCTTCTTCGCCTGCTCCTTGACTACCTTCTGCAGCACCCTTTCCAAATCCTCCATATCATTATGCTCATAATACCTGATCGTGCTCCGGCAAATCTGCAAGCCCTTTCTTATAGCATAGTTGACCGCACGATCCGCAACAATCACATCACCCCTCTTGCAGAATGCCGGGATAACACTGGAGATCGTAGAGAAAGCCTGAGCGTATACAATGCAGCCCTCGGTGCCTAGACAAGAAGCAATGTCTGCCTCCGTTTTCATGTGTACATCCTGCGTGCCGTAGAACTGAGGAGGACCGCAAGGTCCTACACCGTATGTGCGGAGGGTCTGGATAGCCTTCTCCTTGACCTGCTCGTTACCGACGAAGTTGTAGAAATTGTAGGATGCGAGGTTCGTCACGGTCCGGCCGTTTGATAGCTTGGTCTTCGGACCTGTCGGACTGTACGATTATCAGCTCATTATCCCTAATGCCGGTTTGCACAGTACGCACCCGACAATAACAGGAAGTCTCTCTGCATCAGCTTCCTCAAACGGAGTCTGCGGCGCAACCAGAGGCTCAGGAGTCCACTCATCCACGAGGTCGTCAATCTCCTATTCCCCTGTTAATTTCCCCTTACCCTCTTGCGCGAAAGGAGGACTCACCTCCTCAGACAAGGTCACAAAATTGTTACTGTGAGTCGCATACGATGGCGAGAGCAAATAGCGCACGAAGAAGATGACCAGAATCAACTCAATGGCGGAACGGACGGGGTCGTCTTGGTAACTGGATTGGATGTACCGGATGAGCATTGCAGAGCCCGGCACTTTCTGGAAGCTATTGGTAATCTCGTGCATGGAGCGCTCCATGAGCTTTTGAGCATCCTGCAAATCCATTTTCTCGATGGGCGCGGAGAAGAAGGACATATTATGAAAGGGAGGGGACCAAAGGAGTGAGTGAGGTTGTTGGCTTCCTCGATTGTCTGTCGGAGTTTAAAATAAAGGATGACTATGCTCATTTCGCGTCGGTGTTCGCGATGAGTTCGCCGAGTTGCTTTAAATCATACTCATTTCCATTTATTAATCACTCTTCTAACACGATTTCTGCTTGAAATTCTTGTTAACTCCTACAGGGTTTGACGGCCTTATCTATAGAAAGGCCTATGCCCACTATCTTTGACTTCTAATGTCCCACGACGCCTGGCACATTACAAATTGGGGCAACTAGGTTCCGCTTTTTCTATCCACCACAAGGGAGGCCGGAGGCGTCTTCAGACTTCAAGTAACAACGACTTATGGACAAGGCCGTAAAACATTATAGTAGTTTATCGATACAATTCACATTATCAACCTGCTGAAATGCTTAAATTAGGCATCCGTAAATATCTGATTTCGAGTGAAGATTCCGCGTCTAAAATTGCAATGGCTAGTAACATGAGATTAACTCCTACAGTGATTTACATAGTCCGCGCAGCGCTAGCAGTTTAGCAGGAGAATTATGTGATATAGAGGCTCTCAGAAGCCTTACTAGGGAATTATAACTGTAGGAACTTCTTTTAGCTAGCTTAGGAAAAGTCCTTGCAGTTTTTAAATTGTTAGGATTCCGAACAAGCTGTTAGATTTTGACTAAAAAACTAAAAGTTAATTAGACGTAAAATATTATAATAGTCATTTATTACCATAGATATGCGGAATTTCGCTATACTGCTAGCGCTATCCGGATTTTGAGAGTTACTAGGTCAGGGTGGAAGGCTCAAAGAGATACTAATATCACCTGGGTCTGATTGCCCGAGGCGTTCACATCAAGATTTGCCAGACCTTAAATTACTCAGCCTAATTCATCTCGAGGTAGATATCGATTTGGATCTCAATACCCGTTCATAATGTGTCAGGCGGAGTAGAGCATTTTAAGTGAGGGAGTGGATGATGGCGAGTACTAGTTTCCATGCCTAGCATAAGGGGATATTCGGTGGCTTCTGCCTGCCTTCTTCCACTTTCAACCTCCAGGCATTGAGTGTGAGGAATGCTCTGGAGGACCACCGATTAGTACATCACAGGAGAACTCAGTAGATCATCTATTTTACTTGGGGCCATCTGTGTATCTTGTTCATGTGTGAAATCTTGTATTATGATCGTGCTGTATCACACAATACAGCCGTGGCTTCGTCATGCAACTAGAGCAGATATGTAGTTCGTTACAAGAGCGGTTGTAGGAAAAGGAAAAAGGGAAAAACAGTTGTCTAAGCCGTGTACCATGCAAACACCGAGGACTATTACTTAACGACACCCATGAGCACCCCATCAAACCAAAATTTCATTGTAATGTACCACCCCCATTCCATCTATCATACAGCCAATACAGCTATTTTACTCGGATCCACCTCAATACAGCTTAACTCTGGCAGTTGAGCCAAAGCCTGTGCCTGCTGTCTTCGTGGCGGAGGTGCCGGCACCGCTCTTGGCTCCAGTCCCCGTCTCGGTTCGGTTGCGTGTATCGTTGTGCTTGAGGGATGGCTGGTAGAGATTCATGGGAATGTTGCTGGTCAAGCTATCCGTGAGCAAACTCTTGCCAGCAACAATGGGGCCCACAACCAATGCAAGGAAGACGATGAAAATAACGAAGTACAGGATGGCGTATCTCCAGACACGTCTCTTTCGTAGCTTTGATTGCTTCATTGAGTAAATGGGTGGGCGGATTTGCCGGCTAAATAAATGAGTCAGTGTGAGCTACAACGTTTCATATATCGCATCTACATACCTGGGACGGAGCCAAAAGAGCATCACAGAGTGAGCCTTGTCGATTTGAGGAATCAAGATGATTGGCAACATTGCGAAAAGGATGACATGGCCAAGTACGAAGTCACCAGCGAACATTCCGAGTTCTGTGATCTTGCAAAGGAATTCTCGTGCCGGTTGGGACACAGAGTGCCATCCCATGGAGTACCATTTACCAGTCCAAAAGGCGATATTCGAGGTGTCGGTCTTCATTTCTCTGGTCAAGGCAAGCGAAATGATGAGCTTGTAGACGAATCTCTGAATGGCGATAGCGCAAATCATTCCTAGTAAAGTCTTCGAGAAGACAAAGCCTTCCAAGAAAAACATCACTTCGAAAAAAACTAGGGTCATAATGACAGCGATACAGTGAGCAATAGCAGCAAGAACCGATCCAAATTTTTTGCAGCACATGCTGAGAACTGGACCCATGCAACAAGCCATACCAAACATTGCCCCTAATACACCTGCATTGATAGCGACCGGAGCCAGGGCCACAATACCGACGCGAACCAAAGCGTTCGTTGGTTCAATAGTTGCGTCGGGGTTGAGTTCTTGGGTGACACCGACCTGGGAGTTTATGAACAGATATGGAATCAATGTCACCGCAACCATCAGTAACGGTGCGATGATCTCGCCGAAGAACAAGTTGATAAACGATGCTCGCGGCACGTCACCAGACATCTTGGAGGACGGGTCACCCAAGATTTTACGCTTATAACCTGTGATCCTAGTACGAGAGAGACGGCAGAAAGCAATCCAAGATGAGGCGTGGGATCGTGAGTTTCCTCGGGACAACCATCTCAAGAAGTCGCGGTAATCGATGAAGAAATCGTTCCATGCAAACTGGTGGGGATTGTAGAGGAAAGGGGATGTGCACATAGCGCACATGGTGACCCAGAAGTAAATCAAGGCTGGCTGCCAAACAGTAATGGTAGCAAACAGAAGCATCATCACGGCACGGGCACCCATGTAAATGGCAGGACCGGCAAATCGTGAGTAGAGAATACCGAATGGGATACGAGCAGTAGCAAAACCACGACCTGTGCCGATATATCTGGCACCTCCGAAGGACAAATCCATTTGAACAGCGTTGGCGTAAATTTGACACACAAACACCTCAAAGAATGGCGAGAGAGAGCAGAACTGCTTGCCAAGACGGGTAGCTGCACGCCAGAATCCACGCTCCGTCAATTCTTGTACCACGAGGGGCAAGAAAGAAATAAAGAAGACGATGAAAATGGAGATAATGCAACGATAAACCCAATTGAGAATAGGAGTGAGATTGGCGCAACCAGTAGGGAACAGGGGATCCGTGATGGGTACATTGACGTTGTATTTACAGAGAATCGTCTGGTTGCGGAGGGCTCCAAGGTTGATCAAGCATATCATGAACATCTGCACCGAAAACATGATGAACATGTTGTTCAGATGGAAACCGGGATGTGCGTAGTAGAAAGACAGGAAACGATCCAGAGGAAGCTGAGTACCAAGGTAGTAGTACTCGCGAGAGAGCATTTGTTCACCCATACCAGTTCCAATCTTAGTTGTGAAGTTCAAGATGGACCCAAAGCCAAGATCACGACCCTTACCACATTGGTAGTATTCGCAATGCTTTATACGACCACCACGGAGAAGAGCAGTCATACCAGCGTAAATATCCTCGTTCAAATGGAGACCCTTCTGAGCTTTGGAAACACCACCACGGGTAGTCATGAAAATACCATTGAGGAAATCAGGATGACCATAATGCAGCTTGCCACCGATTGACGCGAGTGTACGAGCGAAGAGAGTACCGAATGTTTGTTCCTTTCCAGCGGCGACATCACCAAGGATACCAATGTTCTCAGAGAAAATGTATTCACGAGCTCCAAGAATAGCTACGGGGTTGGTCTTTGGGTTGTCAACACCAGGAGTGTAAGGCGAAACATTGTCGGTAGTCATTTCCTCAAACTCGGCTAGAACGGATCGAATCTTGAGACATTCTTCGAGGTAGTTGTCTTGGTTGGCATCGATGAGTTGGATGTATTCTCCGCGGTAAAAGATGATTGCATGGTTCTGGTTGTCGGACTTTCCGTCACCAAGAATTGGGTTACCAGACAGCTGGACACGGAATTTTGGTCGACGCATGCCGTTCTCCATGATCTCGGAATGACCGTCAATCAGAGCTGAATACAGACGTGGCTCTTCTCCTTCGACCAGTGGGGCTTCTTCATCCAGGTAAGCAATTTGAAGATCGGGGTAAGCACGGAGCAAGAATTCGGTGTTCTCCATCTCCTCTTTCTTGAACTTGGCATAACGTTGCATGGAAACGACAAGTTTGAACTTTCGACGTGCCATACGTTCGAGCTCACGTTCGAGCTTGTCAGAGTTGCCACCAAACATTTGGACGACCTCGGGGTTCTCTACACGGTACAGAAGCTTGATAGCTCGGCTGTAATTCATGAAACCAGAGATCGTGCGGTAGAGAGTTTGGGAGCGGAGAGATGCCCAGATACGGGTACGGAGAGTGTACTCGGGAGCGGCAGACTTAAAACCGATGCAGTAAAAGGGAAGGTCATCAATCTTGCTCTTGGCAGTATCCTTCTCGCCCTTCTCGTAATCCCCGTTGAATTGGGAAGTTTCGTCGGCAAGAATTTTGGTGTCTTTCACAAAGCAATCCCATTCGTGGGGATGAAGCTGTTTCAGGTACTCAAGAAGAGTGACACGTGAGTACGGCTCGTCTTCACGGATGATCTCACGAAGTGAAAGAAGAATCTTTTCGCTGTAGTGAGGAATCATGACAGTAAAGGTGGGCATGTTGTCAACAGGAAGGGGCTCTGGAATTGGCGTTGAAAGGGACTGGGCGAAGAACGATATGCGACGCTCTGCCTCACTTTGACTTGGGAAGAATTCTGTCTTGAAGGAGTGATCTTCCTGAGATACAAAGAACGTTGGCGCTCTCAAAGTTCGCTTTCCCTCCTGCTCAGAAGGAACCTGGTGGTAAAGAAGCTTCTGAACGTGATCAATGGCAAGTAAATGCTCACGGTACATGGAGATGACAATGGCGTTCCATATCTGGGAGATAAGCACCTTTGGCTTGTACTTGATCTCCATGTCGGTGGTGGCAAGGACCTTGGAGTAGATACGCTTTGGCAGACGAGAGAAGATGTTTCTCCACGGTGTCCAGATAGAAACACCAAGGTAGAAGGATCGAGCGACGGAATAGACAGTGTTCAGGATAATGTACCACAAGAAGGTGTCGAGGAAGAACAGACACAGATCCGTGATGAACATCAAACCTAACAAAATCTTCGGCTGATACGGGCAAAGGTATTTCAAGAGAATCTTGTCTCCTTGGCAGGTCGAAATCTTCATCGTCGACAGATATCGAATCGGATCACGGAAAGACAACGTCAAGAAGACATACGATTCTCCCAGCTTGGCAGCGAAAACGCAAACCCAAAGACCATACGACATCCACATATCGTTACCTTTGAGGCGGGGAAAACTGGCTGTGAAGGTTTGACTAGCGACATATTGTCTCGAGTTCTTCGTCAGGTAACTTCCGAACAAGCCACCAATCGGCATGACAGCGAAGAAGAAAAACGTAATCACGGCAATGATGAACTGCACAATACCCAGGGTCAAGGCCAACTTCGTCTTTTGCGTGTCTGGGACGATGAAGATGTAGACACTAGGAGCGACGTTGAGAGCCATGACACCGAGGAGGAAAAACAGTCTCTTCGTGAGATGTTGAGCACCAGCCCAGTTGCGAGGTACATACATCCATTCGGCGATTGTGGCCATGATCATGATTAGAGTTGCGACGCCGCCACCTAAGGCAACGACGGACCATTGAGCAGAACCAGGAGCAGAATTATTTCTCTCTTGTTCGTAGTGTTTGACCAAAAGAGTGGGCGAGTTCTTGGCGGTGAAGAACCAGAAGAAAGTGATATGGATGACCCAGATGCGGTTAAAGTTAATCAACATGTGGCCCCAGGATCGAGTTTCGCGGTAGGTCTTGAAGAACACCTTGTTCCAGTTAACCTCCTTCAGCTTCATGTAACGTTCCGCTGGTGGAAGATCAACTATGCGAGACTTGTCTTCCATGACGATGAGTTCGATGCCCTCGGGGTACCAGAAGAGCTGATTACAATCGTCGTAGCCGATGATCTTATTATGATCTCTCTCGCGGCGAACGTACTTGCCTTCATCAATCTCGTAACCTTGGTCTCGGCAGTATTGGTACAGAGGAGTGATGACATCGTTCAAGTATGTGGACTCGTCCACAGGCTCGACCAAGTTCTGGCAGGCTGGGGAGTTGAGGTAATCATCTGCACACTTGAAAATGAAGCAGAGACACTCGGGCATGAAGCGGACCTGGTTGGCTTCACCCCAACAGAGGAGGTAAAGGGCAATCTGGCGGGTCCGGTCGTGCTGTGACATCCGGTTCATCCGAGTTTTCCATCGGTATTCAGCCGCTTCAAGACTGTTGTCGCCTTCTAGCTGCTCAAGAGTTTGTGCTTCATCCTTTGGATCTACGTCTGCCTTCTTCTTGGCAGCTCGTCGAGCTTTACGAGTTCGACGACTACCCTTGCCGAGTTTCATGTTGGCAAATCCTACCGCATCATCGAGGTCAAGATGGGCAGCGAAATACCATTTTCGGTAGTTCGCATTGTCACCTCCAATGTAATCGGCATGGAGGGAAAGGAGTGCTTGATTGGGTGTCATGCGGGAGGCACGGGAGTCGAGCAGTGTCATCAAATGATCATACATGTTACGCATGCTATCACGCTGGAAACCAAACTTTGCTGTAAGATCCAAAAAGATGTCCTCAACTTCCTCTTTCGACAAAGGGATCTGGGCATCCGAGGTCCAGGCTGGGTAGGGCTCTCGAGAGCGTTGACCGGCTGGGAGCACGTTGTTGTAGTCCATTCCATAGTTTGGAGTAGAGGCTCCAGATGATCGGTTCCCTCCATATGAGACTTGAGAAGATGGAGGTCTGTATCCACGTCCACCTGCCTGGCTCTCGTTGTAGCTGTTGTACCGCTCATCGCCACGTCCGTAGTAATCCATGTCCGTGGCCCGAGCCATGTCAGATCGCATGGTGAAATCGCTGAACGTCTCGGAGTCTTCTTCCGAATCGCCTCGGCGCTTGGCTTGTTGTTGCTGGCCTGCAGCAGGCGCTCCATGCTCGTCATATTGGCCGTCATTGTAGTACTCGTCTTGATAATGACCACCGTGGGCGGCACCACCCTCCTGGCCTTCGTAATACCCACCCTCGTGTTGGTAAGGGTTACTGGCATCTGCATTGTAGTATCCGCTGCTTGATGGTTAGTCGTGTAATTTAACTGATTGAGTGGTAGGAACACGCACGATTCATCATAGTATCCATCACCACCTTGGTGGGGGTGTCCTTGGTCTGCATAGGCACCGTGTTCATCATAATAAGCTTGTCCGTGGTCATCTTGATAGTAGGAATCCGTGTTGCCCTGCTGATGTTGGCCGTAGCCTTCATCGTAATGGGCTGGCGGTTGTCCCGACATGATTGCGTGTTAAAAAGTACCACCTTGTTGGATTGAATTAGCAATTGTGCGGAGGGTAGAAGTTGATGCGTGATGGTTGTGGGAAAAGCAGGCAGAGAGCAGGTGCAGAGAGCCGGGAGCGGAATGCGACTCACTATTAGGTGCACATCAGAAATAGAGCAATGAAATTCTATATGCTATCGTTGCAGGGGAAGATGTCGAGCCTGGCTCTGAACGATGGTGGAAAAACAGGTGTTGGGTTGATGTCGTTGATGTTGGGTCCAGGTGCGACCGTCAAATCCGAAAGTATGACAAAGATTAACGAACGGGAGCTCTTTCCGTAGAGATTAGGAAGGAAGCTTTATCGTGAAGACGATTCGTAGATGGAAAGAACGAGTTGGTTTGTTATCCAGAAGTTGGGTTGGGTGATTGTCGTGCTGTTGCCGGTTGCAATGGAAACGGCCCTAGAAAATTGGGAAGCACCTCGCGTCACTCCTAATAACAACGTAACAGAGAACGAGTGAATTAATGCGTCTGAACACACATATACACAAACAGCAACGAGGGACAAGACCAGCACTCAGGACTACTTTCGAGGTCCAGATTGCTGTAGATGTCCGGATGATGGATGAGATAGTGTAGATAGGTGGTGGGATATGAAATGGAAAGAGGGAGAAAAGTTAGGACAGGATGAATTGGGGGGCGTTTTTCCACTGGGTGCACTGGCGAGACTGGGTGGAGTAGATCGTACTGAAATCTAGTTTAGGGGGGATGGAACTTGGCTGTGCTGGGGAATGAAGGGCTCAATGAGGGATGGTCTACGGCAACGGTGCGTAAAGAATCAAGAAAGCATGCCAGGATAGACACCCATGGACCTTGTGGTTGGCTGATATGGGGGCTCTCACTCAGGGGCATTGCGTACCAGAGGGCATTCAAGTGCTCGGGGGCTGGGCCTGGCGGGTTGTGGGCATTCTGTAGACGGAGTAGGGCAGGGGTATATCTGCCTTTGTCTTTGCCACTCTTCTCCAGCCCAGCATCCAATAATTACGGAGTAATATCATCATAAAACGTAACTGATATCCTTTGTACGAAGTAAATAACTTTCTCTACAGCTACTCTAGCTCCTCAACATCAACCTCAGTTTCTCAGTTGTAGACTTTGAATACAATCGGCAATTGTATTGTCTAATTCCCTGACTATGTTCACGGTATGTACCGAAGTATGTTCCTGCAGAATTCGTCGGTGATTGGTTTGTTTTGCATTAGAAGCTTCTCCTCAAGCCTGTAGCGGGCTTTTGGGCGTACCTCCATAGACTTACTTACCTTTAAATATCAGATGTTGATAAATCCAAGCCGGCAGCTTCGCACTCTGGAGGATACGAAGTAAAAAAACAATATTATACCGGTATCTCGACCGTTGTCATCCCAGTCCAATACGAATCGAGGGTCTCCCCGCCCCTCCGCCACTGCTCCCCCTATTTCGTGGGTGGCGCGAAGTCTTATAGACCAACGAGAAGTGGACGACGTGACGGAGGCAAAATGATAGACAGACAAAAATACTGGCATCTTAGAAGTACTTTCCCATACCCTTCCTCCCGCTGGACTCATAAATTCACAATCAACTAGTCCACCGTAGAAAGCAAAATCCTCGTACCTGTCTAAACCCTTCTCGTCCGATGGCACCAAAAATAGATTTACCTAACACTCATGGGGCGGGGCATTGTGTATCATCGGCTAACCAGAGCAGAGTCCGGCAACGAATCAAGAGACAGCCTCAGCCCTCAGCCCACCAAACATCTCGGGATTTGCGGAAGAGCATCTGTCGCGCATAACGAGCACCGTACTGTAGGTAGGGTAGGGAACGGTTTTACCCAATACCCGAGACGCCGACCCGCCTTTTCATTTTTTTTTGTTATGCTTGAAAAAGGGGTTTTGCCGCTTTGGACTCTGGATTCTGGAGCATGATTAATAGGGGCTGGTGATGCTTACAGATCACTGGAATATAATAATTAGAAGTACTACAGAGTACAGCAGTTGCTCTTCCCCCGGTGAACACTTCATCATGACCATGCAGGCTTGCTTGTTCTCGGGTGATTCGCCCGTTTCAAAGTGCTTTGAGCTTCACTCTTCTTTTTTTAACCTGAAGCAGCTGAGCCGCATCTCCCCCGCTGTTTGATTTACGTCGGTATGAGACACTTGAAGAAATACGGCGACGATACTCGAGTCTCGAGTAGTGCTGGTCATCTCCAGGTCTTGTCAACCTCACCCCATACTCGTGGCAAGTTTGATTTGTTCCGGGCTTGTTCAGGGGCATTTCGATGTCCTTCGAGGCCTTCTCGCGTTGTAGAAACGACGCGTCACAGTGATAAGGCTTCCTTCCACGCTGGATGAAATAAAAATAAGGGCAGGAGAGAAGGACGTTGAGATCGGAACCTTGACTGTAGAAGCTTGTCAAAGGTAAGGTACATCATAAGCTTCTCTTCTCTAGAGAGGCTTCTGTTCGGACTCTTGTTCCATATCATCACGTGCCGAAGGATCAATTGAGTTGCTCGCGCTTCACAAGACAAGATGGTCCAGCTGTCCGTCATGTCTTGCAGTGCGGCTGAGCTGAGATATTGGGAATGGCATCACAACTGCTGCCCATGCCTGTTCCTGTATCCTCGAGCAAGGTGGAAGCAATTGAATTGAAGACCAATGAAACATCCTTAGGGTCGGCATGTGAACGCTGGAACACTGCCGATAAGCTTCTCTGAGACTTGCGTGGACAACCCACATGGTTTCGTAGGCGTCGCCCAAAACATTCCAAACGGCTTTCATGCCATGCCATGCCGCGCAATGCTTCGAGATCGACTCCCACTTTCTGTCGTACATTCCAATTTCCTTTGCTTGCTGGTCTTGCTTGTTGTGCTGTGAAATATCCTTACTTCCTTTACTCTTGCCATTGCAAATAACAACTCTTATATACTCTTTTCTACAAACGCTCGTTCACATTTCTTGCTTCTTGCTTGCTGCTTCCTCGCGGCTGACTCGCGGCCCTTCTATTTGGTAGGCGCGACTCTTGAGACGGTATTATTCTCACCTACCGAAAAAGATTGCACATTCCAAACACGTCGACAGTATATCCATACACTTCCATATCCGTTATCATGAAGACATTCAGCATTGCTTCCGTTACTGCAGCTGCGCTCAGCGGGGCACTTTTTGCTACATCTGTTATCGCAGATCTTCCCCCCATCGTCATCAAGGTCTGCCGCCCCTGTAAACCAACAATCTTCCCAAGAGAACTTCTTGTTAATTTTTTATTTTCTTTGGAAATCTAGGGATCTCATTTCTTCTACGAAAACGGTACAGAGTTCTTTATTCGAGGCGTAGCTTATCAACAGGATGTCAGCTCGAATGGCAGTACATCGACCGACGGGACCTTCACAGATCCTCTCGCCGATGAAGCTGGCTGTACACGAGATGTTCCTCTCTTGACTGAGTTGGGTACAAATGTCATTCGTGTTTACGCCATCAATGCTTCTCTCGACCACTCCTTCTGTATGAACCTCTTGCAAGAGAACGGTATCTATCTTCTCCAAGATCTCTCGAACCCATCGTCTTCCATCAACCGAAATTCTCCGGAATGGAACACGGAACTCTTCGCCGATTATGCCGCAGTTGTGGATGCTATGGCGAACTACACAAACGTCCTTGGTTTCTTCGCCGGCAATGAGGTTTCAAACGAGGCCAACAATACCGATGCCAGCGCTTACGTAAAGGCCGCTGTCCGTGACATGAAGGCTTATATCAAGACCAAAGACTACCGAACTATTGGTGTTGGGTACGCGACCAATGATGATGCTAGCATTCGTACCAATCTTGCCCATTATTTCAACTGCGGTGACTCGGCTGATGCTATCGATTTCTGGGGGTACAATATCTACTCGTGGTGCGGTGATTCTTCATACACGGAATCAGGATACGACCAGAGAACTTTGGAATTTGCAAACTACTCAGTTCCTGCCTTTTTCGCCGAGTATGGATGCAACACCGTCCAGCCACGTCAGTTCACAGAAGTCCAGGCCATTTACGGTGAAAATATGACCGACGTGTGGTCTGGTGGCATTGTTTACATGTATTTCCAAGAAGCTAATGACTACGGTAAGACTTCCTTGACCCAATCGTCCTGAGAAATCAAGCATACGGTTTTTGACTAATATGTGTGTCAGGGCTTGTCTCCGTCTCAGGTACTACAGCTAGCAAGCTGCCAGATTTCACTGCTCTCTCAAAGCAATTGGCATCTGCAACTCCAAGCTCCACTGCCTCTGCAGATTATACTGTTACCAACACCGTTGCCCAAGCTTGTCCAGCAACTGGCAGCTCTTGGGCAGCTGCCAGCGCTCTTCCTCCCATTGCCAATGTAGACGTCTGTAGCTGTATGGTTTCATCTCTTAGCTGTGTTGCCAACAGTGGCTTGAGTGGCAACGAGACCTCCACCTTGTTCAGCACTGTCTGCGGTCTGGATTCGAGCGCTTGCGATGGTATCACTCCTAACGCTACGACTGGTATCTATGGCGCCTACTCTATGTGCTCTGCTTCTCAGAAGCTCTCATTCGCCTTCAACCAATATTACTCTAACCAAGAGCAAGCTTCCACTGCTTGTGATTTCAACGGAAACGCCAACATTCAGTCTAGTAGCGAGAGTACGGCCTGCAAGAGTATGCTGAGCGCAGCGGGTACTGCCGGTACTGGCACTGTTACCAATATTCCAACCGACGCCGCCGCCGCCGCCTCAAGCACCTCATCAAGCACCTCATCATCTTCAAGCAAGAAGAGCGCAGCAGGCTCTGTAGTCATTCCTCGGCTTGACATGACTTTGTTGCAGCTGGGTGCGTACATTTTCGTGACCGGGTTGGCAGGTGCTGGCATGATATTGTTGTAAAATACAATTCTATATTCATGTTGCGATGCGTTGCATTTTCTAAAGGCGTCTTTAAATATCTGCTTAGGTGGAAGCAGTCAATTCGTAGATATGCATTATTCGGTGTTTGCCTTTTCTGGCATTATTCTTGTTCAGTCCGGCGGTATCCCATAGAGGGCTACCATAATTGTATATGATGGCAGTGTGGAATTTATAAGCATTACTTGAATAACCATTCGTCCAGTCCGAATCGAAGTGACCAGTCTCGGACAGAAAGATTGGCACTAAGTGACATGCAAAGTACGATGCAGTAATCTCGCCTTCCCAAGAATTGAGGTCTTTACCTTGTAATTAGATCAAATATTGCAAGCCGAATGAATGTCGCGTGAAATAATAAGAATCAAACTATAATAATGAGTGCGTGCTGCTCTGTATATCGACCACGGGGTGTTGGCGGGTGGCTTCGATACCTTCCATGCTAACTTGTGTCAATAATACCATATCTAATATCTAAGACTAGCCAACAGTCTCGGTAACAATTTTAAAAGCACTCATCAACCCTCTCTAAATTGTTTTCTACTCATGGGAGGACTGCGATGTCGATCAAAAAGGGGTCCCCGCTTATTTACAAATGCCCCCATTCTCATCACCCAGCCAACAAAGCCTCGCATATGCCAAAACGTCGAACCTCCGTTTGACTTCCCCATGTAATATCGATCGGTACCTGTAACTCCAGGATTATCGACATGGCGAGGCTAGTGATTGAAGACAGCGACGACGAGTTCCCGGATCTAGATGGATTGTTACAAGGGAATGGCGCTAGCAGTGGCGGGATGTCAACAATGAGGGAGACGACAACGTCACGGGATGACAAGGAAGCAGAATGGAAGAGGAAGAGTAACGGGAAGGAGATGGAAGTTACGACGGCGAAGAAGAAGAGGGTGTTGAAGAGGAGGGATGATAATCCGCTGTTACGACCACTTGCTAGCACGGCCACCGCGTCTGAGGGTCGGAAAGGAAGAGCTGGGATTGGGATTAAGACGAGCCGGGCTGTTGAAAAGGAAGTCATGCCTGCGTCAAAGAAGAAACATGTCACGGGTTCTGACTCTAGGGAGAAGGTAGAGACCAGGACGCCGCCGAAGAGAAGGCGTGCTGAACCGACTCGAGTTGTTGATCTTGAGTCGGAGGAAGAGAACGATAGTGAGATCTTGTCAAAACCAGCGCGGTCGAAGATTCGTACGTTCGATCTTGAAACTGAGGATGATGATGATGATATATCGGATTTCATTGTGAATGATTCTATATTTCTAGAGGAAGAGATATCAGAGATTGAGATGCCGCCACCGCCAAAGCCGCCGCGATCTGCCAGGCGTCTAGTCAAGGGAAGGAAGCCAGAGAAGGAGGACGAGGAGCTCGACTTGGGTATGAGGAAATTAAGTATGAAAGATGAAGCTTTCGATAAGATTGCCAGGGATTTCGGTAGTAGTGAGGAGACCGCATTGTTTGGGAGAAGCCTAAAAGATTGTCAGTCGAACGACAATAAACCAGCAAAAGATGCCCCGCGGCCAAAGAAGAATATTCCGGAACCTAGTTCTGACATCGAAGATTCTTTCACTCTTCGTTTGTTAGTCAGGTCATATCCTTTACCAAGATGTTTGCTAATCTCCATGTAGTTCTCCTTCAGAGAATAAGCCCAGAAAGGTATCGAAAACAGCCCGCTTTGTAACTCCACCTGGAAGTCCTGAACTCAAGGCGAGAACCTTGGTATCATCCAAAAAGATTACACGGATACCAACTACCCCCCATCGGCCCAGTATGGACAACTTCTGGAGTCAGGATGTTGTCAATGATTGGAATGACGAGTACTCCCCACCGAAGAAGATACAACCGAAACCGAAGCCACAGCTAGATCAGAATGGCAGTCTCTCCAATGGACCTTTGCTCTTTTCCCCGACAAAAAAGAGCCCAGTGAAGCAAGACCGCCAGGCAAAAGACGCCAAGAAAGCATTTTCCGAAAAGAAGCACGCTCTCGCCGAATCATTCCTCACAGAACTCGACGAAAAAATCACGGACGGCCAGATCTCCAAACTCGCCTCATCAACAGGTGGCATAAAGATAATCTGGAGCAAGAAGCTAAATACCACAGCCGGCCGCGCAAACTGGAAACGCGAGACCATTCGTTCCACTACCTTACGTCCAGACGGCAAGCCCGCAATGCCAATCCAGCGCCACCACGCAGCCATCGAACTGGCCGAGAAAGTCATCGACGACGAGGACCGTCTCCTAAACGTCGTAGCACACGAGTTTTGCCACCTCGCCAACTTCATGATCTCAAATATGAAAACAAACCCCCACGGCAAAGAATTCAAAGCCTGGGCCGCCAAAGTATCAAACCATTTCCAACACCGCGGCATAGAAGTCACGACAAAACACAGCTACAACATCGACTACAAGTACGTCTGGGAGTGCGAGAACTGCGGGCTGGAGTTCAAGCGGCATAGTAAGAGTATTGACCCGGCGAAACATCAGTGCGGTGTCTGTAAGAGCAAACTTGTGCAGACGAAGCCGGTGCCGAGGGTAGGGAAGGTGGGGGGTAATGAGTACCAGGCTTTTGTGAAGGAGAACATGAGGGTTGTGAGGGAGGCGAATCCAGGGAGTCCGCAGAAGGAGATTATGGGGTTGGTGGGGAAGAAGTATCAGGAGTTTAAGGCTTCGAGGTTGAAGGACAGTATTAGTGTTAGTGTAGAGGAGTTGGTTGGCAGTAAGGAGACGACGCCTGAGAGTGATGGTGTGGGTGTGGTGGCAAGGAAGTTGGATTTCTTGGATTTGACGAGTCCTTGAATATGTTTGGGTATGTGAGACGTGGATTAGACAGGTTATGGATTTGATGAGTCCTTGGATGTTTAGGTATGCGGAAAACGCGACGTGGATTAGGCAGCTTATAAGAGCTTAAGAGCTCACCAAACTTGTCGGAATAGAATGGAGCATAGATACTGGAATATAAAAAGATTCTGGAAACTCCGAAGCTCTTCATTTGCGGTCTTAGGGCTGTAGATGAACCCCCTTGAAGCTTGGTGAACCCAGAAAATTACTGCAGTATTTATCGTATCTAGCCTTAGAGATCATGACTTATTGTACCGCTGTAACATGGTATTCTTGCTAACTACCTATGAAAAACCAATCCTGACCAGGCCTCTGTCCATATCGGTGAGACTGTTGTAAAGCTCACGGCGAATCTCATACAGGTATTCATTCATATCGTCGTAATCTCCAACCCATTCAATCCATTCCATTTACCTTCCCAATTCTATCCTCCCACTAGATCCACCTTCCGACTTGACCCATTTCCTCCCTCTTCAATGGGCATCAATTCCTTCCTAAACCTCATTAAAAAGACCCCAATCCTTAATTTTAAACGTCTCCCAAATCCTCGCCGCAATCTCCACCGAACTCTCAATAAGCTTCCCCTGCTTCCCCATTTCCATATCAACCTCCTCTTGCGTATACTCCCCCTTGATATGCGGCACGTTAATGGTGATCAAGACATCAGTGCTCTCCCTCTCCAACCGGATAAGCGTCAACACAATAGCCGTGAAATCAGGGCTCTTGGAGTCTGGCGCCGGCGGCGGCGTTTGCGTCGCGATGAGCGTGTAGGCTGGTATGCCTTCTCTGTATATATTTCACGTGATTATTAGCCTTGCTTGCGCTTGCGCGTACAAATACCTATTCAACAGGATAGGAGTGCGGGAGGAGAGGGGGACGAACGGGAGCTTGGAGAACTGCGTGTTAGAAGTGTTCCACACTTTCACGGTATCGACGTCTGAATCGACAATATCTTCTAGGTGGGTTGTGAGCGCTGCGCCATCGACGGCGGGCCCGCTTCCAGCGGTGCCGACGCGCTCGGTGATGTCGAAGATGATGCTTGTGAAGCCATCTTTGTCCAGGTAAACTTCTTGATGATCAGGGACTTGACGAATTGTGCTGCCAGCGATTTGTTAGTATTACGCTTTAGACACGGGTTTGAGGGGGGATATATACCTGACGTCGGCGAAGGTTGAGGGGAGGTCGACGATAAGCGCCCCGCCAAAGAGTGGCGTGCTGCGGAAGCTTGACATTTTGATGATGGCTTGCTCAAGCTGATATGTCTCTTTTGTGAATTTCGTATGGTCTGTAAGGCTTGGACGGTATTCTGGAAAGGGATTGAGATAGATGTTCCTGGTCTTTTCGATGTTTGTTGCTGTGCAAGGCAGTCGGGCTTGATGTTCCTGTCCTGTCTTGATGCCTAGCTCGCTAAAGTTATCTGATGCTGGAAATTTAAAAGGTGTGACTTGAAACAATCGCCCAGCTCTGTCTGCCTCAAATGATGATTGGCCTGTTGTGTGTAAGAGGTTGTAGGTTTCAGCCTCGTGGATAGCAAAAGTTCACTATGTGTACCTACATAGAGTATTCGGCCTTAGAAATAGGGTTGAGTTTGAAGACTCGCTTATTTTGCCCTCTCGCTTGATAAATCTTGAAAAAATGGCAAAAGAAAAATTGTATACTTCTATTCAGAAGCTAGAATAATATAAAAAAAAATGCAAAAAGGAGATTTTCTGCTAAGCAGAGTTGGGTTTCAAAGATTGGATGAATGGAGTATTATGGGCATGAGCCACGGTCATCTCTGGTAAAAGGCAAGAAATGAATTCTGAGATAGCTTGTCCCACTCCGAGGATAATTTGTGTTTATTTTACTTTATATACCACCCTCCCCCAACGCCCCGAACATACCCCAGACTTCTTCAATACATTAGTTTTCCACTCTCGCGGGCACGTCTTTTTAATTACTTACTGCGATTTTTTGTTCGTGATTAAATTATATGGAGCATAAGGCCTAGACTCCTGTTACTCTTTGAAGACATATTAATAATAGGCTGCTCGCATCGATTGAGTTCTTTTTAGAGCGTGTATGTAATGCTTTGCAGGCTTCAGACCCCCCTCGAACAACTATCTACCAGAGGTGGAACATTAAGAGACTTACCATAGAAAAATGAATTTTACAAGTATATTCTAGATAAAAGCAACACGAGAATACCCTTAAGAAAAAGAACATAACACTCCATCACGTGTCCAGCATCTGTCTCCCTTTCTTGGAGCTTCCTCCCGACCCCGCCATCCAACCTCAAGCTCCCCCCGCAACTTCAAGAACAATCTCCCATAAAGCCGCCACAGCACATCCCCATATCCCAAACCCCCCAATCGCAACCATGGCCAGCTCCGCAGCCTGCATCTTCTGCAAAATCGTCAAAGGTAAGCTCCATCTCCAGCCCCCTCCCCCCCAGCCCAAACACAACTAACACTCCACCAGGCGACATCCCCTCATTCAAACTCTTCGAGTCCGACAAAGTCTTCGCATTTCTAGACATCAACCCTCTCTCAAAAGGCCATGCCGTACGTCCCATCCTGTCCTTTCCACCACATCCACCTCCTCCCACACACCTTCCATTCCGCCCCAGCAGCGAGCCCATACCATAACATAACAAGAGGAGAGCAAATGCTGATACAATAGCTTGTTTTGATTGCAGTTAGTAATACCCAAACACCACGGCGCGAAACTAACCGATATTCCCGACGACTCCCTGGCGGAACTCCTGCCCGTGGTTAAGAAGCTGGTTCTCGCGACGGGGGCCGAGGATTACAACGTGTTGCAGAATAATGGGCGGATTGCGCATCAGGAGGTTGATCATGTATGCTTCCCTTCCCTTTTCCCATTCTTTCCCTTGCTTGCGGGTTGGAAAGTCAAGAACATATATATATATATATATATACATGGCCAGAAGGAATGAAGGGCAGGCAGGGTTAAAGGGTTTACTAATGTGGAAGGAGTTGGATTGGATTGATTCGGGCTAAATTAAGTGCGTGCTGTAGGTGCATTTCCATATGATTCCGAAACCGAATGAGAAAGAGGGGTTGGGTATTGCGTGGCCACAGCAGAAGACGGATATGGATGGATTGAAGGCGCTGTTGGCGGATATTAAGTCGAAGATGTAAATGGGATGGGATTGAGACTAGCATGATGAGATGAAATGATTCGAGGGTAAGTTTATTTATGGAGAGCGGGCAATCGAATGAACAATCCATGTGGTTGCTTCATTAAGATGTATACAATCTTTTTTCCAATGCAACAAATCTGGCCAAGGTCTCCCATGAATGTTATGCAGCCTACCCACCATTGCCTAACGCCAGCAAGTTATCATCTATGCATTATATAATACAAAGACCACTCCTCTATTTTGTATTCCCATTAGAATCTAGTCCAAGTCTGCCGCCGAAGTCTCCACCGATGTAGTCCCATTTGCAGCTGCGGCTGGTGTCACTTTCGAGGGATAGAAGTGTGGTACTCCACCCTGCCCAATCAAACCCGAACGATCATAGTACGACCTCGCTCTCACATACGGATCCAAAATCCAATAGCCATCCCTCAGCGTTGCCGCCAAATCATGTCTTTTCTGCTTGAGACTCGTGGCATCTGTTTCTTTCGCGTGGATCCACTCGAGCGTTTCCTTTTCATAGGCTTTAACGGCATCTTCTCTTTCGAGGAGAAGCTTGTCGCGAGTAGCCGTATCCTTCATTTTGTCGTTCTCGCCTGGTACGGGCTCAATGTAAGTGTAAGCCCAGTCCTCAACCCCACCGAGCTCCTTGATTATGTGTTCCTTAGGAACGAATTCTTCCATTTCTTGGTTGTTGTTGGTAAATTGGATTTTACTGGCTACTACGGGGTCTAGCCAGCCTTTGATGATTTTCCAGATGCCTGGGTTGGTTAGAGGGTATATTGGAGCTTGGAAGGGAATAGAACCGACCTTGGAAAATCCAGGGAGCTTTGTGGACTAATACTACTCCTAAACTTTCTGGATAGTTTGCTTCAAAGCACTTGATCATGAATTTGACAGGGGCATAATCCTAGTAGGTGTTAGTAGGTGTGAGCAATTTTCTCCGAGACCCAATGGAAATCATTACCATGTTGGCCATTGAAAATCCGGTCATATCAAAAACGACACACTACAATCGTCAGCTGGATCTTAGCGAAACCTCAACCTTAAAACGACTTACAGCAGTATCGGCAGGAGGTGCTAGTAACATCCTTGCGGTTTCTATAGTGAAAACTGTGTACTTCTCAAGACTCTCCTCACTCTGTTCGCCTTGTTTATGTAGGCGAACCCGTATAAAGCACATGGGTCTCCCCCCTTTATCGAGCCCATGCAGGAAACTCTTCCCTAACCGCATCTGAGCCAAGAAGTCTTCCCCTAACTTCTTTTTGATCGGATCATCTCCATTCGCAGCTTCAAGCGATCCAAGTTCGCCGTTCTTCATAATATCGTCATCAACATGTATGTCTGATGCTCTCCATCGCATAGTAGAAATCATCATAACCAATGCCTTCTCCACATCCCACTTCCGAGCTCGCAAGAACCGCAGCAGGAGCGCATCGGGGTGGTCATGCTTCAACATGCTCCAGAATGCTGCTCGGAGTGACTCTGGAGACAGACTTGCTATCGCGTCATGGAACTCTTTCGTCTGCCCGTACTTGTCGTCATCTGCTGGGACTATGGGGGTCTTTGAGCCCGAATCCGTAGAAGCTATCGAGTCCGCATCACCGTCATGGTTCCTCCGCAACATACCAAATCTCTTCTTCTTGGGCTTCTTCAACGAGGCTGTATCGGATCTCGCTTTGATAGGGCCAGGATCCACTTGCCCATTCTGATCCATCACACCGAAGACTTGAAGAGTTGCAACCCAGAATTCCTTCAGTTTATCCTCTTGTTCCGGCGTCAAGTTGCTCACTCTTCCTGGAAGAGATGCATCTGCCATATCGAAGTTTTCGAATCCTTCTGACTCCAATAAGAACTTGAGGCCCTCTGAAACCGGCTGCTGTTGCTTCGAATTTGTTGCACTTTTAACGTCACTCGAGGAGATGGTGTAGAGAGTCGCTACTATAGAAGCGATAATGGCTATAGCCCAAGTACCGGTGCTGCTTCGCAAAGGCTTTGGAGGGGTATATGTTGATCGGTGAGTAATGCGCTCTGCGTTTCTCGGTGATTTAAACCCTTGTTGACTCGGCTTTCGCAAATTGCAAAGGCTGCGGTTTGTTGCGCAAGACGGAGTACGTGAGTTTAAGGGTTGTGATAATCGAATTTGTCGGTGGGCGGAGTTGTGGGGAAGGGTTGTAGACGAATGGAAAGATGATTGAATATGGTGAAGATGTACAGTCGAGTGGTTTCGGGAAACAGCTCCGATCGAACGCAATAAGATGTATTGGTTACTGATATGGGAACTGAAAGTGCGAACTGTCGTTAATCTTGTCATGGACAACAAAGGGCAAGAATTGGGGTTGTCGAAGTATAGGTAGTCGCGGTGGGGGTTTGGTAAGCTTTTAGCTCTAGTCCCTGCGAGTGAGATTTGATCCTGCAAAAGGAATCTACTGTACTGTAGGTACTGTAGGTAGGGGTATTTTAAGATGCGTAGGACATTGATACATGGGGTTGGTCTTGATACCGTAATAGGATTTGCTCTTTGTTGTGTTACTGTACTGTTGTCAAGCCATCAATTCCCGAACTTACCGTTCCGTACCCTCTATACCCAGTTATAGCTGATTTGCGCCTGTCTCTTGAACCTTTCATAAATCGTCATCGTTTTGTGCGTCTTTTGTACGCTTGTTTGCATAATCGTACGTAGTATTGATCTCCTCACGTGCGCATCGCGGGGCTGAGATTGGGCTCGCGTCGCGTGGTATCAACAATTGATTGCGTACAGTACGAATACAGCCCTGCCATCATCGCCGCATACTCTCCTTCATGTCTTCCTCCACAACCCCCCAAGCCGAAAGCAGCGTGAAGCGCTCAACATCCGGCACCCGCAGACCCATTTCGCGCCCAACAACCCCTCTACGCCCATCCTCCCGCTCCTCTCTACGCGAATCTGGCAAGTCAAGTGTAGCAGGAGCATCAGATGCACCCTTGGAGGCATTTGAGCCTGCTTTTGCAGAGCTGTCGGATTCAATGGCCGATTTGGAGGCCAATTTCATGCATATGCAGTTGATGCATGAGAGTTTGGCTAGGTTCAGTGAGAACTTTGCCAGTTTTTTGTACGGGTTGAATATGAATGCATTTTGTGTGGACTTTCCAGAGGTAATTTACAGCTGAACAACGTAATAGAAATTTACTGAATGTTACAGGCTCCAATTCCTGAATCGTTTCGCAGAGCGAGGGACCAAGAGGATCAATTAGGTGTGTTCATGCGCCAGCAAATATCGACAAAGCTGACCTTTTACAGGCAGATCAACAAATTCGGAAAGATTTCACGGTGATATTGATGGGGAGACTACTTTCTTGTAAGTCATCTAAGCACAGTGGTAATTTTCTATGCTAATCTCGTCAGAACGACTGATACATCATTTGTCGAAAATCCACCCACATCCTCGAAAGCCACACCGAAATTCTCAACTCCTGCTCCTTCGCGAATAGGGGGTAGTCGGGGTGGGATGGCGCCTGCTGGGAGAGGTGGTGCTGCCCGCGGCGGGCTTCGTGGTACTCGGGGTAGTGGTCTTGCTAGAGCAGCAAAGGGTCGTAGTGTGAGATAGTGATACCCCAATATAATGTCTAGCGACGAACCCTGTGATGGTTGAAAGAGCAGTGTATCATGTTTTAGTGAAGTAATCCATGTAGAGGACCTCAAGTCGCCGAAGCATCTTCCTCCAACAGCCCCGAATTCTCCATCTCTACCTCCATATCCCGAGTGTTTTCTTTCGCGGCCAGTCGAGGTCCATTGTCCGGACTCCGTTGACCAATAGCTGCTTCTGCTTCCTTTTGTGTATATGGCTCTTCTTTTAACGCTTTCACTCTGTCGAAATAAAATTAGCTGCCATGATGAAAGTTAGAGTATGTGCCTCTCTACCTTCGCTTATGTGTGCTTCCTTTTCGGTGGGTGACCATGCTGTGCTCGCTCTCAAACCATTTTGCGCATTCGATACAGTAGAATTGTCCGAGACCAGGGAGATCTTCGGCAGCTTTCATACCCTTATGCTCTTGGAGATGCTTGGGTGACTTGAGGTCTTCTGCAATTTGGTCAAGGTCCCTTGCAATCGGATATCAGCCCAAGAACACGCAATAGCGGGGGGCTGCAACGTGGGGTATCTACCTAAGACGTCTTCTCGTCTTGGTCCTGGTGGTTTTCTGGGGAATCCCCATGGCTACAGGTGTAACTTTACAATGTTCAGCTGCAAATGAGGCTCTGATTTAATAATTACAGATTGTGGAAGGCTACCTATGCTAGGTACGTACTTGAGTAGGTCTGGTCTGGGTGTGTTTCGAAAATAGGTGGAGCTGCTTGTCTCCAGGTCGGAAAAAAAAAGGTAAAAATTAAAAAACACGGCTGGCCGGCAAAATGCGGCCCAGGCTGGATGTGCGCACAATACTACCTACCAGTCTCAGCCAGTCCAGTGAACGGGTGCATGACTTCACTCTGCATCTTTACTGGAATGGAATGGAATGGCCTCGTGCAACTGGATTAAATTAAACAGCATTACATCAATCACACCACTATTTAGATGTTTAGTTTACTCGACCCTTGACAATTCTCAATGATGTTATAGCTTTCTCATAGTAGTATACACGTATGAAAAGACGACAGGAAAGGCTGAAAAAACAAAGTCCGATCACAAGCTTTTCTTGCTTGGTCTGCAGGCAAAAGAACTCGTCCCTCATTGGCTGTATGGTGGCAGAAATCCTGAATCGGAGGTTCTCGCAAAACCCTTAGTCAATGCCATCCTGCCCTTTGACCATCGGGTCTTCTCTGATTGGCCGGCAAGGAAGGAGCTCTCTGCCTTTGCGCCTTCAGGCCGAGTTGATAAGGTCCACTTGCTCGTCAATTGGATTAAGCTCGGTATTTCAACTTTCATAGCCGTCCATCTCCTCTCAACTTCCCGTCTCTTTTCTTTCCTTTCCTTCTTTGCACAAGACCAACTTCAACCACCAACATTACCTACATATCCGTCTTGAAGATTGTTTCATCTCCTCTGGAACATTGTGACCACCACCACCATGCTGTCACGACAGCTTCTGCGCGCGGCGCCTCGCGCTGTCTTCTCGAGGAGGATGGCTACTCTGGCCGATTCTCCCCTTGATAAGAAGGTTGCCCAGAACAATCAAGAGAAGGGCAACTTCATAAATTACAAGAAGATGTCCGAGAACCTGTCAATTGTTCGCCAAAGACTCAATCGTCCCCTCACATATGCCGAGAAGATCTTGTACAGCCATTTGGATGATCCTCATGGACAGGAGATCGAGCGCGGGGTATCCTACCTGAAGTTGCGCCCGGATCGAGTGGCTTGTCAAGATGCCACCGCACAGATGGCTATTTTGCAATTCATGTCTGCCGGCATGCCGTCCGTTGCGAACCCAACGACCGTTCACTGCGACCATCTGATTGAAGCTCAAGTTGGTGGTGCGAAGGATTTGGCCAGAGCTGTGGATATCAACAAGGAGGTTTATGATTTCCTCTCCACATCTTGTGCCAAGTACAACATTGGTTTCTGGAAGCCTGGATCCGGTATCATCCATCAAATTCTCCTCGAAAACTACGCTTTCCCCGGTGGTCTATTGATCGGCACTGATTCGCACACTCCCAATGCTGGTGGTCTTGGAATGTGTGCCATTGGTGTTGGTGGAGCGGATGCTGTCGATGTTATGGCCAACCTTCCTTGGGAATTGAAGGCACCAAAGGTTATTGGTGTCAAGCTTACTGGTCAATTGTCCGGCTGGGCTTCACCAAAGGGTACGTCTTCTATTGGGATTTGTGAGTTTATGCTAACTGTACAAGATATCATCCTTAAAGTCGCGGGCATTTTGACTGTAAAGGGGGGACAGGCGCCATTGTAGAGTATTTTGGTCCGTACTTTGAAGATATACTCCCCTTTCCCAATGCTTTTCGACTTTGTAGAATGTGTCCGCCGCTCAACACACTTTGAGCGGTGGGTGCATGCTATCGAGACCGAGCTTTTCACCATGTTGAATACTTTTGGGCCACAGTATCATACGCTAACATGTGTTACTACTACAGGACCAGGAACAGCCTCTGTTAGCGCAACAGGGATGGCCACAATTTGTAACATGTCAGAATCCCTGTCTAAATATCTGTTGTGCCTTGCTAACATCTTTACAGGGGGTAAGTTTCAGGAATAATGTCTCACGACCGGTGGGAGATTATTTTCACGGCTCGCGTGACATTCTTACACTCCTCAAAACACCCCAAAGAAGAACCATAGCTGACACAGGTTGTTCACAGTGCTGAGATTGGTGCTACGACTTCTCTTTTTCCTTTCAACGACCGCATGTACGATTATCTCGCTGCTACAAAACGTTCCGAGATTGGTGATTTCGCTCGCGTTTACGCCAAGGAGCTCAGAGAAGATGAAGGCGCCCAATATGACCAACTGATTGAGATCAACCTTTCGGAATTGGAACCTCATATCAACGGCCCTTTTACCCCCGATCTTGCTACTCCAATCTCCAAGTTCAGCGAGGCTGTCACGGCTAACAATTGGCCCGCGGAGCTCAAGGTTGGACTGATCGGATCTTGCACGAACTCCTCTTACGAGGACATGTCTCGCGCAGCTTCCATTGCCCGTGATGCCCTGGATCACGGCGTGAAGGCGAAATCTTTATTCACAGTAACCCCCGGTTCGGAACAAATCAGGGCTACGATTGAGAGTGGGCATCCTTTTTTTACCCAGGCAGAGAACATAGCTAACATTCAACAGGGGATGGTCAATTGGCAACATTGGAGGAGTTCGGTGGAATGGTTCTAGCCAACGCTTGCGGGTAAGCCAGCCTTTTTCTCTAAGAAAAATGTCCCACTAATCATGGGACATTCTCCACAACACCCGTCTCCATTTATTTTTCAAAGAAGCACAACTAACTCTGAGATCCTTAGCCCATGTATCGGTCAGTGGGATCGCAAGGACGTCAAGAAAGGGGAGGCCAACTCGATTATCTCATCCTACAACCGAAACTTCACTGGCCGTAACGATGCTAACCCCGCTACCCACTCCTTCGTCACCTCCCCAGATCTCACAGTCGCAATGACAATCGCGGGATCCCTCCACTTCAACCCTCTCACCGACAAATTGAAGGACAAGGATGGAAACGAGTTCCTTCTGTCCCCACCAACCGGTGATGGACTGCCATCGAGGGGCTATGACCCAGGACAGGACACTTACCAAGCACCTCCTCCTACCGGTAGTGCTGTTGCCGTCGCAGTTTCCCCAACTAGTGATCGATTACAGCTTCTTGAGCCATTTTCCGCATGGGATGGCAAGGATGCTACTGATATTCCTATTCTCATCAAAGCAAAAGGCAAGACTACTACTGATCATATTTCCATGGCTGGCCCTTGGCTCAAGTACCGTGGCCATTTGGACAACATCTCCAACAACATGTTGATTGGTGCCATCAACTCTGAGAATGGGGAGGCCAACAAGGTCAAGAACTTCACAACTGGAAAGTACGATGCTGTCCCAGCTACCGCTAGAGACTACAAGAAGAAGGGGATCCCATGGGTTGTCATCGGAGACTGGAATTACGGCGAGGGAAGCTCAAGAGAACACGCAGCACTTGAGCCCAGACATCTTGGTGGTCTTGCCATCATCACCCGAAGCTTTGCCCGAATTCACGAGACCAACTTGAAGAAGCAAGGAATGTTGCCTTTGACCTTCATCAACCCCGAGGACTATGACAAGATTCAGCCAGAAGACAAGGTTGACCTCCTGTGCACCGAACTTGCTGTTGGCAAGCCGATTACTCTTCGGGTGCACCCCAAGAACGGCGAGACCTTTGATGTTAAGCTGGCACATACCTATAATGCTCCACAAATTGAATGGTTCAAGAATGGCAGCGCGTTGAACACAATGGCTAAGGCGAATAATGCTTGAGGGGATGGTGTCTATTGTATTTTATAGCAGCAAATGGAGTTTTCTTACCTATGATTTGTTGGTTTCTGAGAAATTGTGATGCCGTTTATCTATCGAATTGAACAAAGTCTGTGGTAATTATATAGAAGCAGGAGCCAGCGTTTGGGTATGGATTTCGTAAATAGCGAGATAATGAAATATGTTAACATATAGTGGACATAATAGACTCGCCAGCTTCGCTAGCAATAACTCCCATAAGACTGGTGCCGAATTTAAGAAGTGGTATTTCCATCCAAAACTCAGCCTCGCGCTAAGCCTGTCAGCCTTTCATTCGGCTAAGCGACTTCTGTCGCGTAGATTTTGCCAGAGCTCTTCTCCTAACACGCCTCTGGACTATCACGAAGAAACCCGCGCAAAAACATGCTGGCAAGGCTCTCGTTAACATTTTGAACCCGGCAGATCAAATACTAATACACAAATCCACCATCCGTGCCCGTCAACTCTAAAAGAGGGCGATTCCAAAGGCCACGATGGCTCCGAGTCTCCCGCAGTTCTCAGCAGCGCGCATGCGCTCGTACATTTTCCGGCTCCCGCTCTTCACACGCTGCATCATTTTTGTTATTGTTCTACTATGGGCGCTGGGTATGCAGAGCGTGTGGGATGTGCAGGCTTGGGGTGCCCTGGTGCCGAATGAGATTGGGTTGGCGAGCAGTTTGTTCCCCCTTCGATACTGTGGCTTGTCGTAAAGGAATATAACTAATGTTGTTTGGTGCATAGTGTATAGGACGAATACCTTTCCGCTGGTGCATGTCGGCTTCTTTCATGCGCTGATGAATGTCCTCGCTCTGACGCCCCTTTTGGAGAGATTTGAGGCCGAGTATGGAACCTTGACAACGTTGGCGCTGTTCCTTGGACGTATGTACTTTCCCTCGTAGAATCGAAGAGGCATGGAGATGGTTTGTAGATGGCTAACTGAAATGCAGCACTTTCCACGATTCCAGCGTTGTTGTACACTTTTATTGAAAGGGGGATTTTGGGCATGAATACTACAGTTTTGGGTGCCAGGTATGGACTGCTTTCATGCTAAGTCTTAAGTTACAATGACTAACATGGGTTGAACTAGTATATGGGTATTCACTCTGCTTGCGATGGAGGCTGTTAAAACATACAAAACGAATCCCAACTTTCTTCTCGGTACGACACAAATACCTACATGGATAACACCACTCGTCATGGTGTTATTCGTGTCGTTCTTGATTCCAAATACAAGTTTCTTGGGGCATATATGTGGATTGGCTTTTGGCTATGGGTGTAAGTTATTTTGAGACTTGGGATGAGAGACATGGAAGCTAATTGTAACAGGGGGCTTGGGGTATTTGAAATTCCTGGCGCCACCGGAATGGGCATTGAGATGGATAGAAGGAAAGCTCAACTTGCTTGGGAGATTACCTCATTACGTCTCTGTGGACCAGAAGACATACGGCCGATTCGGTGTCCTTCCTACTACGAATCCATCATCGGATAGTATTAGTATGGGGAGCAGTCAAAGATTAGGACCGTGAAATAACTAAGATTAGACGGCGTCTATCTTCTAGGTGGTTCATGATGTACAAAGATGTGGCATGAAACGGAGTTAGGGATACTGGTTTGAGCGGTAATTACTGGGACACTATTCAAATACGATTATAGAGTGAAATTAATATGAATTTATTCCCTAAATATAACATCAAGTGAATATTCTGTCAGCATATTGTGAATGTTGCCAGCTCGTAAAAAGCTACCCCTGAAAGCCTAATCGCGTCAGCCTCGACCTCAAAATAATTCGATTCTGTGCTGTTCACCACATCAAAAATGCCCACCCCACCATAGAGAGCACATTATTCTCTAGGTATTTATTATGTCCGGTCTGCTTGGTAATTCTTAGTCCCCCCTTTGCAATTCAAATATTAATTGTCACAAAGCAACAACCTCTCTTCTCCGGCGCGATCCCCGCCTGCTCAAGGTCCCGCCATACCTGTCCTTCCTCTGCATCGTTATCGGTGTCGCATGGCTACTTCTACTACCTTTAGACGATTACTCGCGAGGAACATATATCTCAGAAAACGCGCTGCTGCCGGGGCAGGTGCATACGTATTTTGCTGGGAGTGATCAGAATGTGTTTCGAGGGTATAAGCATGAAGTTGATGCGCTGGGGGAGAGGAGTAATGTTGAGTAAGATGCCCACGCTGGGATATCGCATTAAAAGTTGGATAGCGGGCTGACTGCTGGGTAATAGGGTAAATGATAAACTTGAGGAGCTGTTTAAGGCGTCGGGCTTGAAAGTTGCGAGGCAGAAGTACGAGTATAAGAGTGCTGGGGAGACGTACGAGGGAGAGAACATATATGCAATACTGCATGCACCGAGAGGGGATGCTACAGAAGCTATTGTGCTTGTAGGAGCTTGGATAAACGTGGATGGTGTGCTGAATAGGAGTGGCGTGGCTCTCGTTCTCACGCTGGCAAGATATTTCAAGAGTAAACCGACCCCCCTTCGATGAAGCTATAGGGAACTAACGGATCAATAGGATGGTCATTATGGTCGAAAGATATCATCTTTCTGGTCACAGCGGATAGCAGGGCGGGCCCACAGGCTTGGGTGGATGCGTATCATGATACACATCAGTCTCCTGCCATTGAGTCTTTGCCTGTGAAGAGCGGTGCTCTGCAGGGAGCTGTGGTCATTGACTACCCATTCGATCACCGATTTGAGTCTCTACATATTGTTTATGATGGTATCAATGGGCAGCTCCCGAATCTGGATCTTCTAAATACTGTGGTAGCCATTGCCAGCGGTCAGATGGGAATTGGAGCCTCTTTACAGCAAATGTGGCAGCATACAGACAGCTACCAGGACAGGCTAAAGACGATGCTCAGGGGAATGCTGAATCAGGGATTAGGCCATGCATCCGGGCCTCACAGTAGTTTCATTCCGTACCACGTGGACGCCATAACGCTACAACCTTACGGAGAGGGTTGGCAAGACGAGATGGCTATGGGAAGAGTGATAGAAAGCACTTTCCGAAGTTTGAACAATCTTCTGGAACATCTTCACCAAAGTTTCTTCTTCTACCTACTCATGCAGGCCAATCGCTTCGTCAGCATTGGGACATATCTTCCTAGTGCTATGCTTGTAGCTTGCAATTTCACAATCATGGCTATCTTTCTCTGGGTGAAGAGTGGATCTCCTCTGCCTACGAAAACAACAGTTGGGTCAACTGCCCAGTCTGACGAGAAGGCACCTCCTTTAGCTGTAATCCAAGAAGCAGACGCCAAAGCCATTGTTCCCGAAGAAACATTGGCTGTGAGAGAACGAGAGCTATTCCTGCCACTGGCAGTAGTAGCAGGCTCGCAGTTCCTGGGCGTCCTTCCCCTCTACCTTTTCAACCATACTTCCGCTCCAGTAAGCACCTATCCCTTCTCTCTCCTTTACTCCCGACTAACATGAGCAGATGTTCCCCGCAATCTTCACCCTCTTCACAGCCTTCAACACTATTACCCCACCCCTCCTCTCCCACCTGCTAACAACAACCTTCCACCCAACCGCCCAACAATACTCCCTCATAAAATCCTTCTCCCTCCTGCTCCTCGGCCTCTTCCTCTCCTCCCTCGCCACCCTTAACTTCTCGCTCGCCTTCCTCGTCGGCCTATTCTCCGCACCCCTAACATACATGCAACCTCTTCCCAATCGTCCCATCATTGCCGGAATCCTAGCGCTATTGTTGACGGCGTTGGCACCGACGACGGTTCTGTTTGCAGGCGCGCAGTATTGGGGCCTGGGGATAGGCGAGGTGTTGAAGGAGGCGGCGTTTGGGTGGGATGTTTGGGGAATGAATACCCAGGTTGTGGTGTGGTGTGTTTGGTGGCCTGCTTGGGTGATTGGGATGGTCTCGTTGTGGGGGAGGCCGAGGGAGGAAGTGGAGAGTTGAGGCTATATGTGTATAGTATGTGGCTTGTAGATAGAATAGGAAGAGCAATTTCTGGGTTATGAATTCTGAATAAATGATAGGTAACTCGGACTATGAATTTTGAGAATGAAGTTGGCCTAGATCTTTGTTGGCAGTAGGATATGTAACTTGTGACATTTTCCAGACAGTACTGTGAGAGACTTGTTGGTAGATAGGCAAATGTCACCGCATGGTTTTCACTCGCTATACCCTCTTTTTCACTGATTGGGGACATATCTTGTTTATAATCAGACACCATGCTGTAAAATCCGAATCTATCATTTAGTTCAAGGCAAGGTATCTTCGAGATAATTTGCTAATGACGTTTTTTATCTCATGTCTTCGAGATCTATAGTACAAGCCAGTTCAGTGCCCGCGATCATTCAGCCCAGACGCCATACAATACCAGATTACGCAGCCCAAACATCTTGGCCCCTCTCCTCAATCCAGTTGCCCAATTTGTTGACACTTGAATCCCATTCTTGCAACCTCAAACGCATATTGTCGATTTGTTGCATATCCAGCACCTTGGGCTGTACCCAGTTGATGCGCGCAATCTCGTCAACTTGATCGATGCTTCCTCTCAGCAGTCCTAAACTCAGTGCCTTCATGATTAAGTGCTCAATCTCATCCGGTCGGACCTTGGTTTCTTCAGCGATAGTGCGGAATGACATGGCACGGTCATGAGGTGGTCGGCGGAATACAATCTCGGTCAAAGCAGCGAGGTAGATTTTTTGTCTCAGTCCATCACGGTGCTCTGAAAGAAGGGGATTCGAGGAGATGTTTCCAGCCAGAACGTCGTACGCGGCCAAATCTCCACGGTTAAAGGCGAACAGAAGGTCCCGAAGCCATTTATCATCAGGCACCAGCGCGTCGAGGATAGGATGTAAGAGGAGCTCTCCGAAATTGTAGATAGTATCAGAGACCAAAGCAGCAATACTAAGATCATAGGCGCGGCTCTTTCGTTCGGCAGGTGTCAAGTTATCCAACTCGATGCAGGCGAGGTAGAGGAGGGCATTTCGGTAATAGGACGCAAATTCCAGTTTTGACTGCTATTGTTAGCTATAGGCTTGTGCGTAGTTTGGAAGAGACTAACCTGGTAATATTGTGCGTTGTTTTGGTAGAAGGCTGCATGAACGCTGGTCTCAACTGAATCGAAGCCATCCAAGATCTTCTCAGACTTGTCCAAATCCTTTCTCGCACCCTCCAAATCCTTCAACTCCAACTTAACATTAGCGACGGCAACGGTTGCATGGACATAGGCGTCTTGTGAGTTGGGGTTATCGACTTTCTTCGCCACGGACTCCAGGAAAGACAGGCGCTCTTGGCTATCTATAAGGTATTAGCACTAGGTTTATCATGTATACTCGAACAGAAAGTACCTCGACATTGTGAAGCGGCGAGTAGGGCAAGCTCAACAAGCTTTAGCTGGTTGATCTTGTCTGCGAAAGTGAGGATGAATGTTTTATAGAAGGGTAACCGCTGCGGGGCGCTCTCGGGGTACTTGAAGAACTCTAGTAAAGTCTCCGTCAACTGATGCCACAGCTTTCGCTCCCATAGATCCTCGAAGGAGATGAAGAGGTGTTGCAGGTCTGCAGGGGCAGCATCGCGCTGTTCTGCCAGGAAGTCTGGGATCGTATCGATATTCATGGCGGGAATGAAAAGGAAAGTTTTGGGTGGAGTTTGGGAAACGACTAAGACCAGTCCTCTTGAATATGCTGAGAATCAAGGGAGGGGAAGTCGCATAAAGAGTTCTTGGCTTCTCGAAGTGTTGCTGAAAATTATTGTTATGGTTTGAGAGATTCAAGATCAACGCAGCGCAAGGCAACGCAAGTCGAGCGGCAACCTTGAGCTCTCTCGCTAGCGCGTTTCTGCCGAGCTGCCAGGAACGACAAACGACCCCAACTGCTCGATATTCTTCCATATCTCAATTGATTTTGAGCACAACCTCAATCATGCAAGCAGCCTGTGTCCGGACGAAGCAGAGCTTGCTATTCAACGCTCCTCTCAAACGCTGCATTTCAGACATTGCCATAACAAAAACAGGACGGACCATTATCCGGACACAGGGTGGAAGGTCAGTGTCAAACTCCCAAGATCAATTGGTCCTTTGCTAACTTCTGCTGTTATAGGTCTTCCCTCGGAGGTGATAACACTCGTACTGCGGCGTATGGATAATGGGCTCACAAGGTTTAGGGCATACCGTCACCGTCTTCGGCGCAACTGGGTTCCTGGGAAGATACATTGTGAACAGGCTTGGTACGAGCCCCCTGATCCGGATCAGTAGGGACATTGGGACTAATGGTCGAAATAGCCAGGCAAGGATGTACCGTCATAGTTCCCTACCGAGAGGAGATGGCGAAACGTCATCTGAAGGTTTCTGGAGATCTGGGTAGAGTTATATTCATGGTGGGGAACCAGAGTTCAACGTAATGTAAATCTTGGCTGACCATTTCTAGGAATGCGATCTAAGGAATACCCCATCGATTGAGGAGAGCGTAAGACATTCTGATGTAGTATACAATTTGGTCGGACGGATGTACCCCACCAAGTATGTTGGCATTCCTTGAAAATGAGGGGAAGGTATTGATTAGGAATATAGGAACTTCGACTTGGAGGATGTTCATGTGGAAGGAGCAGAGCGAATTGCGGATGCTGTTGCAAAATATGATGTTGATCGGTTCATTCACGTCTCCTCATATAATGCCGATGCAAACTCACCTTCGGAGTTCTATCGTACCAAGGTAAGACAAAAAGTCTCGAAATCAGTATTTCATACTGACATTCAACAGGCGCAAGGTGAAGCTGTTGTCCGCAACATCTTCCCAGAAACCACGATCGTGAGACCAGCTCCCCTTTTCGGGTTTGAAGATCGTCTTCTCCACAAGCTTGCTGGTGTGACCAATGTCTTGACATCTAACAATATGCAAGAACGTTTCTGGCCAGTCCATGTAGGTTAATGTTTCTTGGTACTAGTATCATGATGGCTGATTCCTACAATAGGCCGTTGATGTTGGTCAAGCGCTTGAAAAAATGCTCCAAGATGATAGCACTGCTGAGCAGACCTACGAGTTATTTGGACCTACCAACTACTCAACTGCAGAAATTGCAGAATTGGTAGACAAGGAAATCATCAAGCGCCGCAGACACATCAACCTGCCCAAGCGAATTCTCAAACCTGCTGCTGGTATCTTAAACAAGGCACTTTGGTGGCCTGTTCTCTCTGCTGATGAGGTTGAGCGAGAATTCATTGATCAAAAGATCGACCCAACTGCAAAGACCTTTAAGGATCTTGGAATTGAACCCGCAGAGCTTTCCAGCCTTACGTTCCATTACTTGGTACGTTTGGAATCCCTTTCAAACACCCAACATGACTAACTTCCATTTAGCAAGGATACCGGAGCTCTGCATTCTACGATTTACCGCCAGCTACGGAGCGAGAGAAGAGGGAAGAGAAGAAGTATTTGCACGTTCTTGATGATCAGTAGTAGACTTGGTCAGAAGGGAATGCACTTGTGGTGGCGTTACATTGTACATAAGATAAACATACAAAAACAAATTGCTACAGACTCTTGCTTCTTGAAAAAATTTACATTCTCATTCATGGGAATAAATTGTGAGATAGTGCTGCTAGAGGGCGATAGATAAATAAGCTTATAATAGACTGGCAGAGTTACAGTTGAAATTTGAAAAGCACGAAAGATACCTACCTATAGGACAATGGATTAGAAGCACAAAAGGGAACCATTTTCTCGCCCCTCCAAAACTTCGCCAAAATCATCCCCCACCTCAAAAAAAAATAACTCACATCAGCACCAAATAATGGCAGACGACCAAGAAGACGACGAGCCACTGTAACGTCTCAAAACCATTCAAAATACAGGTTAATGACTAATGATACCATAGCGTCCTATCGGGCTCTGCGCTCGACGCCTTGAAAGAATTCTATGCCGATCGCGATGCACACCACAAGCAGTTTGAGGACCTCAAAGCGGCAGCCGAGGACAACGCTGTACCGCTAAGCATGGATGCTTTTGCTGAGGATTGGAATGAAAGCCAATTTTGGGTATAGTTTCTTTTCTTTTTATCTTCTGCTTTAAGAAAGCGTCATCAGAGTGTGAAAACAAGCTTATGCCGTATTTTAGTATTCTGATGAGACTGCCGTGGCTCTAGCTGAAGAGCTCTTAGAAGGTGCTGACAAGGAGACGACCATTGCGGTTGTGAGCGCACCAAGCGTATTCGTGCAGGTCAAGAATATATTGGTTGGTTCCTCATCTCCTACCGGCCCTTATCCCAGCTGATGATAGACTAGGCAAAGAGCGGCAAGACGGAGGATGAAAGGCCCAAGGTCTATCTCTTGGAATTCGACCCGAGATTTGAAGTCTTTCCTGAATTTGTCTTTTACGATTTCAACAATCCGCTGAACCTGCCACGTGAGTGATCTAATGGCATTGTGGAAAGTAGAAGGAAAGGAGCTAATCAGAAGAAGCGAGCTTGAAGGGGAGTGTGGACAAGATCATATGTGATCCGCCGTTCTTGAGTGACGATTGCCAGACTAAAGGTAAGGTAGTTCTACACCTCTTGGCCAAATTAACAAGATTTCATTTGAACGCATTTGCTGATTGCGAATAGCTGCTTTGACGGTTCGGTGGCTGTCTAAGTCTTGGGACACAGCACCAGCTTCTGGTCTACGAGTAATTGTCTGTACGGGAGAGCGGATGGAAAACCTAATCAACAAGTTGTATCGTCCAGCTGGGGTATCAACAACGACATTTGAGCCGGTTCACTCCAAGGGATTGAGCAACGAATTCTTCTGTTACGCAAACTTTGAGTGTCAGAAATGGAAGTGGAGGGTGCAGAGTAACGATGAGATACCACGGGCATAAGCACTACGCTGAGTGCACTTAGATCTGTACCATACAAATAAACCGCAAGGCTTTGTTTCTCACACAACATTAGCATGGCACAACATTTTAGTAACCGTTACCGTATGGCTCATAGTCCAGATTACTGGCCCTACCATTTCGAACATGTCATATCACTTGGGTTATTCTGAACCGTGACTGTAGATCCGAACAGATGTCTTCATTTTATGCTATCACCTCCATAGCTGGGTATAGGTATTGATATACATAACTTGAGATCAGATTCCCAAACGCCTCTAAATGCAATTTTCACCATACCATAACACCATGCATGCTTACGCCAACGATTGTACGACATAAAAAAGAAGGAACGCTTGCTCGTTCAGTACCTGCGACTTTGATGCCAGTGTAACATTATGGTCATTGAACTTGAACCACTGGTTCCCAACCCTCGAATACGAAACATAGTGGCCTATCGTGTGAGTATACTTGGTTCAACTAGAGAAGGATGTCATCTTACCAGTTTCAAGATTACCGACATGAACAACAACGCTCTGAAGATCATAGGTACAAGATCTTGCTAGCTCATTCCTGTCTTTCGCATCCGCATTTGTGTTTCTCGCCCGATTTGTGTATGGGAACATCTCAAGCTTGAGAGGAAATGATACTTTAGTATCAATCTTGGATGCGAGGCCATTGTTTTGTTTAAAGCGCTGTAGAAGGAATGTCAGCAAGTTCTTTACAGCCGAACAGTGTACAGAAAGGCGGTCCAGCAATCGTTGCTGAAGTATAGTCAAGTAGTGAGATACAGCAACGCCCAGTCCGAGGAAAAATTGTAAAGGCTTGGAGAGCGAAACGAATCACAGCTCATTTGGAACGAGAACACAGGTTGGACAGAATATCAGTCCACATAATTATGAATTCACCTTCATACCACCCCTTGTGTAATATGCCATAATCTCTCAATCTCCCAAGCTATGAAATGGGCCATCACTTGACAGCTCCTGTTGCTTTCCACTGCATGTTTTTCATACAAAAGGCAGACAGTTCTAGGAATGCAAGTGGAATGAGAGTGTGTACTAACCTTTAACTGTATGCAGAGAACATTTGGTAGGCTCTTTATGCTCAGCTGCTTCTTGGCTTCCTGTGTACCACATTGATTACATGTGTACTCGCAGCGCTCCGGTCTGATGTACTCTTCATCCAAGCATTTCTGCAGACTGAGAGCCGACTGAGTTGTGGCTTTGAGGCCTTTCTTTTTGGCAAGCACATCCAAGCCTAAGCTCAGATCCAAAAATGATTCAATAGAAGCGTTTACGTCTCCACAACTCTGGCAAGTGATAGTGCTTTGCAGCTTGCCATAAAACGTCTGATGTACGATGCATTTGCAATTCGGCTCATTGCCTGTTTTGTTCCGTTTCGTGACTGGGCTGTCCTCAAGTAAGGATGGTCTCCCTCCACCATTTATCTCGTGTAGCTCTTCCGTCAAGAATTGGAAGAATTCGTGTGCATCTTGCTCCTTGTTGCTCGCCAGCTCCTCGTATGCCTTACGTTTAGACAGCCAAAAACTTGCTAGGATATTAGAAGCCGAGTACCCAACAGTCGTTTCTTGGGCATAGAATTCCTGGAACATGTCATCCATAGCACAGCTCATACAATTTTTGTAAGAGCACTGCGAACTCTGATGTCCTTCGGAGAGATAGAAGTTTCGAAGTAGAGGATTGTGGACGAAACATTGGAGGATGACATTCATATAGCACGTAGCACCCATGTTGTAGATTCCCCGAATTCCACTTGCACGGCAAGGAATTTCAACGGTGTTTGTAGATATAAACCCGGGGTCGTCCCTCGCAGCATCCGTGAAGAGCTTCTCGATCTTTCGCTTTCGAGCTATTGGGAAACACTGTCAGCACATTTAATCATAGATGTTTCTGATAGAACCAGGGGGCAATCCAATCATAGATGTTACTACTACTTACTGAATGAGCCAAATTCGGATTTCCGGAGCCGTAGCTCCTCCAGGGTTGGGTCCCATACAAAGTCTTCGCACATTTGGCAGTACAAACAACCGTTCCTTGATTCAACATCTGGATGTGTCAGGCAAAAACAATTTTGTACTAGAAGCGAGTCCTACATATTCGATGTCCAGTCTTGGCTCCGTGTTTTAGGCTACTTTGTGCTGTAGCTACTGTCTCCGTGCAGTGCAAGCACAGGTAGTTCGGTGTGAGCGTTGTGCCCTTGGCCTTGGACGTTTGGGGCACAACGGGGTCATTGTAAATTACCCGCAAGCAGTCCTTATAGTGACGGATCATTTCAGGAAGCTTTTGGGCCAAGAGAAGCTGTATGTGGCCTGATTGTCCTATTTCAGCTGGGTATCCATGAGGTCTCGCAAGGCTGAGAGCAGGAAAGCTTACCGCACCCATAAAGGGGAACACCTGGCTGCGGACTCTTGATTGCGGGAGGATTTCCAGGCGACGCCGGCGTCACTGGTCTGGATGATGACATATTGACACTACTCATCCTCCACAGATACCGCGCTCTATGGATGAGTGGGATATACTTCGAAAAGAAGAAGGCTTTGAGAAAGGACGTTGGTCGGCGTTTACAAGTTCCGATCCGACGATCAGCAAGTATTAAACAAATTCAGCCAACCAAACCCCAACCCCCAACTATTGTAGGACGGAACAGTATATATGATATTTCATATAGTTACATACTTAGATTAGGGCTAAGAATCTGATAGCTGGAAAATTATCTGGCATGTGAATCCTCTTAGCTCCTATAGTATTTTACGGCCTTCTCCATACAAAGCCGCCAATTATTTAACTTTGAAATGTCCCGTGCTGCCTGGCACATTGTAAATTGATGCTGATTTTTCCTCCTGTCACTGCGAGGCTCCTTCAAGCAGCGACTTTTCATGGAGAAGGCCGTAAAACAATGTGAAAGTTAGATGTAGTAAATCTTTGTTTCATCCTATAAGTCAAACTAGCTACCTAGCTTCAACTGCGGCCCGAGCTCATCAGCTAGCAGTTGCAGGTGACAACACCAACCACCTTAGACTTTCCATGCGATATCTAGCACGTTCATGTTGCAGACTTGAGTCTTTTCAGTTCTAGACGGTCTTAGCAAATCAAAATAACCAGGGGATTTTCTCAGCACCCCAATCAATAAGGTACCTGCCGGACAACGGCATCGTCTCTTCTGAAAACAGATAATCGTAAAGGTTAAGGTGTCGTAGTGTGGGGCTAAAGGCGGGGGGGGGGGGGGGAGGGGTATAGAAGCAGAAGAATCGTATCTGCTCTTCGTTAGAAAAGCAGAGCCTTCTATTACGACTTCGAATAGATTATTGATGTAGTCTAACACCCTTCAGAGGCCAAAGCAAAAACGAATCTCCTATACTTGTCATAGTATCATCTGAACCTCAATGTGGCCCAATGGGGTTAGGCTGCATGTGACACACAAACTGTATGCATCCGACTGTTCCCTGAGAACCTCTTCTCTCTTTGCGTTTGTCGTATTTATTAGATTACAAGACTTTAATCTGTAGTCGTCCCTTAATAATATTGTACAGCATAATAGACGGGAGTCCACTAGCCCGTTACATGCTTGGACAAGTGCGAGACTATTATGTAGACTTGCCAGCGTTTCTGGAGAAGCTGCTTGAGGAGACCACCACCGACGTAATCACCTCCACTAATTAAAAGGATGCTGTGAAGAACATCATATGGACAAGGCAAAGGAAAAGCTAGGGGGACAGAAAATATAAAAGGAAAGCAGAAGCTTAAGGCAGCTTTATATATGGTCTTGAAATATAGCACCGACGACCCTAAACGAAGATACGATGCCCGCATGTCCCTTGAGTAGCTGGACCTACAAGAGAAAATAGTTCCAGCTCAAATGAGGTTTTGCTGTTTATGAGGAGAGACTTCCTAACTATTAACTTCTGCTTTTAGTGCTTCATAGAATAGTTCACAAAGAACAGGCAATATAGGAAGCTATTATCGTTGACAACACACATCAGCTAGCTGCCAAAAACAGCAAGACAATATTCGTACGGAGGTGCAAGCCCAAATAATTTCCCTTTACATCGGCGATAGATACATGATCTGCCACTCGGCGTACCTAGGTAGAACTTCTTCACGTAATGCGAATAGCCCCTCCTAATCCTGATGCTGCTTACTCCGTATTAGCCGCGCCAAGAGCTACAATCATCCGAGAGTGCACCTGCGGAGTCCTTACACGTCTTGTATATGTGTAAAGTCTTGGCATTTGTGGGATACTGTCCATATGACACGCAGCCTAGAGCCGATGAGGCCGAAGGAGGGCAGAATCGATACAGCTTCGAGACAGCCCAGTCCAATGGCCATTCTACTTCTATAGGAATGCATGAAGTGCGGAGTTTCCTCCGTTGGACTGCTGACCTTTAGATAAGTGGCGCCCTTTTCTTTTTTAAGCAATGAGAATTGCAGCCTCGGTGGCAAGGTGGTGTGGTAAGAGACATGGTTAGCGGTTATCGGATGTGGAGGCAACAATGCTTAATATTTTGTTTCCAATCACATGGTGAGATGGGAGCATACGGAGACATTTGTCCGTTAGTAGTATCGTACCCCTGCTACTGAATTTGTTCGATTTCCCCGGAGCCTGCTACGGCAGATTGATTAGTACCCGCAAACCTCTTTGCAGTATCATGGAATTTTGTGGCGGCTAATTGACCATGGACCATGCATCACAGGTCGCATGTGGTATGTAAGGATTGTGAGGATTATGGAGAAGGGTAACAGACATGAACTGGATCATGGATTCTATTCTGGAACGACGAGAATGTTATAGTTCGCGTTACTTACTCTTCTTGGCATCTCAAATATATCTATTAAGCTCTCATTATCCTGTGTGGTAATGTTTATTGTGTAATGCGTAGTGTGTAATGTACATGTGATCTGTAATCAGTACTAGGGAAAAGGAGAAAGCTTTCCCATCAGAAGATGAGGGCATTCAGACCGTGTGCCGATATTCCCGGAGCCTACTCGAATGATACCTAGGTAGATGTTTTCGCGTGGCGTGGTGCATGAGTAGTTGGTGCACCGCCCGTCATTGACGCTAGCCGGTCATAGCTTAGCCAGCTAGCATAGGATGTGACGCCAAGATGATTCCTACTAGTCCTGGCCAAAATCTGCAAATCTCTATCAGCCTTGCAGTATCATATTATTAATGTTGACGCAAAAACCTTCACACACAGCTCGCCTTCAGTAGGGTTTGCTTATGTGACTTTCCCCCTTCGAACTAAGATGGGCCATACGGAGGTATGCATGACTGTCCACCCACCCCCTCACCGCAGCTTTATGGAAAGGCTTGACTCATGCTTCCCACGCACTCCGATGTAGGAAGTACAGTAGCCTCCACTGCGGTATGATATTGCCAAGTCAGTTGCTTGCTTGCTTGCTTGCTTGCTTACCTACCTCCGTACCTACCTATCTACGTATTAGACCGAAGCTTTCGGGTTCTGGGCGCGGGCGAGTCGGCGACAACAGATGATTTTTATAGTCGTCACGTCACCCAGCAAACAGAACCGTCCGATGCTTACATTTTGTCCCAGACTTCTCAACCGAGATACAAATAGAACCGCGCTACCCTCTTTGCTTGTGAGATTTTGAATACCTACTACGTGTAACTCACTTTTGCCCCTCCTATATAAGTGACTACTTAGCCTTCCCCACCAGAGTCCGAGCTCAGTGCATGTACTATACCGTCCAGCACTGTAAATTCTTTTCTTAAATCGGGCGAGATTTCGAGGGCGACTTCTAATGCAGATACTTTCACGGAGGTTCGCGGCTCCTACTGTTGTTGTACTGCTCGGGTTGGCATCAGTGGCAGGTGCACGCAGTCACAAGGGAGACATGAAAATGGACATAGGTGATCCATCCATTTCGCGCCCTACTTTCGCAAAGATGCCAGACACTATGGATGCTGGCCCTCAAAGCTATTTCCAATATGGCGAACATTCGGGGTTCTTGGTAGCTCATATTTCACTCATGACACTCGGTTGGATGTTCATCCTCCCTGTTGGTAAGAATATGCGACCCCTGAAGTTTTCCAAGTGCCCATGTCATAACATGTTATAGGTGTTATGTTCTCCATTTCATGCTCGCGCTATAGACTTCCAGTCCAGATTCTGTTTCTCGTCACCAACGCAATAGGGGTTCTTCTAGTCTCCATATATAATGCTAGCACGCCAGATCTGTATCCGGGCAATGCGCATCATACAATTGGCTGGATCCTGACTTGGGTCATAAGTGCCCAGCTCTTAATGGGAGTCATAAGTGCCTATAAAAGAAATGGCGGTATGAAAAATGAGGAGCGAGCAGCTTTCATTCCGATTTCCACTCAAATTATGGCTGAGCACCAGCGCCTGCAGAACCTGGGACTTGAAGAAGCGTGCCGCTTTTCCAATGACAGCGGACAGGGTACGGAGCCAAACACCGAGTCTTTGAGAAGCCAGTCAATTTCCTCGCAAGGTTCGGATCATCAGCTTCCAGATACACTTCAGCATCATGAACAAGAAGAAAAGCTGGAACGAAGTGGGTGGGTGCGAGATAGCAAATTGTACCAATTCCTGTCTCGGAAAGTGCCAAGATTGCTCACAAGTAGGGTTCTCCGTGTTTTTCAGTTTGCCTATAACATTATCGATCGGGTAATCTTCTTGCTTAGCTTCTTGGGTATGGCGACAGGATTTATCACTTACGGTGGCTTCTTTGTGAGTCATATCTTCAATTCATGAGAACCGCGCTAACTCGGCGCTCAGATTGGACCCCAGGTCTTCAGCGGGCTGGCGCATTTCATTAAGGGCGGAGTCTTCTTCTGGTATGGAATTCTGACTTTGGGTCGCTGGGCAGGCTCCTTTGCGGATATTGGTTGGGTAAGTGTTTGTCGAGTTCGAACATTTTAACTCGACTACTTTACTGACAGCCGTAGGCATGGAACATCAAACCGTCAAAAAAGTCTTTTCCCACAGCTGAATTTGTAGAGAGCTTCCTAATTTTCTCCTACGGTTCTACCAATGTCTTCCTCGAGCATTTAGCGGCCTGGGGATCGGAGTGGTCTGCACAAGATCTTGAGCACATTTCGATTACCATCATGTTTATTGGGGGCGGTTTGTGTGGCATGGTCATCGAGTCAAGGAATATTCGAGATCTTCTGAACACGACACGACAGACTCCCCAGTCGCGCCTTCAGGACGATAGAGAAGAATCAGAGAAGATGGAACCAAAAACCTACAGGTTTTCGATGAACCCTATGCCTGCTCTGGTCGTCCTTCTCTTGGGATTAATGATGAGTTCGCATCATCAAGAATCCATGCTTTCGACTATGATCCATAAGCAGTGGGGGACTTTACTAGCTGGTGCGGCATTTGCACGTGCTGCAACCTATATTATCTTCTATCTGTCACCTCCTACATCCATCTTGCCAGGGAGACCGCCAACTGAGCTAATTACAGCTTTCTGTTTAATGGCTGGTGGACTCATATTCATGTCTAGTGTAAGTCGCTGATACTGTTCTGAAATACACATGCTAATAAATTAAAAGGCCCGTGATCTAGTCCTAACAATGGAGCTTCATGATCTCGATGCGATGTTTGTCTTTACAGTGTCCATGGGCTTCATCACATTTTTGATGTCATGGATTATCCTAGTCGTAGCCATCAAGGGATGGGCAGTGAGGAAGGAGAATAGGTCCATCTATACTTATCGCTAGCTACAGAGGCTATTCAGATGTTTAGACGACTTTCTTTGGTTAGGTTAGGCGGCATTATGGGCGCTGGGTTGCGAAAATACCCCTGATGAATTATGATTTGAACTTCGAATATAGATTTAATAATAATAATAATTCAAAGCTGCTAAGCTCTCTTGGTAGTACATAAACGGTGGATCGTGAAGTCTTAGTTATCTAACATCCCCGTCTGAATGTCCCATACTAGGTGAGACATTAAAAGTTAACATTTACTATAGTGATACAATATTCATAATGTGAGTCGAAAAGGGCAGGTGTACAAATCCGGAGATATTAAAAAGTAGGTAGTTCTTTAGGGGTTCTCGCTTAATCGTCCACTTATCGTTTCACGTGATAGACGTCGTCGCATTCGCTCCTAGTCTACGGAAGCGGTTTGGGCTGGCGAGATTTATTATGGCCTCTACACTAAAAAATACGCATAATCCAATCATCCACACTCCAGACTACCTTTAAATATCAAACATGCCTCCTTCTCACATCCTATCATCCCTGAATTGCCTCATAATAGTAGTAGTAGTAGCAGTAGCGAGAGCGATTCAGATGCATCGGATTTGGATGATACGGCTATTGGTTTCACTTTACGGCGAGACAGTTGAGGTCACTTTGTAGCTAGATTTGTATGTGATAGTACTTAATTATTCTTGCCAGCCCAAACCGCTTTCGTAGACTAGGAGCGAATGCGACGACGTCTATCACGTGAAACGATAAGTGGACGATTATCGTATCGTAAGTAGGCTCGGTAGGTAAGGTAAGTTAGCCTTATCTAAATAAACCATGCTAAATCTATAGTAGGAAGGAAGCACAAAGTCTCAAAAATAAAAAAAGTTGGAGTAAAAGATAAAAGCAAAATCAATGAAAACGCCGCCGGCAGGATTTGAACCTACGCGCTCGAAAGCAATAGATATCGACGGATTATAGATATAATCGTTCAAGTCTATCCCATTAACCACTCTGGCACAGCGGCTTTTATTACTAATTATACTTATTAAAAAATATACTAGTAATAGCAAAACGGCGGTCAGAAGCCGAACAATTTATACCTTAACGTTATTGTATCCACGATAAAGAAACTAAACCATATAGGTATAAACCTACTTGGCTATAAAGCAAGTATATAGTATAGTATTGTCGGTGGAACATGACTGGGACTTTGTAGTCCTGTGAGCTAGCTGACTAAGCGAATTAGGATACTTCCTCTTCGCATTGCCGCCTCTGCATCTTAGCTAACTAACTAACAACTAATACAACCACCAAGATCCAAACCTACTCTCGCTTGGTAAAGCCCCACTTGCCAATATGTTGCCGGCCAAACACCTCGCCATAAACCGGCATCGTTTTAAGGTCCTAGCTTATAAAGCCGCGCGGTCTCTAATTGTCCATTTCTCAGTCTTCGAGTCCTCAATGACCTTTTCCTCTTCCTCCAGTTTTCGCAGGACCTGCAAGACGCCCCGATTCGCTGGTAAGTGAAGACTCTCGGGGACATCTTTATAAATGATCTTCACAATCTCCATGGAAGTCCACTCTGGCTCTCCTGTTTGCGCGGCTACCTCAGGCGATGATTTCGAGGACTTTAAGACTTGGATCACTTGATCTTCACGCTGTTTCCTGTGCTTTATGTATTCGAGTATCTTGCTTGGGCCATCTTCGATCACTGGACCATGACCAGGATAAGCTCTGCCTTGAAAGGCGTCCTTCATCTTCTCTAGACTCTTCAGATAAGCCGCAAGATCCTCAAAGACAGCCGTGCCATGGCCTAGAACATTATCGCCAGTGAACATGGCGTCTTCCTCCTCAAGTACTAAAGCCATCTGCAAACAATTAGCATTTATTCTATCAAGATGTTCCGTAACAGAACAGTAGCTAGATGTCAAAATAATCAGGCAGTCTTGGGATAGAGAAGGATCCGCTCTCAAATATATTATCTTACATGATCTTTTGTGTGGCCGGGAGAATGAACAGCACGTAACGAAGCGCCATCGACAGAGAACCTCTGACCCTCTATTATATCCAGCCACCCATCGGAACTAGCCGAGTAACCTGGTTGGTTCTTGTAAATGATCACATTTGGTGAGGACTGCTGTAAATGCTCGATGCCTCCTTGATGATCATGGTGCCAGTGTGTGATGATAGCTTTGGTGACTATCGCATTCTCCTTTTGCAAGGTTTCCTCCAACAACTTAATCCAGGATGGCTTTCCCTCTCCCGTATCTATGAGAAGGCGTTGTTTTCCTGTTCCAACAAGATATGTATTGCTACCTAGCACATTATCAGCTTCGCGTTGCCTGGATGCAAAACGCATATTCAATTCAATCACCTTGGAGCGTGAACTACCCATTAATCAGCAATGGAGCTGCGTAACAGGATATTAATTACCTTTCCTGGATTGCCTCCCAAGATGCGGATCACGTTTGAACTCAGTCGCTCGACTTCTCGAAGGGGGGTGAGTTGTGTAGCCATAGTTTGTACAACAATGTTGAGAATTCGTGTCACAAGCTTCGCCTCGGTTGAGGAAACAATTCTACGGTAACCCTATATCCCATTTAATTCCCCCTCCCCTCTTTCGCCGTAACAACCCTCCTCCTCTCCTCTGCACTAAAGACCTCCACCCCCTGCTTCAGAGCACCCACCAACATAGCTACCGAGCCATCCTTGAAATCATCGGCTCCACGGACTTTATCCAGGTCTTCCGCGAATTCTTGCGTTGCGCGTTGCATATAAAATTGCATGAAAGCAGCAGAAATTTCGGCGTCTGTTTTGGGGCCTTTCACTGTTTTCTACGAGGGCGTCAGTAACAAATTCAAAGAGGTTAAAATAGGTGGTTTAAGTACTGTGGGTTCGGAAGGTTGTGGAGGGCTGGGCGATTTGGCAGTGGGTTGGATTTCGTAGTCGCCATCGCTGTCCGAAGATACTGACAGATTTAGCATTAGTCTGTCGAGCTGGAATTGTATGGTTCACCTTGTGTTCTAGACTTGTTCTTCTTTCGTCTCTTGGGCTTAAGTTGCTTGGAATCCATAGTTTTGTGTTGGGGATGGTTGGCAAAGAAGGAATATTTTCTAGGTTTGAGATTTTGGAGTATGGTCACGTGGGTAGAAATAAGTGCACTTAAGTATCTGTGAATAATGTGCTGGTATTTTTGAACTTTGATTACTTTATTCTATCAATATAGAGCTGGGAATGACTTTTGTTATGAGGAAGTGCTGGGATTCTTTATTCCACTGTCAAAGCTACATGGAAGTGTCTATGAACACAAAGCTAATACCTCTTCCTCAATCATAATATTTATTGAATTATCCTGCCTCTTGCGTCTGTTCATCCAGCATGGGGGGATTACTACCTACTACGTAGCGCAAGTTCAAAGTTGGTGTTACAAAGGATACAAACCCCTTCCCTTTCCCCTTGTTCACAACCCTATAATTCTTGCGACAGCCTCCCTTGCCATGCTCAACAATCATGTCAATCTATCTTCGCAGGAGACTGTGAAAGGTATATGACCAGCGCCATATGACCACATTATCCATTGACCACAAACCATAAACCATAAACAAAAATCATGCGTCCAACAGAGCCCCTCTACGCATCTTGCATACACTTCCCCAGTGCCCATTCCAAACCACAGCCAGTCGTCGATACATTCAGCTTGATATTATACAGCAAATCAAATTGCGGGAGGTGCAAAGAAGGGCTAGGAAAGTTCGAGGAAAAGCAAAGAAAGGAGGAAGGCGGTGATGAAGATGCAGCTGTCTAAATTTCATGAAGAATGTCAAGATTTCACTAGGACATGGTCGCAAATATTTGTTTCATGGGAGCAGGAGGAATTCGCAGGATCAGCGCATATGCCCAGCACAGTCACCGTAACAAAGTAGACTTTAGAGAATAGGTTTCAATACCAATGGCATTATATTGGATTGGGCTTCCGTCAAAACGTGGAAGTTGTCTTGTCTCATACAATTGCCATATGTCCCCGGCTGTAAAGCCTTCTGTGCTGTATCTAAGCAGCGATTGTGACCTCGACCTCGACGCCGGCCTCAATGTTGATGATGATCTGCTTGACAACCTCGGTTGGGGCGTTGAGACTAGGAATAATTAGTACCGTTCCAGTTGTACTTTGCAGAGACCACTCACTCAATCAATCGCTTGTGGATTCTCATCTCAAAGCAATCCCAGGTCTTGGAACCTTCACCACAGGGGGTCTTTCGGGTGGTAACCTTCAAGGTCTGTCCAATGAGTTAGCATACGTTTTGCTAGGTTCGTTTGAAAACAAAGGGCCGAGTTCTCGAGGCATTCGGAAGAATGAATATTTTATGGGTATGGGTATAGTCTCACCTTGGTAGGAAGTCGGACGGGTCCCTTGGTACGGAGTTCCTTGCTCTTGGCGCGGTCGATGAGCTCCTGGCACACCTTCTCAAGGGAGGCAACCTTGCGGCTGGTTAGGGTGATACGGATCTTGTGGGTTTTCTGCGATTGTGCATGTTAGCTTCACGTCTTGTCGCAATGCAGATGGATTTTTTTGCGCAGAGCAGTGTAAAACGTACTGGGCCCTCGCCGAACTCTCCCTTCTCTGGCTTTTGGTAAGACATGATTGCGGATGTCTTGGTTGGTGATCCTTCAAGACTCGAACGTTTCAGTTACGGCAAAGTGATGAAGGTGATCGGACGGTGATTTGCGTTGTCGATAGAGGAGGGAAAGCAAAGGGAAAGAATCTCGAAATTCCATGTCAATGCGAGTGTGGGCGGGAAGTCTTGGCATGGCATGGGGCTAAGCGAGAATGTGTCAGCCTTGCCATTATGGGCCTGGCCGACCACCAGGAACATTCTTCCCGGTGATGGTGATGAGTGCGAGTCACAAAGGTAGGTAAGAAAAGGAGAAGAGAGAAAAAAGAAAACTTTGTTCTTAACTTGAGGTCATTTCAAAGGCAAACATATCTAGATTCCTTCATAATTCGAGTAAGGTAGACAGACCGCTTTTCTTTTTCTTTTATTGCTGCAACCAAACGACAAGCAGCCTGCCCTCCTCCAAAATGGCCTCCAGATCCACCACTCTCCCTCCTTTAGCACCATTTCCTGAAGCGGCCTGGATAAACCACCTTGTTCCAGCAGAATGGGAGGCTTGTCTCGATGCCTGGATCAGTATCTCCAGTGCACATCTATCGTTAACCGCATCGGATTTTCTACGCGTCTCACTCAAGGACGAGTCTCTACCAGTCTTCCTCACTTCTTATGCGGCAGAGACAGCCAAGTCTCACGTGGACCCTGTTTCTACGGATATATCAAAAACCCAACAACTACGAAAACAATGCTTTTTGCTGTCCTACAGACTTTTCGACGTTGATGCAGTTCCTGGACCTTTTCTTCAATGGGAATTTCTCGCAGACCTCAGCAAAATATATGGCCAGCGCCAAGGTTCCAAAATCACTTCGTCTGCTTGGAAAAGATCCTCGTCTTCTCTAGAAAATTCTCTAGGACTGATCAAGGCATCTTTGACAAGAGACCTAGAAGCAGGGATGAAAGGTGATCTGAAAAGAGCAGAATCAACCCTCAAAAGGCTGAACCACCTTCTACACGCGTCTTATGAAGCTGCTACATTTCTCGTGGCTGGCAGTGACTTTCTAGATGCTCTTATAAGCTGCTATAAGCTCATGAATCCACCACTACGGAAAGCTATCATTGCAACAACATACCTATGCTTGATTGGCCTCACTGAAGGGGAAAAGCCGAAATTTTCTTCTCTTGTGGATCAGCTATACTCCCTAAAAGCTGCAGCGGATACACATAAATCAGGGCCTACGAATGTCAACGATTCTCTAGTTGCCGAGCTGGTTACTGTTACTCCAATCCTGAATCAAATTCAACAGCGAATAGAATCAAGTGGATCCGGATCAAGTAGGGCAAAGTCTGTCCTTACTGCATTGGAAGGATTCAAGAAACCAAGTTCCAACCAAAGACCAGCGAGGATTCTTAAGAGGAAACTCAACAATGGGAAGGGGGGTGCAAAGGCAGATGATAACTTTGGACAGAGATCACAAGTTCATGTCCATCGCATGAGTTTAATATCTCAGGTCCAGGATCTCTTCCCTGAGCTTGGCTCGGGCTTTGTCGTAAAGCTCCTCGATGCATATAACGATAATGTGGAGCAAGTAATCTCTCATCTCCTCGAGAGCTCTTTACCTCCTAACCTACAAGATGCCGACCGATCTGAGGAGCTGTAAGTAACCTCTGAACCATACCATCAATTTCTCTAATGCGAAGCAGAAATATCTCCTCTCGGCCCTTCGGTGACCTCGCACCAAACTTGGTGCCCCATTCCACGCCTCCTCAGCTCCCCTCTCGTCGAAACGTCTTCGACGACGACGAATTTGACCAACTGGCAATCGACACCTCACGTCTCCATTTCGGCCGCCGAAATCCAAACGCAAACGCGGAGGATATCTTGCAAGACCGATCTACGGCGCCAGCAAAAGCAGCTATCTTGTCTGCACTAGCAGCTTTCGATTCCGACGATGATGAGCGCGACGATACCTATGTAAGCAAGCGCTTTTTTTGTCTACCCTTCCTCTTCACGGTGTTGGGGCCCTTGGGGCCCTTGGGGAGTGATTTTTTCTCAGCTCTTCTTTACAGGAGAAGTGATACTAATTTGTAGCAGGATATTGAGGATGTCGGTGGCACTGTTGATACCGCCAACCCCGAGGAAGCGACCGCTGATGTGAGAGATGGGAATGATGAGCCGCTATTCAAAGCGTATACCGCTACGCCCGACGTGTTTGGAAGGGATGCTGCTACCAGGAGAGGCAATGGGAGGACGAAGCTAAAGCAGGAGACAGGCATGACTGACGAGGCGATCGAGGGGTGGGGTCTCATGTTGTCGAGGGACACAAGGCAGATGAAGCGACTTGAGGCAAAATTCTCCACGTTTACCGGTGGCCAGAACTCGCTTGCGCCTACCTCGTGGAAAGCAAGTCCGGCTGGGTCTGGAATGGAGGATTCTGATGTTGATGGGGGAAATCGTGGAAGAGGTGGCTTCAGGGGGAGGGGTGGAAGAGGCAGAGGGCG